AGTAAAACAACCCGACCGACGCAGGGGTGGTGGGCTGTGCGTGCATACCGTTCGAGGCGGAAACGAGAAGGGCCGGGAGGGCAAGGACGGGGAGTCGGCCCAAACCACTGCACGATTGGGTTCCTTGGGTGCCAGCGACGACGTGTCATTGCATCTCATGCGCCCCAGGACATACATTAGCGTTCACCGAAACTACCTTGGGTGTGACTTGGCTTGAATGATTCAGCAGACGGTCCAAGGCCCGGAGGACATACCCCCTTTCCCCCCCCCCCTCCCTTTTTCTCCCGCCCTTCCTTCCTTCTATACCTCTCCGAAGCAAGGCGGATCCTCAACAGGGTTCTGCGCAGTTGACGTACATGACTAGACACGAGGTAAGGTGCGAGCCACAGAAAGGGCTCCTTCCCTTTTTGTTTGTGTGGACGTTACTCCGCACCTTGCTGGCTAGGCAAGGTAAAGGGTACCCAATGAAACAAAAGGCTAGCGGTTCCCGGTTCTTTTAGCGGAGAGGGCGCGTGTTCTTCGGTGACTTTCCGTGATCGTGAAGCCGTAGAGGAGGGCAGGGGTCAGGGTTGGAGGAATGGGATCAGCGACGTTGTAGGTATGGGAACTAAGGCCGGGAAAGAGGACGGGGACAGAGGTGAGAGAGAGGAAGATGGCGAGGACAGAAGCATAAAGCAGACAGCATACGGCACAAATGAGAGAGAGAGAGAGAGACAGAGAGAGACCCATTGGATTCTTGCTCCAGCATACCGACATTTCCCTCAAACCCATCTCGCTGTCTGTCTGTTGCGATATCTGCCAAAGGCCAAAAACTGACTGAGACTGCCCTTCCTTGCTAAACACCAAAAAGCAGAGAAGCTTCAAAGATACATACCGCCGCGAAAATTGCACAGCACCGCCCATAATTGACTTGTCCACATCATAGCCCTTGTCGTAATCATCATTATCGTCGTCATCGTCATCTTCAGAGCAATAAAAAGCCCAATCCAGTGACACACACACACATCACTCCATGTCAGCACGCCTGAAAAGTCCCTCTCTCTCACAGCAAGCCATCGTCGAGCCTTCTGAGCGCGTTCCCACAAGCACTCCAAGGAGCTCAGCCACGTATTCTGGCGATTTCTGATGCCCACCTCGCCCGGCTGAGATGCAGATTCCTCGCACTCGGCGCAGAAGTTGTGCCTCCTTTCCTGCCGTCACCGTCGACAGTCGTGGTGTCCGGCGCCAAAGTCTCGTCCAGGTGAAATCGCTCGAGACCGATGTATTAATGCCTAGCTTGCAGCCTCGACGAGGCCAGCTCGAGATTCCTGCTTGGAGTCGTGGGTGGGAACTCGGCCTGCAGTGGCGTCCGCGCCGCAAAAGGAATCTCTGCAGAATGAATTTGTCCAGGAGCCGTCGACTTGCTCCCCCAGCTCCGTCGACAACAGGCCAGGCGCTTCGATCTTGCGCCGTTTTCTTGGCCCCTGATCTCTCCACAATTTCGCGCTGGCCCTTTCGGCTGCTTTGCGCTTCGCTTTTTCTTCCTTGCGCCTCATACACAGTTGTTCGCGACCTTTGACGATGTCCGATATCCTTTCGCTCTCGCTTTGAAGCTGAGGGATCTGAGTGTGCGGAGACTTTAGGACCCAGAACTTCCGCAGGCTTTGATTCTTGACAACCGGGATCCCCAACCTCTCACTGGCGTCTCGAGACAGTCTCTCAAAAACGGTCAACTCTGGAAGGCTCGGCGAAGAACTGTCCCGCACAATGCACTGTTTGTGAGCGCGAACCATCGGATCATCGCCTGATCGCCGTTAGCGGGACGGTTACTGACTCGGTTAAGATGCTCACTTACTGCCCCAGTCTTGGATTGCATCGAGAATAGAGTCGTATTCCACCTCCTTCGTCCGAGTCGACAGCAGGGCAATCAACATTGGGAACTGGAACTCAATCGCCGTGACCTCTCTTTTAAGAAAATCGACGTATTCGTCAAGCTGGTATGGTGCCATTGGGACGCGAAAATGGTCCACCCTCCGGCCAATCCGCTCCCCCTGGGTCAGCCTGCCGGCAAGGCGTCTCCACGGGAACCTCCATGGAGCTTGCTGTTCGCGCATTATCTCCTGAAACGCCTCATATGGCGACAGGCCTGGAAATATCTTGTTCCGAATCTCCGCTGGCTTGCGCGGGCGGCTCCCACATCTCTTGTTGTCCGACCCACGACCTGCTTTCTTCCTTTTGGCGCTGTGATTCTTGGTGAATTCGGAATCCGCCGGATTGTAATGGAAAGGCTGCAATTTCAAGTACCCAGGCTTGAGGTATCCCTTCTCCAAAACACTGGGAAAGAATTTGTCCAGGCGCACAACTGTCATCGGGGCACGAATTTCTTTCCATACCAACACCATTGGCACGCCCATGTTGTGATAAGGAAGGCCTTTGTCCGCATTATACGCTCTGAGCAACGCTTCGGTGTGAAAAAGGTAGGCTCCCTGACCAAGATTCCACGTGTCGACAATCGCAAGTCTGAAATTCCGGCATCCTCGCTCCTTTAGAGCGCGAGCTCTGGAGAAGATCCAAAGCAGCGATGTGGCGAGTGACACCCACGGGCTTTGGAAACTGACTTTTGCGTTTCCCATGTGCCCACGTAAACTTTCCTGGATGTCCTGTTCCCCCATGAGTTCCAGGTCAGCGCACATACCTTGCTTTTCACGTTCACTCTTAAAATGTCCTTCGGCGTTTTCGCCGCCGCTCTCATCGTGCCAGAGCCGAAAGAGATATCGAGAGATCGCTTGAGTACAAGTCGATACAGCCCCCATATTCACGCGGTGGCCACAGAATCTCCACAGCCATTCATCCTCAACTGAGACCCTCTTATAGATCACCAATCTGAAGGGGTGTCTCGGTTTGTCCGCAGTGAGTTCCGCAAAGGTCTCAAGCGGTCTTTCGAATCCCAATGGAGCGCGAGAGTGACTTAGAGGTTCGTTGATGCAGCAGCACAAGCCGAGGCCGTCATTGTCCCAGTAGAAGTAGGGCTTTCGAAGGTATTGATTATACCTGGTCCAATCTTGCTGCCGCGGCATGACCATGATGTCAATCCATTGAACAGAGAGGCAACGTGAACGTCAAGAAGGAATGAAGGGGAACAGCCACGGAAGAGTGGATCAGAAAGGCAAGAAAGAGATAGAAGTCACGTACGAACAGGATGAAAACACGACAAAGAAGATGATGGCGTCAAGATGTCAAGGCGAGGAGGGATGGATGAGAAGTATGAAGAAATAAGCAGAAGTAAAGTCCAAGGTCATTTACAGAAGAGTCAGCTTGGGCGAGAGAGCTGCTACGGGTATGAGGCCAGAAAGAGAATGAAGTGAGGTTCGATGGAGGAAGAACGCAGGAGGTAGATGGGATGTGAGAATAGAGACACAGGATGGATCAGAGTAAAGGAGGTTTGAGAACAGAAGGGATGGAAGGCGAATGGGTAGAAATGGGAGATGAGATGTCAAATAGACAAATAAAGAGGTTGGATTGAAATATATATGCGACGAAATGACGGTGTCCGCAGGTGGGAAAAGGCTGGCATGTGCTCTGCCTCCCTGAAGCTGGGTCTGGCTGGCATGTGAAAACAATGACTCTCGATGAGCATCGTTCAAGGTCTTCGAACAGCTCTCGCAGATGATAAAACATCGAACATCCTTGCTCCCTTACAAGGCTTGACGGAGTCGTGGGAATTCTCACAAGGGCCTTGATGTTGAATCACACCTAAAGAGTTATCTCGGCCCTAAGCAAAACTGTCATAAAATGCATTGGATCGGCCATACAACGGAGAAAGTACTGCAAAGAGTGTCTGTCATGAAAATAGTCCTGCTTCCTCACCAGGACCAGAAGAAGCAGGGTGGAGTAGACAGGGCCCTGCTAAAAGCCCAGATTTTGGTCTCCCACTTGCGATGAATTGGGGAGTTTGGAGTGTCCCCTTGGATCCACGTCTTGATCATGGGAGAGAAGAGGTCAAGATGCTTCCGAGTGTGGTTGCTCGCCAGCCAGGAAGGACTGGCGCGATATTTTGAGGGCTGTTTGTGGGTTTGCCAGGAGAAATGGGCAGGGAAGAGACATTCGCACGAGGCGAGGCTGGGACAGGGAGTGGTTTGCATTCGTTTGCTTGATCTTTCTCGTGTTCGCCTGGTGGACCTCCAACACGTGAAGCCTTGCCCATAATGCGGACGATGGAGCTCAAACCAGGGATGGGTGGTATCTCAGCATAAGAGCCTAGGAGACGCCCATTTCCAGACATGGCTCATTCGGCTGCTGCAAGGCATCCATGGCGTTTGTTAAAGGACACGTTGCTTGGAAGATCACGAAAGAGAAGGGCGAAAAAAACTCGAGATCATTGTCGATGCCAAGGCCGGATTCTGCGCCAGGCTCAAAGAGGACAAGCCCCGGCAAGAGAGATTCTCCGGCCCCGGATATTATCAAAAACCGAACAACCGCCCACGCTTTGCCGATTCTCTTTTCTCTTTTTCTCTCATTACACTTCATGAAAATACAATATGAACGCATAATCAACCGCCAATTCCTTCATCCATCAATGGAGTGGTAGGTCATATTGGCGTACTAGACCGAATTTTGCATCGAGGCACTTTTAAGGCTTTTCGTTCGAGATGGGAGTCTTCGGATTCCCGTGATGGATGCAAAGTCACCTGCGTGCCGGACATCTTTTTTTCTACTTTCTGCTGTGGTTGAGGTGGATCTTTCCATGAAGAGAGGAATGGACAATCCTTGGTTGCACTGGGTGAAGACAAGGGCGTTCCTTTTCCTCGAGTGCAATATTATATTAAATTCATGGAGTTGGACAACTCCAAACGTTGATGATTTACTACCAACACTTTTCGTAATAAACCAAGTGTAGAAACCAGCGACACTGCTCCAAGTTGTACCGAACTGCTCTCAAGCCAACCTTTAAGAACTCTGTATTTAGCAGGATATTGCTACCAAATTTCTAAGATCTTTGTCTCGACGGGTCTTTGGCTTGGCGCAAGAGAGGACTTTTTCCACTTCACCCAGTCCTCTGATTTCTCTCTCGCTCTCTGCTCCAGTCCGTCGAGCCAGCAAAAATGAAGCTCCTCACCACAAACTTCCTGACCTGCGCCGTCAAGGCCTGCAAGTCCTCCTCTGCCTCGTTCCCGCTGCACTTCAAGGACGCCGTGCTAGAACGCACCGAGATCGAGTTCAACCCGTTATTCATGCAGAACATCCTGCCGCGCGTGAACTGGGAGGCGTTGACCGTCACAGCGACCGAATTGGGATTGCAGGCGCTGGTCCCGGAGAAGAACCCCGCGGATCTTGACGACATGAGCCCGGAAACAAAGGAGGAGGACCACGAGATGGATGTCGAAGGTGACGAGCCAGACCACGAACAAGAGGGTGCTCCAAAGGAGGCGGAGATTGATGAGGAGGTCCTGAAGAAGTTACACACCCTCCTCCTCGAGACCGGTGTGTCGGAGGGGAAACTGGTCTGTGGAAACTGCGGCTTTGAATATCCCATCAAGGAAGGCGTGGGCAACTTTCTATTGCCTGCGCATTTGGTGTGAGAAGAGCCCAGACACGGATTGCGGTAGTAAAGACAGAAACCGCTGCACCTGTCACATCTCGCTCCAGAACACCTCCGCCGTCAGCCGCCGAGATAAATATGATTGATTGGCTGGGCAATTGAACTGCGAAATTGCACCTACCCAACTCCTGCAAGGTCACCCACGATGAGACGCAAGAGAGGAGCATGGAATTGATTGTGGGTTGCACAGAAGCAGGCCCGGCCATCAACGGACCAAGGGGCTCGCAAACACCGCATTCTGGGCTCTGGGCGAGAGTTGGAAGTCGGGCTGTCAGTTCGTCGCTGGGGACTTGCGTGGGAGAAGAAGCGACCTTCTACCAGCACCGCTCCGGAAACAGTCACCCAAGAGAGATGTTACGTTGTGTGCCTGTCGTATCTCGAAAGAGGAGGTGAAGGTCTCTCAGAAGCACATGCCTCTCTCTGCTCAGTTGAAAAGGTTCGATCAAGGGGACAGAGAACAGCCAATTCTGTGGAAACGCCGCCCATGGAGGCAAAGCACTTTAGCCCCTACTCTATGTACGGACTACTTAGATGTCCTTCTTCAGGGTGACCAGACCCTTCGGGCTGTGTGCGGCGTGCAGTTGCTGTGCTTGTCAAGCAGTAGGTTGAGATGATACAAGTACACAAAAAGAGAGAGAGAAATCTCTCCAACTCGTTCATTGGCGGTGTCGTCCCTTCTGTAATGCTCCATCACTTGAGTTGAGTTAACGGAGTTCGTTCACTGTCGGCCACTTGCCTGCGACTCATCACACCCCTGCCTTGTTGAAATAGGATTACGATGATCCTGGCGAACTCCTCACAGCCTCTCCCACAATATGGCACCGCCCTCGGCGATTCTCTCAATGCAAAGATAAAACCCGGCCCAGCCTTTCCATGGACCCATGCTGTGCCGTGACTTTTGTCAGATGTCCGTCCTTTCATCATGCCGCATGGAAGAGAACGCCGGACCCAAATGCTCTTCCATATTTTCAAATGCACACTTATAACATCGAAAGAAGCATGTAACCGCCAGATCCCGCCACGGATTTCAACATCTGCCACTGGAGATGCCGGAGTATTAGTTAAGGAAACCTTTGCAGACCGCCGAGCCACAGAGACACGGGATGCGATCATCACTGCCGATCTCACGCTCGAATTTATAGTCGTACGTTAGTTCTTCGTCTGGAGAGAATAGGTCAGCCTTCACACGCCCAGTTCAAACACGGACAGCACTCACCTTTCTCAATATCTCTCAGAGCGTAGATGACGATCCGTTTCGTGCCGCCCACCCTGATGATCTTGGCAGTACAATTCGGTGAACAGCTGTGGTTGATAAATCTTGCAATACCACCCTTCTTGGTCGCGTCCACGACAGTCCCTTCATCGATTCGGAAGAGGTAGCTGCTGCCAATGCCACTCTCGGTGTATTTGATCTCTCTCAAGTCGGCGATTTCTTGCCGGATCTTCTCTCCCACATACTCGATGATCATCTCGCTTGCCTGTATCCGTTCCAGCGAATACAGGCCCCAATTGTGAATGGCAGATCTGGCGAACTTGACGGGTTTCTTGCGTTTCTGCAGTTGGTTGAATCGCAGGACGTCGGCGTCCTCACCCATACCTTGTAGCATCTCCCGCTGCCTGTCCAGATCTTTGACAGTGCGTCGATCGTCGGCACGCTTGCCGCGGGAAGAAGCTTTGGGCAGTTCCACGACTTGCTTGCCAGGATCCTTCTTAGCTTCCGCCTCTCTCTTCTCCCTGGCCTTCTGAACCTTTATGCGATGAGGCAGATACTTCGACTTCTCGGACTCGAGGATTCTTCGTACAGGCTCCGTCCTTGCCGAGCCGGATGGATTGGGAACATAATATCCGTCAATGGGTGGTTCCGTCCTAAGGGCACCCGGCTGCGTCCCAGGTTTGAGATTTCGAATCCGCTCTTGTTTCCAGGCCCACGCCATCGGATCGCCAATATCCATAGCCTTCTTCAACTTCATTGCCGATGACAAAAATTCAAGATCTTCTTCGTCAAACAGACTCGCTTGCCATCCGCGAAGATCAGGAATGATATTATCGTCGTCATCGACGGTAGGCAAAGGCTCCACGGCTGAGACGCCCCATTCCACTTCTGGCCTCCATTCGGCAGCTTCAGCGAGAGCCTCTTCTTCCTCAGCATATTCCAGAACATTATCCACCACTTCAGCTGCTTCAGCCTCTGCTTGCGCTCGTCGGAGTGCTTCTTGCTCTTCCAAGATTTGTTTCTTGGTCTTCTTCTTCGGCTTCGGCTTCCTGACCTTGGCAGCGTCCGAATCGATATCAGGCGTCGCTTCAATCGGAGTTTCCACTTTGATATCCTCTGATCCTTCCCGATCCAAGTCATTTTGGCCAATGCCAAACAACTCGTCGTCTGCCTTTTGACGTTTACGGGCCTCCAGCTCTTTCACTAGCCTCTTTCGTTTGCGCGACGATGGGGACATCTCGTAAATATTCCTTTCGAGTTTGGCGATGATGAGATCTTCCGCAGTTTGCTTGCTCGCGTCAAGCTCATCCTTGACCACGCTGTCTCCCATCTCGGATTCCTCTCGAGCATGGAGGCGGCGTTTTGTCACCTTGCGCAGAAGTTCGTCGTCGTCGTCGGATATAGAGGTCATACTCATCCGGCTAGGAGGGCGGCTCTCCGGGTCTTCTGTGTCACGAGTGACCGACGTCCGCCGTTCGTCGTCGGAATCGTCGTCGGCATGAAACTGGGCCAGCTGGTGAAACAACGGCCTGACATTGTGCCTCGTTGTTGGAGCTTTCCTTCTCTCATCACGGAAACCAACCATGCCTCTGTCTGCGCCAGGCCTCTTGCCAATTTTCGGCAGGGAAAGAATATTGAGGTTTTTGCTTCCAAGCGGGCGTCGCCCGGTACCCAGGCGCGAGTCTGGGGTCTGAGAGCCTTCATCGGCATAACCCTGCCTCCGGGTCCCCTCGGGATCACTCACACCGAGGATTCTTCGCCTTTCTGCATGTCTGCTCGGATCAAGATACTCGTAGAGGACAGGGGCAGCGATGCGTGATTTCACATCTTCCAGCAGCTTATCCCGGAGCTCCTGTATGACAAGCTGCACAACAGCCCTAGAAGGATCCAAATCTCTTGCACGCTGTCGCTTTTCTTCCTCGAGGTCGAGATCGTGCTCTTTCCTTAGCCTATAAGCTTGCCTGGAATAGACGAAATCGACAGGCCCCGTCGACGTAGGTATAGCGTCTGCTGCACTGACCGCCTTGTGATTCCCGTTGAGATGTAATTCCAAGTTCATCACATATGTAAACAATGGCTGCATATGGCAGCCGTGAAACACCTTCTTAGCCTCCATCTGCCCGTTTCGCGACTGCTCAAATGTGATAAAGTATCCCGTCTCGTCGCAGCGGACATCCCGCCAATCATACATCCTTAACCTCTTCTTCAAGTGCGGGATCGTAGTGCTCATAACTGGTACGTAACAATGCGCGATGAAGATATAGGGTACTTTTAATGTTTCGGCTATTGGCGTCGTCTCGACAAGCGAAGCGGTTGCGACCACAGGCTTGCTTGGTCTCTCTGGTTTAACGGGGAGTCCGAATGGGGCTTGGAACGTAGACTGCGGTCGAGAAGGTGGCTTTCCTGACGGCCCCTTTGGCGCAGTTGGCGGCGGGCCGGTAGACTTCGCAAATCCTGGTGACTGGACTGCTGTTGGTGTTGAGGGAGATGGAGACGGTTGGATGCGTGACTGGTTTGTGAATCCACTCTCTTTCCGGTGCAATGCGATTGCCTTTTCCACCAACTTCTCCGTTACAGATCCATCTCGGTCAATGGCCACCTGCACAGTCTTCAAGCCTATCCTTTGTCCGCGCTTGCCCTCAAGATATGCTGTTTTGGCTGCGAGGACTGCGGAGATCGGTCCCCCGCCTTGGAAGGAGGCGCAGTCCTGGTAGGCGATGCTACAGATGCCGAGAAACCGCCCAGTGACCGGATCAGTTTTATTGTCCAAGTCCTCGATCTCGCCGAAGCTGGAAAATAGTGCACTGATCTGTGACAGCGGTGTCATCGGGTCGAAACCGGTGACGACGACGGTGGTCGGGGGGGGCGGCGCAACCGCGGTTGCATGATCAGGCACCCACGACTTGAGATTATAAGGTGCAGGGCGAAATTTTGCTTTTCCTTTTCCCACGACACCCTTTGTGTAGTTGGGAATGGCCGACCGCGGGTCAGGAGGTTGGAAGTTGTCTTGAGGCTTTGCTCCGAAATCCTCGAACTGCGCTTTCAGCTTCCGTTTGTCCTTGGAGTTCAGAGTCTTGTCAAGTTCCGGATCGTAGGTACATTTGGTCCCTTTGACTTCGGCATTGGCATCGCGCGCGGATCTTCGATGGGTCGGCGGTGTGTGGAGGGGTGTCATCGACCCTTGATGGAGGGTGGACGCATTATTGCCGCCGCCCATCATGGGGTGGGAGGCAGAGTCAGCGGTCGGGCTCATGAGTTTAACATTTGGAGGAGAGTCGGAGTTGGTAAGAGGGGTAAGAGTGGTGAAATTGACATGACTTGCGCCAGGCATGGCGGCGCTTGCGACGGGAGCACTAAAGACCGATGAAGCGGTACTGGACGAACTTGCTGAGCCAACACCATTGAGAAGGTCGCCTGCGTACGGGTCGCTTTCTTCCGGAACCACAGTGACGGCGGGAGTCTTTGCCAAGTTGTCCTGTTTGGCGGGTAAACGTGGGTGATACGCGGTGGATGATGAGTTCAGCGAGTGTCGAGCAGGGTTCTCTTTCGTGTTGGCATCTTCTGCGCGATCGTCAGGGCGGCGCGGCCGGGAGCGGTCGAGATCAAGCAGCTTCGAAGATTTCCGTTGCTGAACGCTGGGAGCCGTCGGGAAGAAATCAGCGAACTTGGAGTGAGAGTGAGTGCCCTGTGGGCGCGACATCTCCTTGATTAAAACGCCAACCGCGCGATCATCTTCGCATCCGCCCTCCTCGATTGACGGTGAGGATTATGAGAGTATGTGAACCATGGAAGCGCAGGGATATGTCGGCCGTGATGTGGATTGCAAGTTTTCTACGCGTCAGTGGGCAGGCGGTCGGAAGGGGGCCGGTTTCCCAGAGGGCGCAGTTTGGGATTTGGGGCGTTTGAGGACGGCAAAGGCCTGTAAGGACTTGGCGAAGGGAGATTTGAGGTCGATGCCTGCTTTCTAGCGAGCAAGAGGGAATTTAAAAGTCGTGTATTGGGAGATTTGAGGTTGACTTGGTCGACTGCAGTGCCTGCACTCTGAACTTGCAAAGCATCGTCTTTGCTAAGTTCCTGTTGCCAAAGGAGCCAAGCCGAGATGGGTTAGGAGGCTCAGGGCTCGGCATGCGATCGACCGCGCTCAAGCGAACAGCTGAAAGTCAGGGCGCAGGCGCAGGCGAGAGCTGAACATTCTCGCCCAGCAAACATTCCAACACAGCAAATTCGTTTGATGTCAACAACAATGGCTCATTGACTCTGGCTTGCGCGTCGGCTACTCGCATGGCTTGCTTAAACAAGTCTTTGATCCTCATACTGAGCCGGCTGTTGAAGGGGTGGTTTCTCTAGCTGGACCTTTACTCACTTTCGCAGGCACAACGGAACAGCTCATTTTCAAGATACCTGATCAAGTTGACACAAGATGTCATCCTCCTTCCAGACCTGCCCTTTTGTTTCAGATGCCTATCCTACCATTCCCGGCGAGCTGAAAAACTTTGTGGTCGCCCACCGCTGGAGAAGAGATGGTCTACTGAGCACACTAAGGTAGACAAGAAAGATTTGGCTGTTATTGAAGCAGGGTTACGCTGATTGCCCTCGCCTGGAACACAGTATCTTCAAGAGGGGGTCACTCTATCTGCCGTTGACAGCTCTGTTGCTTGAAGGTAGAAGCAATGAGTTGGCATGAAGCGTGTACACTTAATTCCTCCGCCGTCACGATAGCAAATGGACAGCAAAAACATGAATGCTCTGTCCCAGTACGATACACCTCACAGCTGCAACTCTAGCGATGCCCAAGGAATGTCGTACATTAGAATCTGCCCTTGCGTGTTTAGAAAGAAGTAGCCCTTCGGAATTTACACCTCTCCAACAAGGTTGAACAGCCCCAAGAAGACAGCAAGAGCCACGATTCCGAGAGATGATGAGACGACCGATTTGGATGACCTAGGATTCGTGTCTTAGCCTCGCTGATTGAAGATGATACTCTCACTCAAACTCCGACTGCGAATTGTGATAATTGTTTTAGTTCTTCGGACATGCCGACGTCGGTTATGATATCTTCTTTCTGCGATGATTTGAATCTCGTCCTCGTCTTCGGTCAGGCTGCTGAGTATGGAGGTATCGACATGCGCGGCTTTGGAAGGACAATTCATTCGGTGAGAGTTACCGCGCCGTACGTCGACTTTCCTGAAAGTCGAGGTCGAGTTCGAGTTCGAGGTAATTTTGGTTCTTGTTTTCGTAACTGCGTGTCTCCGCTGATGCCTTTTCGCCCCAAGTCTGTTGGTATTCTTCAGACTTGCCGCCTTTTCTGATGCATGACAGTTGGTGTCCTCCGTCGTTAAGTCGATGATATTGGACGATAATGCTTCCTTCTCTGTCTGACATGCTGTTGGACATTGTGGGGGAATGACCACTTGCTCCGTCATAGCAGGTTCTCTGTCTCTCTTCTCTGTTCGGTTAGACTTTGTCGTCGAATCATTCGGCTGCGAGGTTGAGAGATTATGTAGCTCCCTCGTGTAAACAGGAAGTGGAGTTGGAGTTGGCGTCGGAATCGTCGCCCACCACCGCACCTGCCACGCGAAGATATCGACCTCAGGGTCATCGACGTGTTTGATATGTTCTTGAGGTCGAGAACTCTCGACGGTATCGTCTGCAGTCTTATCCTCTTCCTCCATCCGGTCACCGCCGGTGTCCATTTGCACTTCGGTTGGTTTGAGTCTTATTCCTTCACTGGGACTCTGGTCAGGTGTTCTCCTAAAGCCCGATATTGTAGCGTTGCTCCGAGACAATGTAGGACTGTCGAAGGGCGCTGTAGTAACGCCAAATTCTGATCCCATTTCTGCGAGTTGACAATCTAGAAGATCCTGTAGATCTTCAGCTGGTTCGGGACACGGTAAGGCTGTATTGGCAGACCTCAACATCTTCTCTCGTGCCTCAACTGTGACGTGCACCCTCTCTGTCATCCGAGCCGACTTAGAATACTTGACTGTCTCCGCGCTCCTTGACCTGTTACGTACTCGACTCAAGATAACTTCGTCGGGAAGGGAATCCGAATCGCTAGGTTCTGGTGAACTGGCCTCAACTCCTTGTATGAATTTCTTCAGATAAATATTGTCGCGAGCCTTTTCATACCCGGGAATCTTGAAGGCATTGATAAGTTTTCGGGCCACGACTGCTTTGTACATAGACGGTATACTCTTTAGACACTATAGCGGTTAGTTTAGACCCGGAGTCGAGTTGAACGAGTCATACTTGGCCAATAGACACACCGGAGGCGTAATCGATAACTGATCCGGAATCTTTCAGCGAGTTTAGAACTTCATATACCTGGAGGGCTTCCTCGCAACACAGGATAGCGACAGGATCACAGGGCACAGAGCCCCAGATTAGGAACTATATCTCGTTAGTAGTCGAGGTTTGGTTATAGTGCTGGAACACGCACCTCGCCCCTTCCTGTGTAACCCTCCTGCCCTTTGACACCCTGCTTAACAGGCTGATCCTTTTCAATCTTCTTTAGGTCCTTAAATCCATAGTCTGTGACGATACTTGGAACAAGCCAAGGCCCATTGCCTGTGCCATATAATCTCTTAATCTCCTCTTCGAGAACATTATAGTCAATGACTGCTATAGAGAGGTGTGCTGAGCTCTTAGCGAGGTGTGCTTCTATCGCCCTTTTTGGATTTTGTGTAAAAGACAAATAAGGGGAAGAAAACGTTTTGTCTGTGATAAGATGTCGATAAACCAACGATCCGAATTTGTTGCCGCCGTACGTGGGCGGTGGCGGTGGAAGTGTTGAAGGACGCATGTCCAGAAAGCAGCGAGCACGCAATCCGTGTTCAGGCTCGAAAGCCCGAAACAGAAGTCTGGGTCTCTGGTGACTTTCTTTTCCCCAGTTGTTAAAGCTCAATGTCAAAAGCGGCTTGAGTCTCTGTGCTGTCCTAGGGAAATCGTCGTCATCACCTCGACGGTAATCTTCTCCGTCATCCGAGTTGATCTCAGTGTCCCAACTTCCGGTTGAGCAAGAATCGTAAAACGACGAGTCCGTAGCCATCGTAGTGACAGATTCCTCCGTGGACGCCCTTGACATGGTATCTGATCTGTTCTTGGACTTTGCACCTATACTATCGCCCGGTTGAAGGTGGAGAGTCTTTCTTCCTTTGCCGATGATAGACGAATCCGCGAATAGATATTTGACATCCCAAGGTTCACGGAGAAGACAATTGGCGAGGAATATTGGACAGTGGAGATCAAATCGAGAAAGTTCAGGAAGAGATGATGAGTGTGTAGTGAAGATAGTGGAAGAAGTGAAGTAAAACAAATAGATAATGAGTTCCGAGTCGCTGTCCTGGAGGTGAGAAGAAGATGAGGCTGGAATTGGTGGGCACGTAATCATTTCTGCACTCACCTTGGGATCATAGAAGAGATTGACGGTTACCTACCTAGCTAGATACATAGGGGTTTCAACTACATCACTTGTTTACTAGCAGAAGAGCAGGTCCACGGTGTGCATGTCCGAATCCAGGAAACAAGTGTGTAATAGCTGCGAGACTGTTGACTGGCACGGAAAGCTTTCTGCTTTTTGCGCCTCGTTGCCAAGCCCGGCTGCAAGGCTGAGTCTCTCTCAACATTTCTCCGGGATTGTGCCGTTTCAATGTTTCCTTCTCGCCTCAGTTCACGCGCAAAGGTGGTACACCGCATAACAAGCTACCAGAAGGCGGCTTTGGGCCCTTCCAAGCAAGCTCTGTTTCTCCAACATGGAAGAGGCTGAGGCTACACAGTTCCTCGAATCCTTGCTCGGAAAGACGTTCAATGTCACTGTTCTAGACGGGCGACTATTTTCGGGAATATTTCGATGTACCGATAATGACAGCAATATCATTCTCTCAAACTCATTTGAGTACAGAATGCCGTCCAAAGCAGCTGAAAAAGCCGCGCTCGACAAATTGAAGGCTACCGGACAGGCCAGCAGAGTGGACATGACATCGCGATTCGTGGGCCTTATTGTCATTCCAGGCAAGCAGATTGCAAAGATGGAAGTCGAGGAGAAGAGGGAGTGGCCCAGCAGCCAGTCCTTGTCGATTCGGACGCGAACATGAAGAGGTGGGAACTGCAAAGTTGATCCTTGGAAAGATCCCTTCCTCAAGCTGTCACACGAACTACGGAAAACTTCGAGCAAACTACATTCGCATTGTTGAAGACAGGAGGAACCTCTCCTAAAGCAAAGCTGCCTACCTGACGGCAAGCCTTCTGAGCCAAGCTATGGCCAAACACCTTGCGGACGCACAATCCCTGGCCTTCCTACGAGCACAGTTCGCAGAGGCATGTGAAGACGCACACCGCACTTTTGCCCTCCTGTCATAATTGACCGTAGGGCAGGCTGGCTCACGCAGCGCTCAAGGCAGGAAGGAATCAAGGAACTCAATGTAATGGATGCCGCGATTAAGGCGAATCAGCTCCAGAGAAAGCGTCAGCCATGGACAAACAAGAGCAAACTCTAGTCTGGATCTGCGCCAAGGTGCGCTCCCTCCACGTTGGGACTGCTTGGGCTTACTATTATCATTATTCCTTCATGTACTTGCAAGCGCTCGGCCCCGAGACAATCGCAGTGATTTGTAGCACCCCCAAAATAATAGGTAGTACAGAGAGTGACCTCATCTGGCTCCCCTGCGGCCCAAGTTAGGCGTGGTGACCAGGAGTTAGGGGTTTAGGCAATGATCACTAAGGCTCCAGAGTTCGAATGTTCTGGGCCACGAAGCCGATATGGCCGAACAGGTGGCCAACCAGACGAGGCAGCCGCCTGGCGCCGCGAAACTAGACCGTGTACGAAACCCTGCGGTGCCCTGCCTGCACTTTCGGGCCTTCATGTTGCTCCCTCCACGAAATCTAACATCCATTTTATTTATCAACCCTAGACCGCTGTCCTCAGCTTCCCACCGCCCCCATCCCTTAGATTTACAATCTACGTGCTACTTGCTCTGATTCTGTTGACCAAGTCCGTCCGCAGCCACTACCTTTCCCGCAGGTCAGTTCCTATCCAGCCCTTCCGCACGGTGACGCAACGTGTTTCACCATCAAGGCCCCATGCGACATTTCCATCCCTACAAAGAAGCCCTCTCGTCTAGCTTGCTTGACCTTGAAGCTGGTGCTGGACGATTTTGCTGACTTCTGGCCTTCTCTCTGCTGCAGGCGAGACGAAGGAACTTCATCCCACTAGCGACACCTTCATGCACAGTCACTGCTTGTCACCTCTGCCTCCAAGTCCATCGCTCGAAGCCGGTCAACCCAGCGACATTGCGCCCCAATATTAGAAGGTGGATTTCGTCTGAGCATACTTCCAGTGTGCTCCTTCCAGAGTGCCCTTGAATAAAGTCGCCAAAACGCATTCCTCAAAGCGGCTGCTTATCTCACTCCTCAAACCTCCTTGACCCGCTCGTTTCCCTCCCCGACCTCTTTTCTGCGACCTGCCATACCTTTGCTAGGCCGAGAATTCAATGGGCCAACAACAGTCAAAGAGCAGCGATGGTACCAGAACCCCACTAAAGAGCGGCTCTTCCTCCAATCTTCCGGATACTCTACAACAGTATCCCTCGATATCCAAGTCCGATACGAGGGAGAGTTCCTCTAGGTCCATTCGGTCATCCATTCGAAGCAAAATAAAGAGCTCGGGAGATGACAAGGCCAACGACAGCCCCAGAGCCTCGGGCTCAACCCTTGCGGGGTCAGAAGGCCCCAACAACGACAAGGCCGACGCCAGTTCGATTGCCAGTGGCCGCTCGGGCTCTTCTCGAGTACCCAGAGAGAAGATCACAAACAATCCCCTTGTAGAATCTCCCGTATCGCCCAATGACGACGACGAAGCTCCGTCACCAGGTGCCAGCACACCCGCGCGACCACCGTCACCGACTCAGTCCAAATCCGTGGGTAAAGGTCACAAGTCGGTGGATCGTGCTCAGAGGACCGGTGAGGTAGGCGCAGTGTCTGAGGAAGCTCCTCATCAGGCGCACGTCCACTCATCTACACAAAAGGCCGGTGATTCCATCTTGGTCAAGCGTGAAAATCAGATTAACCCTCGAGCTCCGGAGACCAAGGCCTCATTGCGGGCCAAACTGGCAGAGTTGCCAGGTGCTTCTCCAGGAGGTGGTATGGGCATGAGCGAAGTGAATGACATGGATTTGGACGACATGATTTCTCGCCTCCTAGATGCTGGGTACACTACCAAGGTGACGAAGGCTGTCTGCCTTAAGAACGCCGAGATTACGGCAATCTGCACCGCCGTGCGAGAAGTGCTACTATCTCAACCAGCACTGCTAGAGCTCACGGCACCGGTCAAAATTGTGGGTGACATTCATGGTCAGTACAACGATCTGATCCGACTTTTTGAAATGTGCGGATTCCCTCCGAATGCGAACTATCTTTTCCTGGGCGACTATGTCGATCGGGGAAAACAGTCTCTCGAGACAATTCTACTCTTGTTTTGCTACAAGCTGAAATATCCGGAAAACTTCTTCATCCTTCGCGGTAATCACGAGTGTGCTAATGTCACTCGCGTTTATGGGTTTTACGACGAATGCAAACGAAGGTGCAACATCAAGATCTGGAAGACATTCATCGACACCTTCAATTGCCTGCCGATTGCTGCGATTGTGGCGGATAAAATCTTCTGTGTCCATGGCGGTCTGTCACCGTCTCTTTCCCACATGGACGATATCCGACAGATTGCGCGACCGACAGACGTTCCTGATTATGGGCTGTTGAATGATCTGTTGTGGAGTGATCCAGCGGACATGGATCAAGATTGGGAGTCAAACGAACGAGGAGTCAGTTATTGCTTTGGTAAAAAGGTGATCGTCGACTTTCTGGCTCGCCACGATTTCGACCTGGTCTGCCGAGCTCACATGGTCGTCGAAGACGGATATGAGTTCTTCAACGACCGCTTGCTTGTCACAGTCTTCTCTGCGCCCAACGTAAGTGTATCAATCCATCGTATGGAGAAAACGTCGCTAACCCTTTTCAAAGTACTGCGGAGAGTTTGACAACTGGGGGGCCGTGATGTCGGTGTCCAGCAATCTGCTGTGCAGTTTTGAGTTGCTGAAGCCGTTGGATTCGAGTGCTCTGAAGAGTCATATCAAGAAGGGCAGAAATGCTCGCCAGAATATGCTCAACAGTCCGGTGCGTGGTCCAATCTTTTTCAAACCTGTGATTCCAAAGCTAATGGGTCTTGCAGCCGGCACAAGTGTCCGCCCAGAGTTTTTAAAGAGACCGCGAAACCAAAAGAAGGAAAGCAATTCCAATCATTCCTGCGTTCGTTACACCCTTTATTTCCGGCAACGTCGATCCTGCCATTCGTTTCTATCCAGACAATGGGCCACGGACCAAGTATATGACCGGATCCTGGTTGGGTGCAAGATCTCCCAGACCTTGCCGTCATGGCCTCCGTGCCATTTCGATTGATTCTAGTTCAATAGGCGTCGGTTGGCGCAGCCGGGTTATTCCAACGCACAGAGACACAGACAGCTTTAGGAAGCTACGTCTTCGGAAAAGCGAATCGGTTTTCGCACAGCAATTTGGATTTCGATCGACGCTAGTCGAGTCGAAGTAACGGAGCAGAGATTTTGCAGTCTTGCTGGGAATGTACTATTGCGGCCTGGAGGGCCGAATCAACTGGAGGGCATGGACCCAGCGAAAGACAGGCAGCTGGCACATGGTATTATTTGGAGCTCTAGGAGCAAGAAGTCTATGTCGAGTGATGACCTAATGCTACGGGGGAAACGCAATAGAATTTCACCAATCCCACCAGAAATGAATTGTTTCACATTGAAAAGGATGGTCGTCGCTGCAGGATTGGCCCCAGGGTCGAAATGGGCGGGTTGATGTGGTCAGACGCGCCAGGCCGCAGGACGTGGTTGATAGAGGCACGAGCGCGTCAAAGTTTCCAGGTCCAGGTTTTGTGTGGGAGGGTTGAGCAGCTGTGAGGTGCCTGTGAAGTGCCAGTAGCGTTGGAAGATCAGGGCTGGTCCTTTTCTCCACCTGGCGAGCCGCCCAATTCCAATCTGGCTGCGGAGCACATTGGCAACCCTCCACAACGAGGCATGCCGCCCGTCTTTGTCTGTACGACTAGTAGTTGAACTGCGCCGTTGCTGCTCAGACTACCAATAGCCCTTGTTTCAACCTCTGTTCCGATACTCAGTGATGGGAGCAGAGTACTCTGGTCCGCTTGACTGCATGCTTTGACTCAGCAAGCTCCCTCTGCCGCGTGCCCGTTGTCCATCTCCGCTTCACGGAAGGCAAACGAAAGCTCCTCTGCCGCCTGCCGTCCACCCACCGCATCTTACTTCTACACCAGCGGCAACGAGAGCCGGTGCATGTTCTACGACTCCGATTTCCACAACTTCAATCTGCCATTTTGATCCTCCATAAAGCGGCCTTTGAGGCCACTCTCCAATGCCGTCATGAAAGCCGGACCGCTTCTCATTCAGTGGCACCAAGAGAGCCAGCCCATCTATTCGGTCCACTTCGATCCTCATGGTAAAGGGAGGCTAGCTACGGCTGGAAAGTGAGTTCTCTCAATGCAACAGTATCCGGCATTTTTGGCTAACGGGGAATAGTGATAACAATGTCCGGGTATAAAATTCCTCCCCTTTCGTTGGTTTCTTCGGTTCAGGTTGCTGATGTGGGTGAAAATAGTTATGGAGCGTTGAAGCTCAGGGCGAGGAGAGAAAAGTCACATATCTATCAACCCTCACCAGACACACTCAACCCGTCAATGTCGTCCGATTTTGCCCCAAAGGTTTGTCTCCCAACGCCGGTCTGAGTACTGCATGCTGACGGGAACGTAGGTGAAATGCTTGCCTCGGCCGGGGACGATGGCAACGTCCTTCTCTGGGTACCCTCCGAATCTTCCATGGCCACCATGACCGATGAACATGCCGATGATAAGGAAACATGGAGGATCAAACACATGTGCAGAACGTCTACCGGAGCAGAAATCTATGATCTGGCCTGGTCTCCAGATGGTCAATATTTCATCACAGGGGGAGTTGACAACACTGCGAGGATCTTTAACGCACATACCGGTATGTTGAAATGGCCACCTCCCGAACATGGCACGGCTAATTTTGCTTTAGGGACCATGATCCGCCAAATAGCAGAACACAGCCATTTCGTGCAAGGTGTGGCTTGGGACCCTCTCAATGAGTTTGTTGCAACCCAGTCATCGGATCGTTCGGTTCACATCTATGCTCTCAAGCTCAAAGATGGCACGCCCACACTTTCCACTCACGGAAAGTTCAACAAGATGGATCTGCCCGGTAGGCGAATATCGTCCAACAGCCCAGCACCGGCAGAGTTAACGCACCGTGCATCGAACTCAAGTGCCAACAACTTGGCCATTGCTTCCCCTGCGCCCTCAAATCCAGGAACCCCTCTGACCACACCTCTCCCTATGGATCCTCCCCTTCTAACCTCAAGCCGGCGGTCATCATTTGGCTCGTCACCTTCATTCCGAAGATCTGCTTCGCCAGCACCTTCGTTACCGCTGCCAGCTGTGAGACCAGAAATTTCGTCCCCGAGTCTGAATGCAGCCATGGGTCTTGCCGTCAAGAACACGAATCTGTACCACAACGAAACCATGACCTCTTTCTTCCGTCGTCTCACGTTCTCACCGGACGGCAGCCTGTTGTTTACACCTGCGGGACACTACAAGACCAGTTTCCCAACGGCGTCTGATCCAATGAAGACCATGGACGACGTGACAAACACGGTCTACATCTACACCAGAGCTGGCTTCAACAAGCCTCCAGTGGCGCACCTTCCAGGGCACAAGAAGCCCTCCGTGGCGGTCAAGTGCTCTCCTATCCTCTATACCTTGCGGTCCACCCCAAAACCGACAAACCACATCACGATCGACACCTCGTCGGCGAGCGAGGAGATACCGCTCCTACCAGATCCTATAGTCCCACAGAATCCATCAATGGTTATGGAGCCTCCACCTTTGTCGGCCACTACTCCTGGTCCTGATTCAATGTCCGCTCCTTCACCGAAACCATCGCTCGACGGAGAGCCTGCCAGCCCTGCACCGACACCAGCCTTCTCCCTCCCGTATCGAATGATCTACGCTGTGGCGACGCAGGATGCAGTGTTTGTCTACGACACTCAACAAACGACACCTATTTGCGTTGTTAGCAACCTCCACTACGCTACGTTTTCAGACTTGACCTGGTAAATTTTGAAACGGTCTGTTCCAAGAATGCTGCTGACAAGTTGACGCAGGTCAAATGATGGCCTTACCCTCCTGATGTCCTCTACGGACGGCTTTTGCTCGACTTTGGCGTTCGCACCGGGTGAATTGGGGCAGGTTTACACAGGCCCCCATCCAACATACAGCCATCCGGTTGTTACAACATCGATACCTTTACCAACTTCTTCTGCGAATTCAACACCTGTTCCCACGCCTACTGCTACGGCGTCTCCTTCACTGACAAAAGCATCTCCTGTTCCTGTACCACCATCGCAGCCTTCTCCAGCACCATTTATTCTTCGTCCCGGAAGTCCGACAAGATCCAATTCGCAGTCATCGATAGCTACAATGACGTCGATTCAAACTTCAGGCCTTCCAAACAATGCTACTCCTACTTTGGGGCATGTGCCCCTGGTGACAGCCTCTAATTCCGGGCCTCCGGTGGCCATTCCACCCATGACAACGCCACCTCAGACTCCTGCAAGTGTCCACGGCGGGCAACATTCTGCTACAAGCTCCATTAGTGGTTCCGTCTTGGGCAAGAGAGATGGGGCAACAAGTGAAAGCGAAAAGGAGGAAAGCAAGTCGAAGAGACGGAGGATTGCTCCCACGCTTGTTGGTCCTTCAGGCTCGACCGAGAATGCTAAGGAGGAGGGTAACTAAATTGTTATCTGGTTTCGATTGCTCTTATTTCTTTTGTGACAGGGCTTTTGTCGATCTTTATCTCAAGGGGCTGACTTCCAAGCCTCTACTGGGCTAGCACGGAGTCAAATACGTATCGCTGGGAAGCGGCCTTTTCGCTGCAAAGGGCGGAAATTTGGTAGAATGGGCCTCGATGGCGGCAGAATGTAGCAAAATATGATCGAGCTTAAGATTTTAGCAGCGCCGTCATACGCGAAGCCTCGTCACTCCGTGCAATTGCGCACTTTATCAAACGACCACAAAATCCCCTTTGGTTGCAATCTCAAGCAGGCCAACCTTGTCAGAGGGGACTACGATGACGACGGACCGACAAGCTGCAGGGACATCGTCAGCAGTTGGGACTATGACTACTACTATTCCGACTGAGTTTTGCGGACGCTACCTAGTAGGCATATATTTACTACAGTACAGTATATCTCAGGCGATGAATGATCGGCATAAAGATCGTTCGGATGACCGCCTGATATTGCAGTCAGCCATATCTGCGTGCTCTTTGAATCCTATAGAAAGGGAAGGTCGGTAGATGCTGTCAGTCTGCATAGTTTCCAGTTTGATAGATTTGTACTGTATGGTAGGGGCTAGGCATGTGAGTTCGCGTCACTGTCGCGTGACTGAGGCACCGCAGCGAGGGTGCCTACCTAATAATGTAAGTCGTCATTTTACCTGCGCTATGTCCCGATATCACATCTGCTGCCACGGCATTGTAGCAATGGCCGCAAACAGACTTCCCCTTCAAATCCGTCCAAACGGCTGAGCATCAGCGCAGAGTCGCCAACGCACAGTTCTTTGACCTCAGCGATTTACCATGGGTGTCACTGGACTGTGGACTGTGGTTGCCCCCACTGCCCGTCCAACCCAACTCGCATCCCTCAACCGCAAACGCCTCGCCGTCGACGCATCCATCTGGATCTACCAATTCCTCAAAGCAGTCCGAGACAAGGAGGGCAACGCCCTACGCAACAGCCACGTCGTCGGCTTCTTCCGGCGCATATGTAAACTGCTCTACTTTGGGATCAAGCCCGTGTTTGTCTTTGATGGCGGGGCGCCGGTTTTGAAGAGAGAGACGATTCGGAAGAGAAAGAGAAGACGGGAAGGCAGACGAGAAGATGCGGCGCGGACGGCGGGGAAGCTGCTTGCCGTGCAGGTTGCGAGGGCCGCCGAGGAGGAAGAAAAGAGGCGAAGAACCGAGCGAGAGAGGACACCCGAAGAGGCCTTGCCTCCGGACCAAGAGCTGGTGTATGCCGAAGAGCTGGGCATGTCCAAGCAAGAACGCACAGCTGGACGAGGCGAAAAGTTCAGGAAGAAGGACCAATACCATTTACCCGACCTGGACGTAAGCATCGAGGAGATGGGCGCGCCCAACGATCCGAGAATCATGTCTCAAGCCGAATTGGAGGAGTATGCGCGGCAGTTTCATTCAGGCGAGGATATCAATCTCTACGATTTCAGCAAGATCGACTTCGAGAGCCCCTTCTTTCTGTCACTGCCCGCTGGGGATCGGTATAACATCTTGAATGCCGCCAGGCTGAGGTCGAGATTGAGGATGGGCTACTCGAAGGAACAACTCGATGGCATGTTTCCCGATCGTATGGCGTTCTCAAAGTTCCAGATCGAGAGGGTCAAGGAGCGAAATGAATTGACGCAAAGACTCATGCACTTGAATGGTATGGTGGAAGGAGATTTCCTGAGAGAGGGTGGTGGCAGGATTGCTGGTGAAAAAGGCAAAGAGTATATTTTGGTGAAGAATGAAGGGGTAGAGGGGGGATGGGCTTTGGGTGTGGTGTCAAATAGGCAAGGCGCCGAGAAGGAGAATGCAATCGACCTAGAAGATGAGGGAAAATCTGACGTGGATTTCAGTGCTGACTCGGATCAGGACGAGTTTGAAGATGTCGCGATTGAAGGCTTGAATCGACTTCCGAAGACCTGGGCGCGGAAGAGAAAGGCTGGCGTGGACTATGACATGTCATATGAAGAGGTGGCCGAAGAGATTGCGAGAAAGAGGAAAGCGGTTTACGAAGCAAGGAAGGCCGCCTCAAACGCTAAAGATGCTGCTCCAAAGGCTCCACGACGTGTTCCTCTGGTGCAGGACACGGATATGGTAACGACCGACGAATCACTATTTGTTCCCGAGGACAAAGCAGAGGGCGACGACGACGACGATTTATTTGAGGATGTTCTACCACTGGACCCGGAGCCAGAGGAGAATGACGAGGATCTCCAACGGGCCATAGCAATGTCTTTAGAGCAACCAACCGATGACGACCGAAGGGGCGGTGGCTGGGTGGCGGAAGCAGCTCCAGAACTAGCCATGGAAGAGTCTGCAGAAGAAGATGGCTTTGACTTACAATCCGCCCTCGCAGAGTCAAGGCGAACCAAACTCAAGCCAACACCGAGCGTCAGAGAGAGAAGTCCGACGTCATCGAAGGTGACAACCACTGCCACTTCAAAATTTGACGGCCCGTTGCCCTTCGAGTCCCTCAATCTCGGACAGTCACTACTGGGAAAGAAGAAATCCAAGAAGGTCGAAGAGGATCTATCAGGTGGTTTCGATCGGGATCTCGGAGATGAAGCTTTCCGCAAGGAGAGGCCTCCTCAGCCGATGCCGGAATGGTTCAATGCCACCCCGAACATTAAGGATATGAAATCCCGGATTGGGACTGTCGATGATTCAGACGTCGTGCACGGAGAAGAAGACGCCGTTCGATGGGACGCCATACGGCGCCATGATATCAAAGTGGTGATTGACCTCGAGGCTGAGGACGAGAGAGGCAGAAGTCAACATCCAGTTGATCTCGAAGAGGAGAATGTCGAGGACGAAGTGCAATTGTTAACTCAGCCATCTCAAGAAGCTGTCGATGAACTCAACCCTCCTAGTCAGCCTGAACCTCCCGAGGTTCAAGAAGTCGAAGATCCGGAAAAACGAAAAAGAGACGAAGAGCGCGAAAAACGATATGAGATTGCACGACAAATCGCAGCTGAGAACCAACCCAAGGAAGAACCATCGCCGACGATTGGCGAGATAGCCGAAGAAATACAAGCTCGACCGCCTCCACCATCTTCTGTCCCTCAGCACAAGCCTGAAGCTGTTCCTGAAAAGGTTGCTGTCGAAGAGAGCGATTTCGAGGAAGTCGAATGGAGTGAGTCGGACAATGAGCAGCCTGTACAGCCAATAAGTCCGGGATCGCTCGGTACCGTCGAAGAAGAGTCTCCCCAACCTCGGCGCGGCACAGCGATTGCGGCGCAAGATGAAGATGAAGGCGAAGAATTTGAAGATGTGGACATGGAACCAGCTGTAACGCTAGAGCAAGCGCCACCACCGACTGGTGCCTTTCACGACTATCCTGCAGTAGAGGGTCTTCCAGGACTCAGCGATCAACCCGTCGCAGAATCAAGCATCACAGAAATTCCAGACGTGGGTCCAGCCGAAGAGGAAGATTTCGATTACCTTTCCGCCTCGGAGGAAGAGCTGATGCGTCAACTGGCAGAAGAGGCTGAAGAGCACACCCGTTTCACGTCTGCCCTCAACAATGCCCAAGGTCCCACGGCTGAACAAGCCATGCGCGACTTCGATGCCGAACTCAAAGCCTTGCGGTCACAACAAAAACGCGACCGCCGAGATGCCGATGAAGTCACGCAGACAATGATCCAAGAATGTCAAGCACTGTTGAGATTATTCGGCCTTCCTTACATTACCGCCCCGATGGAAGCCGAAGCGCAGTGTGCTGAACTCGTCCGCCTGGGCCTGGTAGATGGGATCGTCACGGACGATTCGGATATCTTCCTCTTTGGAGGAACTAGGATATACAAGAACATGTTCAACGCGGCAAAGTACGTCGAGTGCTATCTCTCCTCAGATCTTGAAAAGGAATTTCTACTGGACAGGAGGAGATTGATAAGATTCGCGCATCTGTTGGGCAGCGATTACACGGAAGGAATTCCAGGGGTAGGGCCCGTGACTGCGCTAGAGATTTTGACCGAATTTGGTGATCTAGAGGAGTTCAAGGCGTGGTGTGAGAGAGTCCAGCTCGGCAGGCCCCAAGATCTGGAAAATCAACTGACAACCCCTTTTCGACGGAAATTCCGCAAGACGGTGCAGAAACGCCTGTTCCTACCGACGGGGTTTCCTGACTTGAGAGTTGATGAGGCATACTTGAACCCGGAAGTCGATTCAAATTCGGAGCCGTTTCAATGGGGTGTGCCGGATTTGGACAAATTACGAGGCTTCTTGATGGCGACGATCGGGTGGACGCAGGAGAGAACCGACGAGGTTCTGGTCCCGGTGATTCGGGACTTGAATCGGCGCGAGGTGGAGGGAACGCAGAGCAATATCACGCGATTCTTCTCCGGAGCGGTTGGTGTGGGTGGAAGGGGTATCAATGGAAACCCAGGAACTCGTGGCAAGGCGCTTGCCGTCGGTGGTGAGGGTATTGGGCAGGCCCAAGCACAAGCGGAGGCGATGGCTCCTAGAAATCGCACGGGCAAGGAGTCGGGACGGATGAGAAATGCATATAAAAGGCTCAGAGGGGAGGCAGAGAAGCGGAGGAAACGGCGAGAGGACGAAGCGGACGAGGACGACGACCAAATGGAAAACGACGATGAGATCGAGGTTCTTGAGGGACTCGGCGAGATCCAGGGCATTGAGGGTCTTGAAGGCCAGCCTGGCACGAGCACCAATGCTGTCTCCACGCCCACTTTGTCTGTAGCAGATGTCGACGACGACCGCGATGATGACGGAGAGTTTGCTGGAGATGAAGCTCCACCCAAGCGCGCCTCGAGTTCGAAGTCGAGGTCCAAGGCGAAGGCCAAGGCCAAATCGCAGGACTCCACGACGAAGCCACGACCAAAGTTGACCAAGAAAGGCGGGAGGGAGAGAACAGGCGGCGACGACTAAGTAGTTTTTGGTCCACCCTGCGGCCTTTTCGAGCTCACGATATCCCAGCTTCTCTTGCGAGGGAGAAGAAGGGAGCGTGCGTTACGAAGTTTACGACCGAATGAGTATATGAGCGCAACTTCAGCACGTTGCGGACATCCTGAAATGAGGACGAGCTACCACTTTTTAAATTCTGCTTGATATCCAATACCATTGGACACTGTTGCGTGGACTTCTTTCCTTGAGTATCCCTCTGCCCCGTGGTTTTGTGCCGACTTGTCGCGTCCCCCCTTTGCTTTCCTTGATATTCCTTGTTCTCCCCAAAGGCAGCTGTCGTGGAATGGTCGTTGAATCTAGCCCCCACCCTGGCATTTCTTCCACCGAGATCTGTCATAGCTTTGATAGTTGGATGTTGGCGCGGCTCGGTGTGTCCTTCGAAAGAGTCGCGTGGTTTGTACGGAAGACGCAGGACTCAAAAAGCTGAGGGATTTGGGGGTTGTTGCCGTCTTGATGATTTTGTTAAATTGGTTAGATTCCTTTCTACCCTATCTCCAAAGTCGGTTTGCCCCAGTGAAGAGCTTGATCCGTGCTCTTGTTGGGAGAGGTGACATGTAGACTTTTTGATTTGGTGCTTTGTCCCGCCATTCAATGCCGGCGGGCTTCTGCAAATGACAAGCGGTTTCATGTGGGAGGTTGGCCCAGAGTCAAGGTCTATCGATCCTCCTGTGCAGGTCGGGACACGTGCGTTCGTACTCCGAGAGCGTCTCTTTCGCCCTCTGCTTTTGATAAGTCCCCTCGCTCGCGTAAGCCGCAAATTTCAACACACAACACTGGGGACACCGATGCCCGTAGCCCGTGTCTGATTGGAACCACATCAAAAGGTCGTACCAGTTGACGGTCGTCCTATCGAAGATCGGAGCGGTCATCTGCTTGTCCCAATACTCGCCTCCATTCCGGGGCAAGAACCGAAAACACCCGCGACATAGTCTCAGATGCGGCGGTATGTAGTTATTCTTCCGTTCGAGCAGGCGGAAGAGGCCGTCCTTGTCGCGGTAGCCGCGCCAGGGCGAGAGGACGTCTTTCTGGGCCGCGATGCGTGCCATGGTCTTGCAGGTCAGGGCGAGGGATACCTGGAAGTAAGGGATTTTGACCTTTTTTAGGATGAGGGTGAGGAGCTCGGGCGGAAGCTGGAGGAATGCGCTCTTTGTCTGTGGAGAGACCGGGCCATGTAGGAGGATGGAGTCGGGGATGAAGAAGGGATCGTAAGGGCCGGATCGAACTGGCTCGGGACGTATGGTGTATTGTTCGCCTCTTTCTTTTGGCACCGCTTCTTCTAGATCCCTCAACAGCTGCTCGTTTGAATCCAAAGGAGGAGGGTGGATCTTCGGTGGGATGTTAGGCCAGGGGCCCGGCCCAAAGGCCACTATGAGGGAGTTGGGGTTCAAGGTCAAAAATTCATGGTCATCATGTTGTGCGGCGTTGAGCAACGGCTCTCCCATGTTGTTTGACTGTTGGCGTTTGGCGAACTCAAAAGGTAGGAGGTGAGAGGAGGAAGATCCGAGTTGTGGGAAGACAGAAAATCTGGGGAAGGGCCATTGGGGGGCAACCTAGGCTGTGGGCGGACAGGCGGGACAATAATTGAGGGGCCAGGGCTAACCAGCCTGTGCAGATGGCCAATCCCAGGCGGGCTGCGCGGGGCGGAAACAGGAGGGGTCGACCTATCGGTGCCCGGGTTGCCCTGCCCAGATACTTAAAGGAATCCCGTAAGGGCAGGTGGGCAATTCTCAACAATACGTGTGCAGTTATATAAATTCCCATTGTGTAATCGGCACACACAGACATTTGTGCCCTTTCGGCTCGATACATATATGCACGGGATGCAGAGTTTCTCTGAGGGCAAATGTCCGGATCTCAAACAAGAGTCTATATTCAGGTAGAGGCCATCGTGGTAGGCATGCTTGCCCTTTCTATCGTAGACGGGTGGCCCTGCTTCCATCCCCAAGTACCTCGCTGCCTTTACAGGAGCGAGCAGCTTGTTCGTATATGCACACCGTTCTTCGGCTCTTCGGTCTTACAAACTGCACATCTTGCAAACTGCGTCTGAGCTTCGCGAATCAAGATCACCACCGCGAGGCTGAAAAAAGGTTCCCCACCAAAGCGCCAAGCTGCATCGGGCAGAAAGTTGGCGACTGCGGAGTTCGTATGTTCGTGTGCCTTGCAGCCCTGCAGTTCTAGTGATTCGGAGGCAGTGAGATTCCAAAGACCTTAGCTTGTCACTCCTCGCAGTCGTCTCCCCACAACCTTGCTACATCTCGACCCAATCCTCCGTCCACGATCCCAACTTCACGACCGGTACAATGGCCGAATCTCACCCGGTGGGCGCTCCGCCCGAGGAGCAACTGGAGTCAGAGTCCGATGTCGAAGAACAGCACCACGATGAAACTACAGAAAGCACTCAAGACGCAGCGGGCACAGCATCTGGAGAGGCGAAGAAGAAAAAGAAGAAGTCCAAGAAGTCCAAACTCGTCTCTACCATCACCGGCAAAAAGTCCCCCGAAGAACCTACAGACCCCTCCAAACCCGCCGCCAACTTGAGCAGCGACTCACTAAAGACTCTCCTTGACATGAACCCTGCCCTTAAAGGCGAGCTGTCGGGTCTATCTCCTGAGAAAGCAAATGAGTTGCTCAAGAAGATGGATGTGTCACAATTGCTGAGTGGACTGTCATTGTCGGGGAAAAACCAAAAGGACATGGCCTCTTACAAATTCTGGGCAACCCAGCCTGTGCCGCGCTTTGACGAAAAGGCAGGGAAGGACAAACCAGATGGCCCGATCAAAGAGGTGATCCCGGAATTGGTGCCAAAGACGGCCGCACCTCTGCCTGAAGGGTATGAGTGGGTGGAACTCGACTTGACCAACGACGAAGAGATCAAAGAGGTCTACAAGCTTCTCTCACTACACTATGTCGAGGATGACCATGCCATGTTTCGCTTCAATTATTCCGCCGTCTTTCTGGACTGGGCTTTGAAGTCGCCTGATTGGAAGAAGAGTTGGCACGTTGGCGTCAGGGCAAAGGGGCCAAGCCGACTTCTCGTCGCAACCATCTTTGGCATCCCGATCAAGTTGAGGATACGGCAACATGTCCTCGACGTGGTGGAAATCAACTTCATGTGCGTTCACAAGAAGCTGAGATCGAGAAGACTGGCGCCCGTGCTCATCAAGGAGGTCACGCGCCGCTGCCATCTGGAGGGCATATACCAAGCCATCTACACCGGCGGCGTTGTCTTACCCACACCGGTAGGGAGCTGTCGATACTTCCACAGAAGCCTTGACTGGTTGAAGCTGTACGAAGTCGGCTTCTCTCCTCTGCCTCCCAACATGACCCAAGCCAAGATGATTGCTCGGAACCAGCTACCTCCAAACACCAGCACCCCCGGGTGGCGAAAGATGGAGGAGAAAGACGTGGATGCAGTCCATGATCTGCTGTCGCGGTACCTTGAACGATTCGACCTCGCCCAAGTATTCTCAAGAGCCGAGATTGTACATTGGTTCCTCAACCGGGAGAAGCCAGAGAATCAGGTCGTGTGGTCGTTCGTGGTCGAAGACACGGATGGCAAGATCACAGATTTTGGGAGCTTCTACTGCCTCGAAAGCAGCGTGATTGGTGAAATGAGCAAGAAGCATGACAAAGTCCGGGCTGCCTATCTTTATTACTATGCAACCGAGCAGGCGTTCAACCCCAAGGAGAAAGGCTTGAAGGAGAGACTGCTGCAGCTGGGCCAGGACCTGCTGATCGAGGCCAAGAAGGTGCGTGTTTCCTCACTCCCGCTTCACTGACTGTCGTTTCCCCGTTCAAAATACTGACGCTGCATCGTGACCCAGGCCAAATTCGACGTCTTCAACGCCCTCACACTCCACGACAATCCCATGTTCCTGGAACAGTTGAAATTCGGCGCCGGCGATGGGCAGTTGCACCACTACTTGTACAACTGGCGCACCAAGCCGATCAACGGCGGCATCAACGCCAAGAACATGCCTGATGAGAGTAAACGAGGCGGGATCGGCATTGTGCTTTTGTAACGGTTGTGCGACCCGAATGCGGAGACGCAGATGGAGCAAGCAGTGTCCGGACTTGTCTAGCTGGCAGAACGTTGCAATCCTTAGAGAAGCTGTTGTTAGCATAAAGCGTCGATCAGTGCTGCAATGCAACGTGCGCTATTAATGCATGATGTTATGGTCCATTCTCCCATATGCAAGTGGGTTGACAGCTACAATCGAGACGTAGGAGGACCATGATTTGGCAGCGAGAAAGGCTAGAATGCTTGCTTCGCCGCTTCTTGAACGAGCGGATGATTTGGTCCTGGCTAACTGGATTTTGTTCGGCTATACTACATACTCCTTATCCTTTTCCCATATCGCGCTTCAATTCGGCTCTTTCCCCCAAGATGAGCTGAGTTCCGCCTCTTCGGTTGGTGCCCTTGCGGCGCCATTGGATTCCAGGTGATATGATCTTGCACTCTCCTTTCGAGCGTCGTCCTCTTGTGGGATTCGACTTTCTTATGGTACAGAGATGATGGCAGTGTGTAGGCGCATGATGACGGGTCGTTGGTCGATCATGCATTCATTGGGCTGAGCAGATCCTTCTATCGGTGGGCCATCGAAGTACGACTGAAGAGGGTACTTTCTGGCGTTGCTTGAGTATGAGGGGGGATCGTCTTTGTGTCTTAATGTCCTCTAGACATCATCTCCTATCCTTCCTTTTCACTGCAGCGGCCACCGATCCCGCGCGGAGTGAGCATGTTCTATCCGCTCAACTCCGGAGAGAATCAAGATGGCTCGAGTATTTGACGTGAGTCATGACCTGGGTTAGGACGCTTGAGATATTCGGCCGCAGGATTGTATACATGTCTGACTATTCATTTGCCCTGTCGTTGCTTGTGCTTGGGATTCTTGTCGCAGATGATGAAGACCCGGTTCTTGCGCCGGACAGCCTAACAAAGAGAGAGCAAGATGTTAGCGAAAGACGCAATTAAATAAGCCTATACGTATGCAGGACAGAGAGAAGATGTGACTAGATCTAGTCCTCGAGAATGTGGATGACGAGCCAAAGTGTCCTATGGGGATTATGTACCTTGCAACCATCACATAATCTCTTCACCGACGAGCGAGTCTTCATCCCTCGAGTCTGGACTTGTGCACCCGGAGCTGGCTGGAGGTGTGACGCGCGCAAAGGGGATACCGAGCTTCGGAAGAGGGCAGTAAAATATGTTCTCGAGGCGGCATTGAACGCGGAGGGCCAGAGAAATCGTGGCCCGGCGAGAAAAGGTCGAAAGAGACGGAGGCGTGCGGGGAGTTGCGCGAGCATCTTGGAGGAATGGCTTGTGCAGTAGATGGCGTTTGAACGAGGCAATAAATGAGCTTGGTCTTTCATCGAGGACGATTGAAGGATCTGGTTGAAGACGCAGTGACAAGAACTGCTTCTGGGAACGCTTGGTCCGCCGTAGCTGTCGGGTTATGCGCTAGCCCTCTTCGGAGGTTTCTCTGCAGTGACTTCGCGCTCCTATTCAGGTTGGCCTCCTACACCGTGCCCCAGCTCAGTCCTCTTCGCCTGGCTATGCGGATTGACGTTCAGGCGGAAAGAAAGGTAACATGTACGCTGATCCACTGTGTGCTGACCATGTGTGATCAATCCTTGAGTCTCAAGCTGCCATCGGAGGAGGGCCTGCCTCATTGCACAGCGAGAAACGGACATGCACAAAGCAAGCACGACTGATTGCCGCTTGTACGAGTCTATACTCTTCAACAAGTTCGTCTGCCATCTCTACTAACATAGCACGGACAAGAACCTCCCGTTTCGTGCCTGCCGTCAGCGATAGATTTCCCTGAGCCTACAAGCCAGTAGCATCACCGAAATCCATCATCAACATCCAGCTTCCGTCATCTTGCATATTGTCAGGCAGCCACCGCATCGGAGTCTCGATGCCCGAATTTGCAAAGCTTGGTATGTGCGCGTTGGGGTAGGGACTGCTGTTCGACGGAAGTGGCTGAAGACCACCGCTGCCGCCGAACCCCAGATTCATGGGGTTAGAGAGGTTAGGGGGCGACTGCGTGTCCAGCATCTGCCCATGTGCTTCAGAATACGCTGGAGTCGACCTGACCACAGGAAATAGCATGTTCTCATTGGCATCGCTCTGGGTCGACATCGACATCAGATCTGTTCGAAAGTGTGCATCGTGCTGAAAGCCCTGCCGGTGCTGTGCTGGGTCGCTCACTGGCTCATGTGCGCCATTCCCAGCTTCTGCCAGGCATATGCTCGATTGTCGTCTCGGACGTGGCGAAGAGAGATGCTCAGAACGCCGGCGTGGTCGTTGATTGTGCACCTCCGAGTTCACCTGCTTGTTTGACCATTGTCGAAGCAGCTGTACAATGACCGCCGCACACCTAGCCGCCGATGGCGTGGCACCTGCCTGTCGCAAGACCTCAAGGCCAAAGTTCAATCTTACACTTGCTTCCTGTGCCAGAGCGAGACATTCCTCCATGTTGTTCGTTCCATTCACTACATCTCGACTGTTGGACTCGTTTTCCTTCAAATCCAAGACATTGACTGTGCATGCCACAAACATGGTATATGTTTGGAGGTATGTGATGAACCGGAACCCAAACCGCCGAACATGCAGTGTGAAGAGCGTATCGATCATTTGTGCCGCTTTAGTGCACAACCCCTTTGCTCTGGGGGAGATGTTCCGGTACGGCCGACACAGGAGGATCATTGTGGCGTGGTACGTCAGATTGAGGAGTAAAATATGGATCGGTGGGCAGAGAAAGACCCTACTATCCGGGGAGATAAAGAGACCAGGAGGAAGACTGGTTGACCACTGTTCCAGCTTCCCGACCGTGGTATCGAGAAACGCAAGGAGATGGTCCTGCTTGGATTGGTGAGGCCGGCAGTAAAGGCCGTCCAGCACACCATCGACGATTGTGCACAGCCTGCAATATGCAGCAAATCGAGCACTTCCAAGAGACCTCTGCTCGATAAAGCTCGTCGTCGACTCTGTCTCTTTGCCGAGGACCGGAATCCATTGCTCTTCGTCCGTCTCGGCACCGTCGAGCAGGCTTTCTCTGGACGGCACATCGATTGTGTCATGGATAATAGGCGCTCTGCCCAAACAAAGACTCATGGTCTTGTCCCAGGTGAAACAGCTCCAGAACACTTGCTGCCGCAGGGCAACATCTTCTTCCGAAAATTGGCGCGAAAGATATCCCATCTTCCTGGGTTCAATGTGGATGCCGAGATCACGCATCATCCGAAACGCCATACCAGAGTAGAGCCAGCCCTGGGAGATTCTTCCACAGGCGCATTCTCGGGCTGAAAGGATGAGCAAGCCTTGGATGGTGGGGATAGAGCTGCCCTTGTCGATGTCATTGGGAAGTAAGTGCAAAGCTCGAGCGGCAAAATGATCCCCTAAGCGAGATGCTTCGGGCCTGGTGGAATATCGGGCTGCTTGCGCGAGAACAGCGCTCACCAGGAAAGGAGTCACAGAAGGGCCGGAGGTGTATAAATCGCCTGTATCTCGTCAGTATTAGCTCGTCGCCCGGAGGGACTTGCCACGCACGCAAAAACAAGCGCTTGTTCAGCACCAGGTGTAGGTGGTGTGACCAACACCAGTACGCATCCAGGAAATGATCCAGCAACTCACTAGATATCTCGGAGAGGAGTTGCGGCACTGCAGGGGTGTCGACAAAAAGATTGAGTTCGGGCGTGGTATAGATGGTTGAAGCGGTCGACACTCCCATGTTCAGCACCAGCTGCTCGTCGGCTTCAGGCAGCAGGTCTTCGCCTTTGCCATCATCCTGCGGGTCGACGTGGTAATGACTGGTCTTGCCGTAAAAGCAGATGCGGCCATCTGCACCTATGGAAGTCTCGTCAGGCGGCTCGTTCTGTGCAGCGGGAGACGGGGATGACAGCGCTTCCGGCTCCTGGATCTCATGTTGTTGCCTTTCCGGCCCTGCCATGAGAGCTGAAGGAGCTCGCGCCCGCTCTGGCTTGACATCCTCAAATGGCTCCTGAATCAGAGCATCGCGCTCTTCGACAGTGCTACTGTGACGGAGCTTCTCGAATCTTTCTTCGAATGCTTTGAGCCGTTTCTCGAGAGATGCGGCATATGCTACTGAAGGTCCTCTTCATGGCAATGCCCAGTTAGCAGTGATCGCTTCTGCGTGCAGTGCAGGACTCACCGGTCATATTCGCACATCTCCCGAGATGCAACGCACTTGTCGCAGGCCGGCGTCGCTCCATTGCATCGGGCCTTCTTCCTCCTGCAGTTGGAGCAGGCGAACCCGTATCTCCGTGCCTGCTGGGCTCGCTGCTTCTTCTTGGACCGCAGACTTGCCGTGTCCGACTTGGACTCCACCATGCTCACAACGGTAATACCGGGATCATTGCGATGCAGGACGGTGGTAATATGGGCTTATCAAGACGACTGAGCATTGCGCAGGCATGGACACACACGGACCTTGCTCCGGGCGCTGTCACCGAGTCAAATAGCACCGAGCCACACCGATTCGGCCTAAAGACTAGGGCTGTTGGGCTGATCGAGTCATGCCTCGGTGGAGATTAGGGGCTTCAGCCTCGTGACGTCGCATCGCGTAAGCAGAGGCGGGGAAATGCGGGGTTGTGCCTCTTGAATGCGACAAGTTTGCAGTCGATCAGGCCCGGCATCTCTCCGACTCGGGGATGGTGTGAGTGCTAGAGGCCTTCAACTGTAGGCCGCTGGAGAGCTCGTCACATGTTACTCACTGTCTAGAGTGAACGTGGTTGAGCTACGGCTAAATATGGCCAGACTCTGCCAATCCTATTCACACCGTTGACGACAAGGACCACAAGAAGTTCTACAGAAATGTCGGACCTCGAATTGACGCTGGAGAGACTGCGCAACGCGTATGACAAGCCTGAATACGCAAAGGGCCTTAATACGGCGTTGAGAAAGGCATTAAGGCTATTTGCCGCGGCTGCCAGACTGGACTTTGTCGTGAGTTGGGAAAGCTTGTGGCCTCTTCGCCGTGCTAACTGCGTATCTCAGCAAGACAATGCGGGCAACATACACATCTGGAAGCATGGTCGGGATCCCGAACTAGCAAACATCGCAATAGCCTTCCAACTAGATGAAAACCGCTCACGTGCTTCTTGTGAAAGTGCGTTTCGCCTCTTCCACCAGCTGCAACGGGAGAATTTACTCTGCGGCGTCACTCTGTTGGGCTGGACCTCAGTGGGCGACGATGACCTCGGACGCGAACTGTGGGAAATGTGTGGTTCCATGTCGAGAAAACAGCCAGTGCAGCCTGAACTCGAGCAGTTTGCGACATTTGAAGACGTGTCGAAGTTTCAGTTGTCGGCGGTCTTTGAAGTGGCCGATACACAAGATATGCCTTTGGAGGCAGAAGGAGCACCTGTTATCATCGAACACGTCAAGAAAGCAGCCTCCTCAGCGGTAGCAACCAGGCCAGCAGTCCGGAAACAAATGCGAGCGCCAGAAGTACGCATCAAGGGCCGAGGTGCTGAAGCGACCGGCTTTGAAGCAATCAAGACTTACAGCGCATATGTCGGGGCGTTATTTGACAACTTCGACTAGCGCGCGGAAATGGACATGGTAAGCACAAGGCTGTGGGAGATTACATTCGTCATATTGACGCAGAGGGAGCCAGAGGTGGTCTCTGAGATTGGTCCTTGATCTTTCTATGGTTCTTTTCGTCGGTGTATTCACCGTCAGTTGGGCGGAGAATCGCGGAGAAGAGAGGGATCTTCGCAGTGGAGCCAACAAGCATGATTCAATGCGGCCAAGTGCGGCATCCGTCCGCTCACAGCCACTACATCCATCTATGCGCTCATCCAAGCATTCAAAACCCGTACGATCCATAAAGGCAGACGATATATGCAATCATACACTCTTCTTGCTTGCTCTCATCGAACACACACTGTCGACACCATGGCATCCAAACTGTCCACCCACGGCTACATCTCCTCGAACGACAGCAAGTTGTTCTATGAGACCGAGGGAAACTCCAGTGGGCCTGCGATCTTATTCATTCATGGGCTAGGTGGGACGACGAACGCCTTCCAGCCTCTTATCCCCGATCTCCAAGACTATAATATTGTCCGCTTTGATTGGTCTGGTCACGGCCGAAGTTCTACGCCAGCGACTACTAGCATCGACTCCTATGTAGGAGATTGTCTGGGTACGTATGAAAGCTCCTTCACATGGGTGTTAGGGGATGGTAACTAACCCCCCTTTCTCAGCTGTGATGGATGAATTGAAGTTGAAGGATGTCAACGTCGTCGGACATTCATTAGGTGGCTTGATTGCTTTACATCTCGCAGCCAAAGTCCCTGATCAGGTCAAGAGCCTGGTCTTGTTCGGCCCAGTCAGCCCACCTCCTGAAGCCGGCCAGCAAGCATTGGGAGGCCGTGCCAAAGCCGTGCGGGAGAATGGAATGGTGGGAATCGCCGACACCGTGGTCGGGAATGCCTTTGCAGCCGAGTCGTACAAGTCAAAGAGAGGCGAGGTTGCACTAGCCCGTGAAATGCTGACCAGGCAAGATCCAGCAGGGTACGCTCTGGCCTGTGAGGCATTGGCCAAGAGTCAGGCTGCTGCTTGGGACCGCATCAAGGCGTCAGTGGCGGTTGTGTCAGGCAACGAAGACAAAGTGTCCACAGTTGCAGCTGGTGAGGCAACCACCAAGAATCTCGGTTCGAATGCGAAGCAGACCGTCCTCGAAAGTGTAGGACACTGGCATATGCTCGAAGCCACGCAAAAGTCGGTCGAGATCATCAAGAGCACCTTCTCATAGAGACACGCTTAATACTGAATATAGAGTCTTTCTATAACACCCAGCCCAACTCGTCGTCTTATTTCCCATTCACTCCATTGGCGTGGTCCCCTTGCAAAGAAAAATCCTCGCCCTTGAAGGGTTTCAACCCAGCAGTTACCCGCATCCCAGCGGCACAGGCGCTCCAATCCAGTGATTCTCCTCCAATGGCTTTAGCGGTGGTCAAATGATTCCAGGCCTGGTCAATGATGGGCGTTGGGGTTGACGTCTCGGCTCCAAGACGACGAATGTACGCCGCATCCTTCATTCCTCCAGGCAGGGTAAAGCCTGTTTTGCCACTGAATGCACCGTCGCGGATCTTTTTGCCATAGTTGACCCAAGCTGCTGCCGGAAACCATTGCTCTGGAATGACACGTCAGTTACTGCTCCGACTCACTATCAAAACAGATGACCGCTTACGGATAAATTCGTAAAAGACGGCGGTGTCGAAGCCGGTCTTTTCGGCCAGAGTGAAGCTCTCAGACAGCAGTTCAATCGTGCCCAGGATACAGTTGTTCCCTAGGATCTTCAGGAGAGCACCCTTGGAGGTGTCTTCGCCGCAGTCGATCACGCCTTTGCCGAGGGTAGGGACAATGTACGACTTGACCGTCTGCCTCGCTTCGTCCGTGCCGGAAAGGACTATCAACAGCCCGGCACTCTTCGCGGCAGCAGGCGGTCCGAATACGGGGCAAGACATGAATGAAGCACCGGCGTCTCGAGCCTCCTTCTCCAGAGTGGTCGAGGTGGTAGGGAACAGGGTTGAGTGGTCGACCAGGATCAATCCATGTTTACGGGCCTGAAGGATCTCGCGATAGACCGAGAGGGCCACCTCGTCATTGGCCAGGCAAGTATGGATGATATTGCATTTCTGGACCAGGCTGGGGATGGAGTCTGTGGGCTCGCAGTGGCTGTTCGCAGCGACAGCCTCGCTCTTGCTCCGTGTCCGATTCCATATCTGCACCTTGGGGAGGCCTTTGGACTGGGCGTACGATGCCAGGTTGTGGCTCATCATGGAGCCCATGTTTCCAAGTCCAATGAACCCGAAGGACATGTTGTTTTCTGCCATGGTGAAGAACGGGTGCTGCTCAAGTTGGCCGGGGAAAAAGGTCGGCTTGGTCGGGGTTAGCAGCGTCCTTGCTATGCTATGAAAAGACAATCTAGTTCACTCGTGAAAGAATATAAAAGAGCCTTATCGCCAAGATCTCGCACTGATATCTTGTCGACTCGAGGCGCAACAGCACCTCCATCCGTCAACGTGCCGGCATCTCACCGTTTCCGCTTGCCCAAGTGATCGCCACGACTTCAACACCACCCTTACATGCTTTCTCGACGGCATCCTCCCGCTATGGTCTGTGCTTGTTTCGAGCGGGGTCTCCGCACGTCGATCTCAATGAAGCGTGACAATCCGTAAGAAGCTTTTCCACATGCAATACAAATCGCTGGAAAGATCCCTCCTTTGAGGTGTATATTGCTTGACCAAAGGCCCTTTCACTGACTGTAAAACTACAGGACTGTACCTTTGTTGAATGTTCCTCCGTCGCATCAATACAAGTTTGAGTTGAGGGCAGCACACGCTTTGCTTCCAGGATGGGCTCCATCGGTAACACACCGTCGAACGGCGTAGGGGATCTCCTCGCAGACTTACCCCCGTACAAGCCCACTCCGGCAGACATCACCATCGACAACCACAAGGTGGGGGACAAGGGCAAGATCTTGTTCAAGAATGTCAACATCTTCGATTCAACGGGGGCAGACATGTACTCCGGGGACGTGCTGATCGAGGGAGAACGTATCAAAGAGGTCGGCAAGGTCAATTTTACTCCTGACGACGACACACTCGTCATCGACGGCAATGGCACCAAGACGCTCATGTCGGGTCTCTGCGACGCGCATACCCATCTGAGCTGGAATAATTCGCCGACCCTGGACGGGCTGACCAGTCTCGGTCTGGAAGAGCACGTCTTACACACGGCCGAATCCGCAAAGACCTACATCGACTGTGGCTACACGATGTGCTTCGGCGCGGCTTCGGCACAAGAACGTCTAGATATTGTCATCAAGCAAGCAATCAAATCCGGCATGATTCCCGGCCCCCGGACGTTGGCCAACTGCCAGGAGATCACCACCACCGGCGGAGCAATCATCCCGAGTATAAGCCACTATGCTGACGGAGAGGATGCGATGCGCAAGACGGTCCGCCATTTTATCGAAGTCGGAGCTGACAACATCAAGCTGAGCATGACCGGTGACTATGTACATCCTACCATGGGCGCCACGGAAACATACTTCACGCTGAAGGAGACGAGAGCGGCGGTGGAAGAAGCCCACAACCGAGGGAAGAGAGTCTGCGCACACGCTCGGTCGGCCGCCTCCGTGAAGCTCTGCTGCCAGACGGGCGTGGACGTGGTATACCACGCGTCTTTTGCGGACGAAGAAGGGCTGAACATGCTGGAGGCCCTGAAGGACCGCGTCTTCGTCGCCCCGGCCATCAACTTCCCCTACAATACATGCTCGGGCGATGCGATACCGTACGGGATGACGCCGGAGATGGCCAAGAAGAAAGGGCTAGTGGAGGAAGTGGACAAGGCGTGCAAGGCGATGCGCGAGCTGCACCGGCGCGGCGTCCGCGTGCTGCCCGGCGGCGACTACGGCTTCGCGTGGGCGCCGCACGGCACGTACGCGCGCGACCTGGCGCACTTTGTCAACCTGTTCGGCTACACGCCCAAGGAGAGCCTGATGGCCGCAACGGCGCTGGGCGGCGAGATCATGGGCCACCCGGAGGAGCTGGGCAAGGTCGCCCCGGGCTACTACGCCGACGTGATCCTCGTGGACGGCGACCCGCTCGCCGACATCGAGGTCTTCCAGGACACGTCCAAGCTGCACGCCATCGTCATCAACGGCCACGTGCACAAGAACGTCGCCGTCGCCGGCGCGGACGGCCAGAGCCTGACCGCCGACGGCCTCGCCAACAAGCGCACCATCTACACCAACCTGCCGCTGGTGCCGGAGAAGGAGCAGCAGAAGATGCAGGAGGACGCCAGGCAGAACGGCATCGGGGCCGAGCCGCAGGCCGTTTGAAAAAAAAAAAAAAAAGAAAACAAGAAAAGGATTTGTGTGATAGTTATGTGTCGGAGAGCTTTTGTTTTCGTCTTGCAGGTCCCCTTCTCTTCGGTGATGTTGAACAATTCCAGGCGAGAAGCTGTCCTTCCAAAATATTGTTTCCACAGACCTCACATTTCCTCCACCGTACGTCTTTTTTCTCTTGTAGAAGAGTTCAAAATCTCCCGGATCAGTATCTACCATCATACTCTTCTTGCCACGGCGACTTAAGGATCGATTCTTGCAAAAATATAAAAGGGGGTCATTCTGGAGCCTATCTATCTAGCTACTACTACTCAAACTTCTTACAACTTCGGCTACTGTCCCGCCTCCCGGTCTCCCCTGTCATAATCATCGTCGTCGTCATTAAGCCCATTCGTGAACCTTTCATATACAAATTCCGCCGTCTCTTCCAGTGCTGGAATATTCAGCACCCTCGGAACAATCCTCGCCTCCGCCCCCGCCTCCACCACAACCACCACCAGAATAGTGGTCGGGCTGTGAGGCCGAATTAATTACAAAGATTCTCTCCCCTTACTTTTCCTTTCGGGGGGCAGGGACTTTCTATATCGGGTAGCGTGTACGTGTACGTGAGTGTGAGTGCGTCCATGAATCTCATTTTCTCAGAATCGGAGAAACGAACGGTGAAAAGAAAATTCGTCGAGAGAAGGCTCTTTTCGGCGCCGGCAGAAAATGGAGCCGCCTCTACAGCAGCACGAGCATGAATGCCAAACCAATCACAAACCCGAGCAAGGTCGACCGCAACGGCGTGTCCGTCGACGCGGGTCTGAGCGCGGCGGCAGCGCCGGTGAAAGCCGACGGCGATCCACTCGTCGTCCCCGAGGCGTCAGAAGAGCCCGAGGTGGTCGAGGCGTGCCCCGAGGAAGTGCTCGCGGTGACGATCGAGCCACTCGACACCTCCTCGCCCGGAGTCACCGTCATTGTTGTGGTGTGACTGGCTGTCGTCGGCGAGGTGGGCAGAACAAGCGTGGCTCCGCCGCTCTTGAGGTCGGTTCCGTACACTGTGGTGGTGCTGTTGTCGCTCAGGGGCAGGAAAATGGTGACCTGCGACCACGCCGGTCCGGAGACCGTGACGTGTGAATAACTGGTTGTCAGGACGATTGCTGTCGTGGTGTACGGCTGAGATGCCGATGTCGGGGTTGCCGTTGAGCTAACTATTGTCACCACCGACGTCGGATGGGTGGCGGGCGATGACGGAGGTGGCGAGCTCGTTGGGATCACGGTCGTTGACAGCGTTCCGCTCAACGTGCTGTAGGTGGAGCCTGCGGCGTTGGTCGTGGTCGCTACGACGGAGGTGGTGACGGCAACGGTCGAGAACTGGTCGCAGTAGTCGAGGAATTGTTGGAACTGTGGTGCAATCTCCACAAAGCTGCCGCTGTTGTCGGACTTGTGGTAGTCAATGCACTGCTCGCATTGCACCAGAGATACTTCAAACGCCGAGCCGGGGACACAGAGTGCCGACGTCTTTCCTTTTGCTTGAGCTTCCAGTAGACAGTTGTTGCACCAAGGATAACAAGCGCCTGGGATGCTGGTCTGCGCCTGCCTGGCGGCGACGGTGGGACTCGGGGGGAGCAAGATTGTGGTGGTGAGAGTGAAGACCTCGTTCACGACAAAGATCTCATAGGTCAGCCCGAAGTCTGTCGGATTCATGTTGAAGTAATCCTGGATGGCGTTGATGTGGAGGGAGGGATCCGTGGCCGGAGTGACATTTCCATAGATGTCCAGGTCCCACGTCGGTAGCGGTGACGGCAACGCATTGGCAGGAATGCACTCATTCGGACTGCAATAAAAGTTTTGGTCGGGGATTCCGGCCTCGAAATTGCAGTTCTCCTGAAGAGGCTTGCAGAGCCAACCAGGAGGACAACCCCATCTGAAGAAGATATTGTTAGCAAGGCTCAACAAGGACAGTGAGACGTAATGGATAGGGAGCCCATCATCAGATGAAACCCAATGCGACGATGGCAAGGGTGCTATAGAATTGGGTCCAAGGGCGAACCTACGTCCAGTCGGTGGGGTACGGTCCAAGCGCGGTGAAGGTCGGGTTGGCGATTCGGGTTGGACATAGTGTTATGCTGGTCGCCTGAGAGGTAACCGAGTACAAGGAGATGATTTCGGTCGCTGTCTCTGTCGTTGGGGTCGTCGAGACGGTGGTCGATGTCTCCGTCAAGGTGTCCGTGGCAGTGGTAGGGCTGATGGACACGGTGATGGACGTCTCGGTCAGGGTGTCGGTGGTTGGACTGATGGAAACTGTGACGGATGTCTCGGTCAGTGTGTCAGTAGTCGGACTGATGGAAACTGTGATCGATGTTTCCGTCAAGGTGGCAGTAGCCGTTGTAGGGCTGATGGAGACGGTGACGGACGTTTCCGTTAGCGTGTCAGTCGTAGGGCTAATTGAGAGCGTAGTTGATGTCTCAATCAATGTCGCCGTAGTAGGAGTAATCGAGACAGTCGTCGATGTTTCCGTCACTATCTCGGTCTGCGAAAGTAAGCGTCTCCAACCACTCCCATGAGGAGAAGAGTACCAACCGTGGTCAAGACCGTGGTTGAGATGATGGTCTGGAATATGGTGATTGGCAGCGTGGTTGTGTCGTGGTAAGAAGCGGTGGTGGTGGAAGTGAGCGGCACATATTCAGTTTCAGTAACGCTAATGAACACCGTCGGCGCCGGCGGACATGCGACACTCCATTCTGCTAGATCTGGCGCCGGCGGAGTTTCGACGCTCGTCGACTGAGCCAAGGCAGCACTGATTGCGAAGGACAGGCAGGCCAAACGGCCGAGCGACGAATGCATTTTTGACCGTGTTTCTTTCTCAAAGCCTCGAACGACTACCTCCTTCTTACAGCGCACTCATGACGCGACCAACCAGAGCGCGCAGCTGAAAAGCGAATGATATTCTGAACGAAAGGACGGCTTTAAAGCGAACGAAAGGTCGAGTGAGGGATAATGAAAGCTTCAAGAGCTGCCACACTCTGCGGTCAAGGAAGGGAAGAATGCAAATCGCTTCGAGAAAAGACTTGCCGTCATCATTGGAGAGCTCTTGGGGACAATTGATAATGCCCTGGCATCGCTCCCAGTAGGCAATGAGGGTGGCTGACCGGACACGCCACATGGCATCGGGCTTTTCCTGACATATGCCATTGGGCGTTGGAGGAGGGCCGGGTAACGCAGCTTGGTGACGTTCCTGGCTTTTGCATGCGCACCGTGGGGCAATGCCTTGCCCGAAGCAGACGGGTACATGCCAATCAGTGATCGAAACCCCCGTTGTCGAAGGAAGCTCGCATTCGGGGACTTTGCCCTATGCTGTCTAGCCCGGCGAAAGTGGGATGGGCAAAGGATGGGCGATCATGGAGATGGTGATGGAAAGGTGGGAAAGAGACGTTGAAAGCTGGAGACAGTTTCCGCCGGCGGCGGGTGGAGCCTTGTCCAAGCCTTGCCCAGGTTCCCGCTGGCCCCGCTGGCCGCGCTGGCCGCCGCTATGCCTGTTTGGGCCTGATATGTCTTCAAAACCGGTTTGCGGTTTGCCGACCGCATAAGCGCACGGCACGGGTTGATCTAGCCTCGACGTCTGTCTCTTACCCAAGGTGTCATCGACGACTCACAGCCCGTGCTCTCTTCGCTTGGGTGTCTATCATGACAGGATTTTGTGCGCTTCAGCGAACAGCCCTTCCAGGGAAAACCCAATGGGACAATTATCCATGCCCGGTTCCAGGCACGATTGTCCCTGATCCTCGCCCCTTGTTTCTCCTGCCCGTGCCAGGGTCTGCCTCTCCATTTGTCCCGATATCAGAGGCGCAGTTCAGCCGAGACCTAACACATCGAGACAGCCGTCCGCAATGCTATGACGCATAGACCCTGGTCGAGAAGCACCACTCCGGAATCAGTCCATGATGGCGATAAAGACCCTGAAAGAAAAGAAAGCTGCGAGGATCGAGCATCGCCAAAAATCAAGTGCCAAGGGGAAATGCTGCTTCAACGGCTGATGTAGTGATAGTCCTCCCGGTGGCAAATTTTGCTCCTGGTGATGATCGGTAAGTATCAATACGAGGCATGTCTCAGAGCGCACGGTTTTCTCCTTCCCAGCGAAAATCAACGCTCTGGAATTCCACACGGAAGGTAAATTGTTCAATGCTTTGTCAGGCGGGATCGAGTTCGTTGTCAGTGGTCTAATGAACAGAGATGACACCGGGAATCCTGCAACATAACTCGCTATGAAACTGTATGCGAAATCCGTCGTGCTCGGGAGTTTACTGCTGGGACTCGCGCATGGCATATCAGTCCAGGAAAACTATACTATATGCAACTGGGCTCGATTGAGGGCTGGAGTCGTCCGGGATGCCCTGTACCTCGACGGTGGCTTGTTGTGGTGGCAAACGGCCTTTGCAGATGGAACCGCGCCGGTCGTGAGCAGCGATGGCAACGTCGAGGGCGACATGTTCGTTTTGAACTTCTCGAGGCCGTTTGACACCACGACAACTAACGTGTCGGGCTTGTTTGATCGCATGTCGAAAGCAGGTGGCGCAGGAAACAACATTGCGCCCAACTATGTCGATGGGACCATGTTCACCAACGACGGGGAGTTGTATCTTTACGGGTAGGTCTTTTTTGTTGTTGTCGATACCGCCGTTTAAAATTGCTAATTACATTTTCACTGAACAGTGGTCTCCCCCGTCTCACCGATTCTGCCTCTCCGCAAAGCGCCGAAACTGTCCTGGGATATGAAGCCTACCAGTACGGTCCGGATCGAGCCAGCTGGAGTCCCGGCTTTTACCAGGGAACTCTGCCGGACGGCGTCACGAGATACATCACAAACGGCGCGGGAGTGTCTGCGCCCAGTGAGAACCTGGGGTTCTACTTCAGCGGCATGCGGTCGCCGACCTGGGGCCCGATATACTACGAGGACTCGTCCGCCAATGTGACGGCGGACACTCTGATCGAGGTGGACATGTCGGTCATGAGGAGCGAGAAGTGGACAAACACCACGCTCCCGGACAACATCCGGCCGCGCGCAAACGCCGAGCTGGTCTGGATCCCCGTCTCCGAGAAAGGCGTCCTGGTCGCGATCGGCGGCGTCTCTGCGCCCGAGGAGATCTGGGCGTCGGGCTTGAACAGCTCGCAGACTTCGGAAAGTGAGGCGCAGAGTCCCGGCTTCATGACGTCCTTGCCGGTCTACGACGTCGCCTCCAGCACCTGGTACCTGCAAAAGACCACCGGTCAGGCCCCGGGCCAGCTCACCGAGTTCTGCTCTGTCGTCGCAATGGCCAAGGACTCGTCGTCGTTCAACGTCTACATCTACGGTGGATACGATGGGTTGAACGCGGACGACGAACCCTCGGACGACGTCTGGATCCTATCGATCCCATCTTTCCAGTGGATCAAAGCGTACAGCGGGAACAAGTCTCACGGCCGCTCGGGCCACCGTTGCGTCACTCCATATCCCGATCAGATGTTTGTCATTGGCGGCGTCCACCAAAACCAAGCGAATTGTGTCGAAGGCGGCATCCTTCAGATTTTCAACCTCAACAATCTCGAGTTTCAGAACACCTACGATCCCTCGACCTGGTCGGACTATCAGGTGCCCGCCGCCATCACCAAAGTGATAGGGGGTAATGCTCAAGGAGGCTCTACAAAGACGGCGGCCTGGTCGGACGGGGCCCTGGCTGGCGTCTTCGCGAAATCGTATTCGAGACAAATCACAAACTACTACCCATACCCCGTCAATGGCTCCTCAGCGGGCTCGTCGGGCGGTGGACACTCGGGAGTCAGCAAAGGCGCCATCATTGGCATCAGTGTCGCGGCTGCCGTGATGTTCATCCTCATCCTCATCCTCATATTCCTCCTGGTCCGGCGCCGTCGGATCATCAACAGTGGCTCTTCGGAGAAGTCTTCGCATTCCAGCAATAGCCGGATCACACGATGGTTGAACGGGGCTTCATGCGCCGCAGGGAGTCCAAAACGCCCGCCACATCAATTCCGTCAATCCTCCCAAAGCTCGCCACCAGAGGTGCAGCAAGTTGGGTATACCTCTCTGTCCGAGGAAGCAACTCCCCCACTGCAACCAGAGCGCCATGAAATGGCCAACAACACAGAACGTCCCAAGCCGCCTTACGAACTGGCCACGCCGTACAACAATCTCGGCCATCCGCGTCACTCGGGGATCGTCGACTACGCGTACAACGCCAATTTCGGCCACACACACTCCAACTCGAACTCGCAATCGACATCTTCCGATGATGTCTACCGCCCATCTCCGTTAAGCAACAGCTTCAACGGCAACGGCAACAACAACAACAACACCAACACCAACACCAACACCAACACCAACACCAACACCAACACCAACACCAACACCAACACCAACACCGCCGGCGCCACATCATCACCCCTCCGCAGTGTGCGCTTCCCTCCTCCAGGCGCCACGTCCGAGATCTCCAGCCCTAGCCACGAGAACTCGAGCTCGTCCAACTACTCTTCGACGGGCACCAACGAGACGCTCGCGTGGCCATTCCCGGCCACCCAAAACAACTGGCGTGGTGGCAACAGCAGCAGGGCGCGCAACACCAACGCAACGCGATTCCCGTTCGACAGGGAGCGGAGCAGCGAGAGCAGTTCCGTCCAGCCGATCATCGAGGAGCAGGAGCCAAGTTCGCGCCGCCAGAGCGCCGCCCATGAATTGCCTGCTGACAGTGACAAAGAGGCGCATTGGTCCCAGTATCAGCACGGCAACGAGAGCTCGAGCAGCGGAATAGGGACGTTGCCGAGTCCCACGCGGGCAGGGGAAGGAGGGTCCATGCCCCAGGACGAGGAGCACAGGAGGAGTCTGTTCGAGACGATAAGTCCTGCGAGTCCGACGGTGGGGAGAAGTGGGCGGCATTGAACGACCGTAAGAAGTCACAGTAACGATGAGAAACGATACGGCAACCTTGGAAAGTATCGCGGTTATGAGCAATGTACAGGAAAAAGGTAGCCTCTTGCGCTCCTGCTTGTAATTGGCGTTTGGCGAGGAGAGAGCGACGTTTTCCTCCATTGCGGATACCTTTTTCGCTTGATGATTGTGAGACATATTGTTTATACACATACATGGGTATCATTTCTATCTTGCAGATTCGCTGGTGGTGAGGCCGTCCTTGCACTTTTATCTATTGAACTCATTAGAGCATCGCATCAGTTGATGAGCTTGACTCCATCCCATTTTACTCCGAAGTTTTGGTACTCTCCAAAACCTCCAAGAAGCCCCCAACGAGGTGCAGGCTGCCCGTGACCAGGGCCGCCACTTCTTTCCCATCGTCTGTTCCGGCAGTTTTCTGGCGGTGAGCATTCGTAAAGTTGCGGACGATACTGACTGCTTCTTCGATTGTTCTCACCACTTGGACCTGAGTCGAGGAATCAATGCCTCTCCATGTTTCAGCGAGATTATTCTGGACCTTCAGCGAGTCAACATCTGAGGCATTGACATTCACCGAGATGAGATCGGGTTTGAAGCCTGTGTCCTTGAATGTCGTGTTCGTGCAGAAAATAGCATGGGTGAATGGATGGGGTTCATTAAGTGCCGCCGACAACGTGTTGAATAGTGCCGTCGCCAGCGAAGCAGCGTCGCGTGTTTGTTGATTGAAGATCAAGAAACGGGGTTGAGGGTGAAGGGGACCTGAAGAGTCCTTCTTGGTCATAAGTTGAGAAGCAAACCACTTTCCTGCCAGCTCAAGGCTTTCGAGGGTGTGACCGCCATCAATGCACCATTTGACTCCTGGCTCAAAGCGTGTCTCACATCTGCCTGGCCACCGAACAGTTTCCAGACCGCGCGCAAACTTTTGCTTGTAGTCGACGTCGTCAGTGTAACCTTGTTGATCCAGCCAAGTTTTTGCTAGAGCGACGGCAAGACTAGCATTCATCTTTTGGAAGTCCGCTTGGAGTCCGAGCTTGATCTCGCCGTTGGCTACAGCTGGATCCACGTCCACATACTGGAGCTCGCTCCCTTTTTCATGGGCAACCCGCTCCATCACTGCTTTCGCCTCCGCGGTCTGAGTGCTTGGGGTGAAACACTTGACGCCGCTCTTCATGATTCCCGATTTGTGCCAGGCAATCTCGCCGATTGTGGAACCGAGCATGCCGACATGGTCAATACCGAGGCTTGTGATGCAAGTGACGGCCGGGGCTTCAAAGACATTTGTACTGTCATAGGCACCACCGATGCCACACTCAATCACAGCAACGTCTACCTTCTCCCTCATATAGGCATGGAAGGCCATCAAGGTGAGGAATCTGAAATAGACAGGTTTCGATCCCGGAGAGTAGGGGTCTTGTCCTGCTTCTTTCGCGACATATTCCAGCCTATCCCAGACCTCGAAGAAATACTGGGCGAATTGGCTCTCCGACAGAGGTTCTCCATTGATCTGTATGCGTTCCCGAACAAATCGAAGATGTGGAGATGTGTACAAGCCAACTTTTGACAACGACTTAGCTCCCTTGCCTCCGACGAACTGTGTTAGGATCGATGAGGTGAAGGCTGCAGTCGACCCTTTGCCCTTGGTTCCAGCTATGTGTATAACCTTTAACGCATTGAAATCCGAAGGCTAGGCAGGCGGGGGTTAGTTGAGGAGGGAGCGTGACTGCTTCTGGCGGGGTTGGTCGTCGCGTACTTTGTATCCAATCTTGCGGCACCATTCAATCATCTCAGGAATGGACAGCTCATTCAGCCTGCCTCCAGACTTGCGGACCGCATCCACAATTGCAAAATTGGACTGAAGAGTGTTCAGCGACGTCACGGCATCCTGCAGAGTGGTCAGTCCTGTCCTCAAAGTCAAGCTGGCTCATGACACTTACAGCGTACGTCCGTGCCATGGCGGTTGACATCGTCGCAGAGCTGCGAACGATGAGCCGAAGATGAGTAGAACATTTGAAGATCCATCTCCTCATGATAGGGCAGGCGTGGTGAGCGCCCGCAATTCCTGCACACGACCCGAGAAATACCTACCGGACCCGAAAACAAGCATTCGCGTCGAAGTCAATCCGGAGGCCGTACTCGTCAAGTTCGTTGTATGGCGGAGCATTGTGGTTGCCTGGTGAAGAAGCTGTGACAAGAAAAGCAATACCCTGGGCGGGTGTGGTCTGACCACCATTATCTGAGGGCATACACGGCATATTCATCGGGACTCAGCAATGACTCTTCCTAGGTCTTGCATCGCTTCTGTCTATGAGCATATATCTTGAGGCTAGAGGGAGTAACGATGGGTCAATCACAGTCCTCACCGCCGCCGAGGGAAATCCCAGTCGGTGAGTGAACCATTTTAATCATTTTAATCAGCGACACAGCCATTCTTGGGTCTGTTCGATGTCAACTCACTCATCCAGAGCAACTGAGCCACGAGTTGGCCCTCCGCTTTGCCTCCAAGTGCTACACCCATCTGGAGATAGCGCACTACAAAGACAACTTCAAGAACTTGGCAGATCACCAGGAGGATGTCGAATACTGGAAGGAAGACACGCTGTGCGGCTTCCTCGCCCTCCCAGAGCCCCTCAAGGCTGGACCTGTCTTGTATCATATGTGTACATACCTTGGGGCGTTTCCATTTCCGAGTCTAGCGCCGTGTATATTGACCAGAGAGGCCATGTTGAAGGTCATCACTATCATGACAGGTAGGTACAAGAAGGTGCTGAAGAGAGGCGATCAGGACAAAATCAAACTGTTGTTCCGAAGCCTGGCGGTGTTCGATCGACGCCATAGTGTGGCCTCGCCGAAGGAGGGTCCGAATATGGAGGATATTGTGAAGGACCAGCTTCCGGACGACATGTTGAAGGAGCGCGAAGTCGAGCAGGGCGTCCGTTCTCATGTCGCTGGGTTTGCCGTCGATGAGCCTGTAAATGATGACGAGGACGAAGACGATGACGACCTTGCCCTTGCCGCGCTCGACTCGCTCGACGCCATCGAGGTCTTCAAGCACGACCAGAAGACCAACCGCAAGATCAACCATGCAATGATCCCTGCAGACAACCTCAAGAAACTCGTGACCCTGTTGCTGCTGGTCGCGGGCGTTACACCCTTGACCACGCTGGCCAGCTACGGTGAGCGTCTGGATGAAGAGCGGCTCCAGGCTCTCAACGCCTCAGCGGATGCCATCGTGGCAGCCTTCGACCCAGAGCCTCACAGCAGAGGGATCAGGTATTCCAACTTTGTCAAGACCGTCACAACGACCTTGCCCGACCTGTTCGAGCCTCTCAATGCCCTGTTCGAGCATTTCCTGTTCAGCAAGAACTTCAACCTCAACAAACAGCGCAACTCCCTACCAGCTGTCGAAACCGTCGAGGCCATACCATCGCCCATTTATAAATCACCCGATGACACCACCTTCAGCACCATCTTTACCGATACCCTCCTCGCTCAAATGTCCATGTCCCTGCAAATCTCCTCAACTATCTCGTCCAACTCCTCCCTCAAAAACATCTTCGCCTCCAACGCCCGTTTCAACCAACTCTACTCGACTTCATCCCACGGCACCTCCTTGTCCTCCTTCTCTCGTCAAGTTCACTCGTGGCAATCTTCAACATTAGTCCTCATCTCGGGCACGCTTCCTGATACAAACAACCCCATTGTCATCGGCGCATACCTCCCCGAGCCGTGGCGTGAAAAGCCGACGCCCCCATCCTCCAGCGATGGACCGTTAAAGGCATCCTGCCTCTTCCAACTCCTCCCCCGCCATTGTGTGTTCCTCGCAAATCAGTATAACCGCACCATCCCCTTCTCGTATTTCAACTCGAAAACAGGCATCGCACTAGGCTGTGTGATTCCCCCGCAGCAGTCTCGTACCGGCCCACCTCAGCCGCCGATTTTGGGACCGGTCAGCGTGCTGATCGACAGCGACATGTCAACATGCACATTCCAGCACGACGGGGACGCCGGCGTCGGTGCGTTCATGACGGACCCGGGTTTGGAGACGGCGCAGAAACATCAACGGGAAACCACGCAGCCCAAAAAGGCGGAATTTGACCTCGACACGCTCGAAGTCTGGGGGATATCTTTTCCCCTCGCCCGCACCGGCTCGCTATCCGACAACGCAGGGGAAGAGGACGAAATGGCCAAGCAGAAGAAACGTCTCGCATGGGAGGAGGCCGAGGCCGCCCGACGCAGGGGAGTCAACTTTGGAGGGGACAAAGATGGTGCAAGGGCGTTGTTGGAGATGGCGGGTTTGGTTGGGGATAAAGCCGGGAACAGGAGCGGCGGATCTGTGTAAGTGCACAAGAAGGCTATCGATGGCACGAAGGAAGGGATGCAGGGTATTGGATCAGGAGAGGGTCGCTGGCTGAGAGGGTCGCGAAACAACTGTATCTCTAGGCATTAGAGGATTGTGCTTGATAAAACAAACGCCACACAATCCTGGACACTGATAACTGTTCTCGGAAACGCCTGTGGCACTGCCTGGCAAAGTATATAACAATGATGGGTGTCGATGGATGGTCTTCGATCCGGGGAGAGGTCTTACCGGGCGCCTTTGTCAACGGCCTCATCGGTATTCCCTGCTCGGGTCCTATCGTTGACAGCTCCCCGGTGTCGAATGTGCTGTTAGATGGTTGACATCGACTAGGCTAGCATTTGCGAATTCCAGATTCCCCTATCCAGCATCCGCGCCCTAACCCGCCCACACAATACCTTCCCGTCTTGCGCCTGCTAGATCAAACCCTTGGGAAAGACGGACATGAACAATCTCAGAGAACGGCTACTTGGCGGCTGCCCGGCAATCAACACTGGCAATTCCCTGCGCCCTGCGTCCCAGTCGATTCCGGTCTCAAATCCACACCCGGTCGGGGAGTCGCCCTCAGATTCCTGGGCCCCGCCTGATCCAGGGGCAGTTTCTTCGCAATGGCGGTGAATAATTCCTTGACGTTCGTCGACGTCTTTGCGGATGTTTCAAAAAAGAGCAGGCCGGCTTCTTTGGCATATGCTTCTGCGTCGGCGGTCTGAATGGCCCGCTTGTCGGGGTACTCTTCGACGATGTCGAGTTTGTTGCCGGCAAGGGCGATGATGATGTTTTCGTTGGCCTGTCTTTGGAGTTCCTTGACCCACGACTTGGCCTTATCTAGGGATGACTGGCAAGCACTATTAGTTGTTGTTCCACCTTTCCAAGAGTAGGGGGAATGTACCGCCTGGGTGATATCGTAAACAACCACTGCGCAGTTCGCATTCCTGTAGTACATCGGAGCGAGGGACTTGTATCGCTCTTGACCCGCGGTATCCCATATCTCGAATTTGACCGTCGTGTTCTCGTCTAATGATATCGTCTGAGTGAGGAATGCGGCCCCGATGGTAGATTCGCGGTAGTCGTCGAATTGATCTTTGACAAAACGGAGGACTAAAGAGCTCTGCGGCAAGGAAGATCTGTTAGGACGGAATGATTCGTAGGGGGTACCGGAGTTGCCTGGCAAAGTACCTTTCCTACTGCCGATTCACCTGGATGGCATTAATGAGTGGCTTACGAGGAGGGGGTTGTCCTCAACATACCGAGAAGGACGAGCTTGAATTGGGCAAACCTGCCGCCTGCGCCTGGTCGGCCTGCGGGAGCTCGAGCGGCCATGATCGGGCTGCGATTGATATTTGGCTACGATTCAGGTGTCGAACAGGCCTCTGGAGATCAGCCTCGGACTCGGGGTAACGATTTAAGAAGAATTTGGTACGTTTGATGATTGTCTGGCCGGTGGTGTTATTACTTGCAGTTCGAAAGTTCCGGACAGTTGGGGGAGATCTGGGAGATCTGGGCCAAGAAGATGACGGAAGGCAGCCAAATCACCGCCACAAACAACGGGCAACAGTTACGCAGCCTCTCCCTCTTTCACGATTTCTTTATCTTCCCAACCCTTATCCTGTACCCAAATCATGATACGATAGTAAAGACTTTGACAAAGGCCTCTCTGCGACCACCCTCGAGCTCTCTTCGCAATGGCTAACTTGCTTCCCTTCCGGGACATCAACGTCCACGCCTCCACCAGCCATTACGCTTTCACCTCGCCCTCCAACTCCTCTGCACCAACTCTGGTGGTCGAGAGACCGTCGGGGGATATCCGACTGAACGATGGGTCTCTCCTGGGGGCAAAACGGGTGTCGAGTATCGCCGGGATCTTGGGCATCATCAAACTGAAGCTGGACAAGTACATCATTGTCATCACCAAAGCACAGCCCATGGGCAGACTGCGTGGCCACATGATCTACAAAGTCGTCGCTACCGAGTTCCTCCCCCTGCGCGAGCGGCCCGTCCGCGACCCCGACGAAGACACGTACCTCTCTTACCTCAAGGCATTACTTACCTCGAGCCCGATGTATTTCTCCTACTCGATTGACATAACCTCCAGCTTCCAGCGCCAGTCCGAGTCGGACCACTCCCAGCCAATGTGGAAGAGAGCAGATGATCGCTTCTTTTGGAACAGGTTCGTCCAGACAGACCTGATCGACTTCAGGCTAGGAGGGCTGCGGGGACAACAACAACCTGGCGCGGATCCATACATTCTCCCGGTCATGCATGGCATGTTGCGTATCACGCCGGCCAAGGTCAAGAACACTCCGTTCACTTTCGCCCTTATCACCAGAAGGTCTAGATTTCGCGGTGGGACAAGATATTTCTCTCGGGGGGTTGACGATGAAGGCCACGTGGCGAACTTCAACGAGACAGAGCAGGTTGCTCTGCTCAACGACGCCTCAGGCCCGACTGGCTACGCGGGCGGACAAGGCATGCAGAATGGAAATGCCGGAAGCCAGTCTACAGAGACCCAAGTCATGTCATACATCCAGACGCGCGGTAAGCAACACATGTCACTTTGGACCACTACCGGTACTAACGGGGTGGTCACCAGGTAGTGTCCCTGTCTTCTGGGCAGAGATCAACGACCTTCGCTACACCCCCAAGCTGCAAATCCGGGGTGTGGAGTCCGCGGTCGATGCCGCACGGAAGCACTTTGACGAGCAGATCAGAATCTATGGCGAGAACTACTTGGTTAACCTGGTCAATCAGCGCGGCAGGGAGGAACGAGTGAAGAAGGCTTATGAACAGATGGTCCGAATCCTCGTCAGCTCTCCGCAAGAGTCGGTCGAAGCCGGTGCACGGACGGACGAAAAATTCCGAGATATTGAACCGCAGAACAGCCGCCAGAGAATGGACAAACTACACTATATCTACTTCGATTTTCACAGTGAGACCAAAGGGTACAAATGGCACCGGGCCGAACTCTTGCTGGATGAGCTGATAGATGGCCTGAGGAAAGGGCAGTATTTCCGGGGCGTCGAAATGCCCGGTGACCCATCTGGAGTCCTGGAGGTTCGATGTCGGCAGACCGCAGTGGTGCGCACCAATTGCATGGACTGCCTAGATCGGACAAACGTGGTCCAGAGCATGTTGGGTAGATGGGCCTTGACTCAACAGTTCCAAGACGCCGGCATCCTGCAACCCGGCGAGAGGGCTCAAGACGACAGAGCATTCGAGTTTCTGTTCCGCAACGTATGGGCCGACAACGCAGATGTGGTTTCGAACTCGTACTCGGGTACCGGCGCGTTGAAGACGGACTTTACGCGTACTGGAAAACGCACGAGAGCTGGGGCGGTACAGGATTTCAACAACTCCGCCACCCGGTATATCCGCAACAACTTTCTGGATGGCCCGCGGCAGGACGGCTTCGATCTCTTTCTGGGCTCCTATTTGCCGTCCACCTATGGTGTTGGATCTTCTCTGATGTTTGCGGACCGAAGGCCGCTCATCATTCAAGCTGTGCCATATGTGTTGGCCGCGTCTTTGTTTATTGTGTTTGTGTCACTTCTCACTCGGCGGCCGCCGGACTCAGCAATCTGGCCCCTGCGTATCTTTGTTATTTTGTGTTTGGTTGTGGCCGGGTGGGCGTTCCAGTTCATTTATGCACATGGACTGTTGTATGTCAATTGGCCGAAACTCAACACCCCAGCGTTCGCGAGTGAAGGGTATTCGGAGGCCCTATCCCGGGCTCACAAGGACAAAGTCGTGGGGCCGATCATCGCGTCGGCAAGCGGCAAGGATCGGAGAATGAGGAACATTAGCACGGCAAATATGGGATATATGGAAGAGGGCAAGAAGAGGATAGAATAACGGCACAAGAAAACCGAACTGTGGCTGGCTGTCAGGGATTATCTATTCATCCTTCCTGCTTGACTCGAGTGTCTGCAGTGGGCGAGCTGCAGAGCCCTGGCTCGAATCTGCTATATATATCTATTCCGACAAGGCTACACGAGAGCCACCAAAGAGAGCGGTGTTCAGATCCGCACTTTCGAGCCACGCTTCTCCCCCGAGTCCACCACCATGTCGTTGTGGAAAGGTCAGCCCGAACACGTCTAACAGGAAGCGGCATGTCACGACCTGAAGCTGCCGGGAGGACGGAACAGCAGCTGAAGAGGTGAGACGATCTTCTACTGGCCCATGGCCCCTTTGCCGACGCTAGAGCAGCTCAAGCGTCCACCTATCTATACCTTGTTTCCTCCACCTCGTCCGCCTTATGCCTACCACACCTCGTCCTGGTCGCAGTGTCTCCTCACCTGCATGAGGGATTATTGTTTACCACGCGTCCCCACGCATCCTCCTCGCTCGGCTGGCGTTGGCGCATCGAAAATGCAATGCAGCTCTTAGTTTCTGCTCGTTATCTCCCCAGTGGACGCGGTGGCCCGATTATCCACCGACTCTCCACTGCGCCGTGGCAGAAGAAGCCTACAAGAGGCTGTATCGAGTACTGACTATGGGCTGAGAGTGCTCCCTTTATTTCCAGGACAACCTTTCCTGCTCTTTCATGCTTCTGACACATTTCCTTTGTCACACTTCTTCCCTCCTGATCCCAGATCAGGTAGAGACACCGCCTATGCCATCCGCCAAGTTCGTCTAGGCAGTGGTGGTGGGGTATGTGGGATAATGGCATTGTGGCGATGCAGATCCATGCAGCCTAACCCTCTCAAATAGCCATGCGCTGTCCCTAGCTTTCACGCTTTCCAATGAAAATGGGGGTATCACGCGGGTGTCTTGCTCACAAGACGTATTCCATGCGGCCATCCCACATATGGGATCTCTTCTCTCCTCGACTCCTCTTTCCTTCGCCCTGCATCTCTCGACCCTGTTGGCGCTGCTGGGAACTCGGCGGATCTGGCACGCTTCGAAACTTCGCACTTCGCTTGTACAACTTGATGAAGCCGTGACCGAATGGCACGCCCTCGCAATCAATCCGACGATGCGATCCGGCCGGTGGCATCGCACTTCTACACATTGAGAAGCAGAGAGGTTGCGGGGGTCGGAAGTATTCGTGCTCAGAACTCGAGAAGGCGTGTGAGAAATGAGGAAGATACAGAGTCGCTCAAAATCCAGGACCGAGATCTCAAGAGGAAGCAGGTAAACGGCAGCTTACTTGTCGCACCAGCTGCACAACAACACTGACCAGAGACAGACCTTTACAGGAATCAAGCTGCTATGGCTGGCATATCAATCCACCGGAGTCATCTACGGCGATATCGGCACAAGTCCCCTCTATGTCTACTCCTCGACTTTCACAGACGACCCTTCTTATGACGACCTGCTTGGAGCCCTGTCTCTGATCATTTGGTCCCTCACTATCATGGTCAGCATCAAATACTGCCTGATTGTTCTTTCTGCAGACGATGAAGGCGAAGGGGGGACATTCGCCCTCTTCTCCCTTTTGTCGAGGTATGCAAACATCGTCAGACGTGATCCTCGAGAGGAGCAGTTGGTCAAAATAGAACGTCACACTGCTAGTGACTTAGGACGATCGGCACAGAAAACACGAGGCCTAATGGAACGATCTCGAACGACGCAATGGCTGCTGAATATTCTAGGCGTCTTTGGCGTCGCTCTCGTCATGTCTGATGGTGTCCTTACACCGGCGCAATCGGTCCTCGGGGCTATTCAAGGGATAGAGGTTGTTCACCCTACTATATCACAGAGCACCATCATCGGCTCATCGTGCGGTATTCTTGTTATCCTTTTTCTGGTTCAGCCATTTGGCATAACGAAGCTCGCAAGTACATTCGCCCCTATTGTTATTATCTGGCTACTACTCAATGCCGCATTCGGCATATACAACCTGGCTCGGCACGACTCGTCAGTTCTCAAGGCGTTTTCACCTTACTTCGCTGGAGCCTACTTGGTCCGGAACAAGACTGACGGCTGGAAAAGTCTGGGAGGTATTCTTCTGGCATTTACCGGCTGTGAAGCCCTGTTCGCCGACTTGGGGGCTTTTACTCAACGCGCCATTCAGCTCTCCTGGCTTACATTTGCCTTCCCGTGCCTGTTGCTCGGTTATATTGGCCAAGCAGCATATATCTCTGACGACCCGTCTGCGTGGTCAAATCCGTTCTACAACACAGTCCCACCGGGGTGTTTCTGGCCGTCGCTGATTATCGCGATTTTGGCAGCAGTCGTTGCAAGTCAAGCAATAATCACAGCGGTCTTTCAGCTACTCACCCAAATTATGAAGTTAAGCTACTTTCCCCAAATCAAGGTGGTGCATACCTCGAGGATCTTCTACGGGCAAGTCTACATTCCTATCGCGAATTGGCTGCTCATGGTCGGTACTGTCATCGTGACGGGAGTCTATACCAATACCACGAACTTGGGCCATGCTTATGGTGTCTGCGTGGTACGTAATAGCTCTGAATTTACCCTGTACAGTGATTTTCGATGTTTCGCTCCCGGGGATGGTAACGCTGTTTTCTGGCGTGGTTGAACTGATTAATTCCCGCTATGCAGATCTTGGTGACCATGTTGACAACCTGCATGGTCGCAATAGTCGCGTTGATTGTCTGGCGTGTCCCAGCTTACCTTGTGCTGCCTGTTTGGCTCATCTTCGCACTCTTTGATGGTACCTTCCTCTCGTCGGCCGTAACAAAAGTACCCGAAGGTGCATGGTTCACACTGGCTCTGGCAATGGTTCTCACTTCCACTTTTCTGCTCTGGCGATACGGCAAGGAACAGCAATGGCGCGCCGAAGCATCAGATCGCTTCCCACCAAGTCATTTGATCCAGGCCACTGCGACCCCTGTTGCGGACAGCACCAACATTTATACCCGGAAGCTGAAGCTTTCGCCTGCATTTGGTGGCAAGGAAATTAGGCGCATCGAAGGCATGGGGATTTTCTTTGACAAGTCTGGCTTACCCTCCAGTACGCCGACGGTGTTCATCCACTTTTTGCAGAAATTTCATGCCGCGAACGATGTCATTGTCTTCTTCCACTTGCGGCCCTTGCAGATTCCCACTGTGCCGCCCGACGAGAGATATGCTGTGTCGCGGTGTTATATCGGGGACGACGATGGAAACAGCAAGCGGGTCATGCCCGATACGTATCGCATCATGATCCGGCACGGGTATAATGACGAAGTCGTGACAAACGATTTGGGAGGGTTGCTCTACGAGCAGATCCGCAACTTTCTCGTCCGCGAATGTTTCGGGATCATTTCGAGCGCAGATGCAGATTTAATCAATGGAGTCGCAAAGGAAAGGGATCTTGTCTACTCTTCTACCGAAGTGACCATCCCTTCCTCCGCACCTGAATCCGGACGCCCTTCTTCAGAGAATCTCGAGCTCGCTCACAGGCTTGCTGGACTGCAACGAGCGTACGAGAGCCAAGTGGTCTACGTCGTGGGCAAGGAACAAATGCGTGTGAGAAAGGGCAAACCGACGCCAGGGTATATCTTGCGAAGAGGATTGTTGGAAATATTTTTGTGGCTTCGAGAAAATACGCGCACGAAAGTTCAGGCTCTGAATGTGCCAGTGGAGAAAGTCGTTGAGGTAGGATTCGTCAAGGAGGTGTGATTTGGAGGAGAGAGAGCTCTCCGAGCAACGCGAAAAGGCAGTTTGCATATGGAGCATGTCGACTAGGACAGGTGCGTTTTCTACTGATTCTGTGAGACAGGCCCTCCAACAACAACCCCAGTCTCTTTGCTTTCTCACCCCTTGACGACGGCCAAGAGAAACCCATCAAACGTCTCGCCTTCACGTCCCTTGTGACTGCTGACGACACTCACCAGCGTGGCCTGTACTCTGTCGTCTTTCCCTACCTTGACCGGCAAACTCTCCTTCTGACCGGCCTCAAACTCTTTACTATCTGGTCCCTCGAGGATCCCGCGTACGACATTGTCGACGTAAATGCACCCGTTCGGACGTGCAAGTTGCACGGCGTGTTGGAAATACTCGTATTGCTCGGCCCAGTCCGCGTCGATGAAGGCCAAGTCGAACTTGCCCCTTTTGCCGTCCTTTTGTTCTGCAAGAAGACGCGGAAGGCTCTCTAGCGCGGGTGCGAGGATGATCTCGAAATCCTTTCCCTCGTCGTAGCCCGCATGCTTGAGGTTCTGCAGGGCCATGTCACGGTGATGAGGGTTGATCTCGAGAGAGGTGACATGGGCACCGGCACTCAAAAACCAGAGCGTCGAGTATCCTCCCAACGTCCCGATTTCGAGGATGTTCTTTGCGTTGATCAGCTGGGCTTGGACCGCCAAGAATTGACCTTGCAGTGGGGAGATGGTTATGGGTGGAAGACCGTTGGCGGCGGAGTTTTCAAGAGCATAGGAAAGCGCTTGCGAGAGACTAGTGTTGGGTTGGGGGAGGAGGGAGGATTGTGCGACCGAATCGATTTCCTGGGCGCGTTGGTAGAGGGTGGTGGATGAGGACATGTTGACAAGAGACTAGCTGGTGGACCGAGATCAAACGAATTCCTCCCTCTGTTCTGAAGACGACGGTCACTGTTTATATAGACGTCTGTAACGCGTCCACAAAAGCGACAATCAGCGATAGAGCCGAGCTCGCCGAGGAGTCGGGCATATCGAGGCATCAGGCTGCCAGCGGTGTTGGCCAATGAATCAACATTTCGCGTATGTTAGTGGATTGATCGCCGATGGGGGAAGTATTCTCAGCTGCGCGAAGAAGAGACAACATAACATGCTCAAGTAATCTTCAGACGGTGGAAGAGAGGAGCGACATCGGCCGCACAAGGCCGGACGGGTCCCTAATGGCCATCAGACCTTTCTGTAGTACGCGTGGCTCTGCTGCTCCAGTTGTGACTGTAGCAGCGCCATAAGGCCCGTCAGTAGGAGGAAATCTTGCACCGATGTGGCTCTCTGTTGTCTTGCCCCGGCATCCCCTGGAAAAGGCCATCGCTCGTAGAGTTGGCCGCATAGGAAGGGATATAAGAAACGAAGCTCGTGTTTGGTCTCCCTGCAAACAGTCGTTCATGCGGGTTAATAGGGGAATTGAGGGTGCAAGGTCGATGTGCTCTGTGGTGATATCTGGCATGGGCTGGCATAGCTCGCGGCGGGCTGCTCCCTACGCTGAGAAGGCTCCGGTCCAACTGCAGTGAACCAAGTAGAAAGCAACGAGGAAGAAGTGCCTGTATCCAAGGCATCGGAAGACGCTGGGTGACCCTCGTCGAGCGCAGCCGCGATTGATTGGCTGAGGAGCGACCGGGGTCCACCTTGGCGACGCAGGGTTGAGCTCGAGAAAAAAAGTTCCCGTCAAACCACACCATCGAGCATTGAAGTGTCGAGGATCCGCGTTTCCAGCTTCGTGGCCGCGCGACCTGTCAGGATGAGTGCCTCGCGTGCTATCGGAGGCTCTTCGAGGCTTCTCGGCAATTTGGCACGTTCGCACAACTCGGGTCTCGCGCGACATTGGGTATGCCGACGATGCGCTTCCACTGCGGTACTCCCGACGCTGTCCGCGACCCTGAGGGCACCGTCGCAACAATGGCCGCTGGACCGGCGGTGGCAGCAACGACGAGGTGCTGCCGGCGCCGCGGCTGCAATGTAAGCATTTCTCATCGCTTTGGCTATGGTCTTTGTCTGATAACGGACCAGGCTCGAAGAAGCCCAGGATGACCCCGAGGCCCTCTCTCAAGAGACCATCATTCACAACTTGGCGCCCGAGGAGGCGCACCGGCTGTCAAGAGTACGAAACATTGGTATCGCGGTCAGTCACGAGCCCTGTTCCTCAAAGGTCAGTCAGTTGACAGTCGACAGGCGCATATTGATTCCGGCAAAACGACGGCGACGGAACGTGTCCTCTTCTACACGGGCCGGATCAAGTCCATCCATGAAGTCCGTGGCAAAGACGCAGTCGGGGCGAAGATGGACTCGATGGAACTCGAACGAGAAAAGGGCATCACCATCCAATCCGCCGCCACTTTCTGTGATTGGGTGAAAAAGGAAAACGGCAAGGAAGAAAAATACCACATCAACTTGATCGACACGCCCGGACACATTGACTTTACCATTGAGGTGGAGCGTGCACTGCGGGTGCTTGACGGCGCTGTCATGATTCTATGTGCCGTTTCCGGCGTCCAAAGTCAGACCATCACAGTGGACCGACAGATGCGGAGATACAATGTGCCCCGAATCACCTTCATCAACAAAATGGACCGGATGGGCGCAAATCCCTGGAAAGCCGTCGACCAGATCAACAAGAAGCTCAAAATCGCCGCCGCGGCTGTTCAGGTACCCATCGGCGCCGAAGACGAGTTCCGCGGCGTGGTCGACCTGATCACCATGAAGACATACTATGCCGAGGGCGAGCGTGGTGAGATCATTGTCACCAAGGACGAAATCCCAGCCGAGGTTCAGCAGCTCGCAAAGGAGAAAAGGGCAAAGCTGATCGAGACACTTGCCGATGTCGACGACGAAATTGCCAACTTGTTCTTGGATGAACAGGAGCCCACGGTTGAGCAGCTGAAGGCCGCCATTCGGAGGGCGACCATCTCGCTAAAGTTCACGCCAATTTTCATGGGATCTGCTCTCGCCGATAAATTCATCCAGCCGATGCTCGACGGTGTCTGCGACTATCTTCCCAACCCATCAGAGGTATCAAACACCGCTCTGGACCGAAGGCAGAAGGAGGCTCCGGTCAAGCTTGTACCTTACAATTCGCTGCCCTTCGTCGGTCTGGCATTTAAGTTGGAGGAATCAAACTTTGGTCAACTCACCTATATCCGTGTGTATCAAGGCAAACTGCGAAAGGGCCTGAACGTGTTCAATGCCCGAACTGATAAGAGAGTCAAGATTCCCCGTATTGTTCGCATGCACTCCAACGAGATGGAAGAAGTGAACGAAGTCGGTGCCGGAGAGATCTGCGCGGTGTTTGGGATTGACTGTGCATCCGGAGACACGTTTACGGACGGGCAGTTGGGCTACACCATGACCAGCATGTTCGTGCCCGAACCCGTCATCTCTCTCAGTATCAAACCGAAGAACAACAAAGACTTACCCAACTTCTCCAAAGCCATTGCCCGGTTCCAGCGCGAAGATCCGACATTCAGAGTCCATTTCGACACCGAAAGCGAGCAGACAATCATCTCGGGCATGGGTGAACTCCACCTCGAGGTCTACGTCGAGCGTATGCGCCGAGAATACAAGGTCGATTGCGAAACAGGACCACCTCGCGTTGCTTACCGAGAGACCATCACCAAACGGGTCGAATTCAACCATCTCCTCAAGAAACAAACCGGCGGAGCGGGTGATTACGCCCGTGTTGCTGGCTATATGGAGCCCAAAGGTAACCTCGAGGGCAACCACTTTGAGGAACATATTATTGGTGGCGCCATTTCCGAGAAATTCTTGTTTGCTTGTGAAAAGGGATTCCACCTGTCTTGCGAAAAGGGCCCCTTGGTCGGACACAAAGTCCTCGGCGCGACCATGATCATCAATGACGGCGCAACACACATGACGGATTCGAGCGAAATGGCATTCAAGAACGCGACGCAGCAGGCCTTCCGAAAAGCATTCATGGACGCCGACCCGGTGGTGCTGGAGCCGATGATGAAGACGGTCGTGACGGCCCCGACCGAGTTCCAGGGCAACGTGGTCGGACTGTTGCAGAAGCGCAACGCCGTGATCAACGACACCGAAGTCGGCGTGGACGACTTCACGGTCTGGGCCGACACCAGCCTCAACGGCATGTTTGGATTCAGCGGCAACCTGCGGGCGGCGACGCAGGGCAAGGGCGAGTTCAGTATGGAGTTCAGCCACTACGAGCGCGCTCCGATGCAACTGCAGAAGGAGCTCCAGTCCGAGTTCTTGAAGGCCCAGGCCGAGAGGAACAAGAAATGAAAAAGGGACTGCACTGTCTTGAGGTGGGACGAATGAAAGGGGGCGTGAAGCCGGCTTTGTCGCCAGCCTGTCCAAACATGCTCTCAGGACGTTGGCCTTTCTCCGTGGGGGTTATGTGGCAATCGGCCCGAGTTGAGGCTTTCCTGGCCCGTGCAAACGAAGAGGCTGGCTGGGCAGGAGAAGTACGCCAGAACCTGGCGAGCAAGGCATGATGTTGGAGATTCGGAACGCTCCTCGACGGCCGCAGAGCATTCTGTTGGCCGAGACCCACAGGTGACGGTCGTCATCTTGCAAAAAGTTGCAGTTGATGTGTTGTCACGTCGATACCTGGTTGTGCAGGGAGTCATGAGTCGACCATGAACACGAGGTACTGGTGTGCGTTTTGAGTTGGGATCTCGTAGGATGGACGGCACCGCTGGGTCGGGTGTTGCAAAAAGGGGGTCGGCGTCGTAGATGGTTCTTTCCGGGGGCATGTGTTACTACTACCACTCTACTCTGAGCGTTTGCATTCGCCGTTTAGAACTACCCAGCTTCGGCGTGTACATCTAGACTTACACATACTAGTCAAATGGGAGAGGATGGGGAAGTAGCCGGGAATTTCGCAGGCCCTCCCGGACTGAGCAGAATTGAAAAAGGCTTTTGTTTGGGCTGCCTCATCTGTATTCATCGTGGACACACCATACGGAGCAACATGTCCATCCATCCATCTCTTTCCCTACGTTGGTGAGTAAGCGAGCGTGACTCCATTCCGGAATTGAGGCCGGCCTTTTGTAGTTGCATGTAGCAGTTCGAGATGAGGAAGGAAGGCAGAGGAAACACAAAACGAGTCTCGTCAAGTGAAGGCGGACAATCTTTTGAGCGCTCTCGTCCTGGAGAGTCTCGCCTATTCGTTAGTTCTTGTGCTCAAATATCTTTCTTGATCAGATCTGCGCCTTTCTCAGCCACGGCATAAGTAGTAGCCATGATATTCCTGTTTTGAAAGAAATCAGCATAACCGACGCACAATCCAAGGGAAGAAAAAAGAGCTTGGAACTCACCCAGAGACATGACCAGGGAAGACCGAGGCGTCCACCACCCTCAGGTTCTTGACGCCTTTTACCTTCAAGTCTGTGTCCACAACCTCGCCCAGCGCACAAGTGCCGATCAAGTGATATTGTGTGCTGATGTGGTTTTTGACATACTCGACTCTCTTCTCCTCGGTGTCTAGATTCTCGGTCTCGGGCGGCAGTTCTCGCTCAGCGAGTGATTTCGCCAGCAACGGGTGTTTGGCCACCTGGTCCATCCATTTCATGCCCGCCGCGAGAATCTTAGCGTCAACCTCGTTCCGGAAGTAGCCTGGGTCGATTTCTGGCGGTGCCAGCGGGTCCGACGATCTGATGTGTACTGTTCCCCTTGACAGAGGGTGTTCAAGGCACATAAGTAAGGAGAGCTGTTGTTTTCCGTTGGGTGGTTTGCCAAAGAACAGGGTCTGATCCGAGCCCTTGGCCACGTCGAGGCGGCAGGGGATGCAGAAGGTTTGGAGATTGGCAAACGTTGGGTCGCGGAGCTGGTCGACGATTACCTAGCGCACAGGATCGAGTTGCGTCAGCCGAGTGACATTATCAGAGGTATACTGGACTTGTTCTGGCTCCGAGTAATAAGCACTTACCTTCTCTTGAGCCTTTTCAAAGTCTGTCTTTGCAAGCGACTTCTGCTTGATTTCCTTGATGGTCGCCTCAAGCTCGTCGGGAGTCACCACAGACGCGTACGACACGAACCCCATCATCATCCCCGGATTGGCGAAGAGCCCTTTCTGGCTGTTCTGATAGACGTCCTGCTGCATCTTCATGAACTCTTCCCCGTGCAATGCATCCATGGAATCAATACCCGGTTTCAGATCGTATAGGAGTCCGCCGAGAACGTGATCCTGGAAATTGGCGCCTACTCCCTTATTCTCAACGACGCACTCGACACCAGCCGCTCGGAGAACCTCAGGGTCGCCAATTCCAGAGAGTTCGAGTAATTGAGGGCTTTGAATCACACCTGCGGACAAAACAACTTCGCGCGTTGCCTGAGCCCTGTATTTCTGGCCCTTGTGCACGAATTCAACGCCCTTGGCGGCATCTCCGTCCAAGATGATCTTGGTGGCCTGCGCCTCAGTTAAAACTTTGAGGTTAGGTCGTCTCAAGTTCGGGCGAAGGTATCCTGTGGCGGCATAGGATCGGTTGCCGGGATCGTCGGTCCTGTTGACGGCTCCCAGACTCGAATAGAAGCCCAGATGGTCGCCACTCCACGCGTCGTGGACCGTCTTCTTTGTCCCAGTGACTGCATATGCAGCTTCGGCGAACTCCACCTCCAATGGCATATACCAGTCGTTAAAACTGGTATGGATGGGCCCATTGGATCCGTGGTACTTATCTCCTCCCGCAATGGGCATAAATTGTGGATCGCTGTGTCTGGGCGTGTTGTCCACTGTTTGGTGTTTCTTGAAGTAAGGAAGCATATCGTCCCAACCCCAGCCAGGGTTGCCCATTGACTCCCATCCGTCGTAGTCCTTCTTTGACCCTCTGACGTACATGAGATAGTTGATGGCAGAGCTGCCGCCAAGTACTTTCCCGCGCGGCATCGAGTAGACCTTGTTGCCTGCATTGGGCTGTGGTATGCTGGTCATGCACCAGTCGTACTCTTTCCTGCCGATCTGAAAGGGGTCAGGAGCTTCGGGTGGGATTGAAGGTCATGTATCTCACCATTGTAGGATAGAGCGAAGGGGTTGACACGCTCTTGTCATCCATTCGATTCTCTCCGGCTTCCAGGACAGCTACCGAGACGTTTGGATCCTCCGTCAAGCGAGCAGCGACCGCCAGCCCAGCGGTTCCTCCTCCAACAATAACAAAGTCATATTTGCGAGATACTAATTCATCCACCGAGCAGAGGGCATTCGAGGAGCCATCGGCATGGCCGTTGACACCGTTCCTGGCGGACATGGTGGCTCAAGAAGGAGGTCGTTCGTAGCAGTCTCAGCAGGCGAAGAGGGAGGAGGCGTTGTGACTACGACGACTGACAGAATAGCAAAACTGATTGTCCTCAGAAACCTCACCGACCTACCTGTCCTACCTTGTCGATAAAGCCACGTCCGTGTGCTTCCCCCGCATGCGGACCTGAGCAGCCCGAGGAACATCTTTTGCGGGGTGCAGCCAATCGCTGAGATTCCGGAGAGGGCTTGATGGTGTGAGGGTGACGAGGAAAAGAGGAGAAGGCATCAGATTCGAGATCTGTGTTCGGGATGATCATCTCGGAATCATGGATGGCACATCATTCAGCCAAGAGGGGGTTGTGGCAGCGGTGGAGATCTGGGCCTCGAGGACATGCGAACCGATGCGGCAGTTGGCAGGGCAAAAGGACCGTCACCAGCCACAGCATCAAGCCCAGAAGGAGATAACGGTGGTGATGAAGATTGATGGACGGGAGAGAGACACCCAATGGCCAAAAATAGGGGAGGCGTATGCCCAGCTGGAGCACGCAGCAGGCTGTGTGTTGATGCAAACGGGTCGCAGTCGCCTGCGCAGGCTGGATTCGGGAACGTGACAGTGACATCGGCACTTGTGGCTCTGTCTCAGTCTCACATGCAAAGGACACCAGCAACTTTTTCTTCTCTCTTGATCCATCAACAACCTGGGCATAACCTGGGCACAACCTGGGCCCCTTTTCCCTTTTTGACGTTTTACTTTTTGGGATTTCTTCTCGACCGATTCCCCGAACCCGTTTCTGGTCTTTCGGTGTCCTTTCGCCTTGCGCAGATGGTCAGCGGCTGGTATCTCACACCTCTTTTCTCAGCTGAGAAGCCTCCACGACAAACCACCGAGTGGCTCCCTCTTCTCGCTTGTCTCCTTGTCTCGTCCTCAAACAGCACATGTGCTCAGAATGTTGGGTTCCATCGTCTGTGGACAGCTTTTCTTGGGACTGTTCGTTTCACCCTGCATAACCACAGATGGCAGAATGTGCTTTGTGTGACACCCCGTCCCATCCCCACGTCCAACCCTACGTATATCTCAGACCCGTCCGTCAATCTCCCCCAGTTGCTGATCTTCTTCTACATCCCTTCTGATCGTGTTGTCACTGCTTGTGGTGGTCTTCGTCTCACCCACTTATCCTTACGCGTCCTATCTTGACCCTCGGCCATCACTCCACTGTTTCCACCTCGATACATCGGTCAGGACCTTGCACAAGCTCGATTTGTTGGTCATCGGCACGCCGGCTTTATGCATCCTTCCCCAAAGCGCACTTATTCAACACATCCCACCTCAGACCACACGTCATCTGTTCCACCTATACTAGCCTTACCTCCCTCCAGCAAACATATTTGGAGTCAAACGCCTCCTCGAGAACAGTCGAGCGAGTGTCTCTCGTCCAACTCCAGCCAGACCAACGCTCACCCAGTCCGCAATGTCTCACGCCAGAGCATCCAGCCGGTACTATTCCGACTATGAACGGGCTCTCGAAAAAGCGGCTGAACGGCCCAAGACATCCCCGCCTTCATCTGCACCTTCATCTCGAACCTCGTCGGCGACATCCTTGCAGCCAGCCGCGCCAGTGGCTGAGTGGTGCCATCAAATGCACTTAATCCAGAAGCGGAAATACGATTGGTGTACTGGCTGCTATCCCAAGCCTCCGCCCGCTCCGAGCTCTGTCAAAATCCCGTCTCAGAAGGTGCTGCAACAGTCCAGAATGGGCAACGAACCTGGTCATGCATATCAGTAGACCATCGTCGACGAAGGATATCCGTGTTTGAGTTTTAGCATGGCGTTGGAGGCGTCTGTGGACAAATAAAAGTCATTTTGAAACGCGAAAGCACGAGCTATGAACGTTCTGTTGTATATTGACATTGGAATAGAAGGGGAAGAGACAAAGCTATGAATACAGATCATGAACTGCCGTCCATTGCTCGGGCTCCGGCGGCTTTTAGTTTCTCAATCTGCTCTTTGAACTTTTGTTCGTATGCTTCTTGTCTGAAGACCTTGCTCATCATTAGCGGGTGCTCGTCGGGACATTGACAATCATACTCTTGTCGCATCCAGAGCGCTCGGCTGCCCAATCTCGGGGTCAGCCCCAGCTTCCAAAAGGATGTCAATCACTTCGGCCTCGTTCTTGAACACCACTCCTGCCAAGATTGATTGCCCTCGGTCGTTCAAGCGATTGGGATCTGCGCCGTGCTGCACCAGCAGCGAAGCCAAGGGGGCGTGGCCGTGGTAAGAGGCAAGCATCAGCTGAGTGGGTTAGTCATTTTGCCAGAGACGCCGCTCTGACAGTCTGGGGAAATACAAAATCCCCCGACACTGTCTCCTTCACCCTTTCTGAGCACTTACCAATGTGTCGCCCTTGTCATTGGTCAGGTTCGCAGGAAGACCCCGTGGCAAGGCTTGCTCGAATATATCCATCTGACCTGACCGCGCGGCGTCGAAGAACCTTCCTGCCAGAGCAATCGCTTCTGGCGGGAGCTCGTCGGCTGACGGTGCATCGGCACTCGGTGCTGGCGGCGAAGCGGGTTCCATCGTCGTGCGTGTCCGTGTAAATTGCTGACAGCGGTAGAGGGACTGATTCTCGACAGATGTATGGCCAGTGTATATGCCAGGTCTGGACTTCTGCCAACACGAGGCTTGGGGTTTCTGGAGATATTATGAACTTTCAATTGACACTCGGCAATTCGTCGGAATGACGTCGACTAGTTTGAGCTTTTACATCTACAGAAACTGAATAGTATGCTGACAACATTTAGCCACGGCCGTGCTACCTTGTCAGGCCGGCTACAGTCTTCGAGGCCCCTTGGAAATGAGATGCGGACCAGCTCGTGTCCTCGTCGAAGCCCTACCCTAAAGAAAGCCAATGAGGGGCAAAGGTTCCTAGCCTTGCACGTGAATGGAGGGGCATGCGCAAGGCTGAAGATGCCGAGCCACTGAGTGTCAAACAGGACAAGCGCGCTGCCGATTGCGTGCTCAGGTCTCTTGCTGATTGTCTGGCTTCAACGCAAATCGATACCCTGAGCGGATGGGTGGACACCGTTCTTCTACCGCTGACATGCTCCCGCCCTTGGCCAGGTTGTTTGCTTGCCTTGCTACTAAGTGCTGATGCCATTATGGAGCCCACCCGCATCATGGGAGCACGAGGGGCAAGCAATCATGCCACTAGCTGTGGCAGGCGAGCAGGCCGGAGGCATGTTCGAGAAGAGCAGGAAAAAAAGATTTGTCGTCGCCGCTTGAGCCCAGAGGCTCGACCCTTTTTTCACCAGTCTCCTTCTGATTGACTAGTATATAACTGCTCGCCTACCCCTCCATCGCATTCTTGCGCAATCGCAGTCTTGTCCTCACGCTTGCCCTCTACCGATTGTACTGATTTGCAACACTACACACAAACACCATCAGAGAAAATGGGATCCACCGACCGCCCCGAACCGTACGTCGCTTCCTTCTCTTTGCCAAAGCTGTTTGGACTTTCGTTGCTAACGGCCATTGCCCTCTAGCCTTCGCCTGGGCTCAATTGCCCCCAATTTCCAAGCCCAGACCACCAAAGGCCCCATTGATTTCCACGAGTTCATCGGCAACAACTGGGTCATCCTCTTCTCGCACCCGGAAGACTTCACCCCCGTCTGCACGACCGAGTTGGGAGCCTTTGCCAAATTGGAGCCAGAGTTCACAAGAAGAGGCGTCAAATTGATTGGGCTTTCGGCCAACACCATTGACAGTCACGGAGAGTGGATCAAGGACATCAACGAGATCAGCGGCAGCAATCTGAACTTCCCCATCATTGGGGACAAGAACAGACAGATCGCGCTTCTCTATGACATGATTGATCATCAGGATGCTACAAACGTGGATGAAAAGGGCATTGCCTTCACCATCCGATCCGTCTTCGTCATTGACCCGAAGAAGGTCATCCGCACCATCCTGTCCTATCCTGCCTCGACCGGTCGCAACACGGCCGAAGTTCTGCGAATCGTCGACTCGCTACAGACGGGCGACAAGTTCAAGGTCACCACCCCGATCAACTGGGTGCCCGGCGACGACGTGATTGTCCACCCTAGCGTCAAGACCGAGCAGGCGAAGGACATCTTCCCAGAAATGAAAATCATCAAGCCATACCTCCGAACCACCCCTCTGCCCAAGGACAAGACCAGTGCTGCTTAGGCGGATGGAAGCAGGAACCGTGGAAGTTAAATTTGATACCACCGAGTACGTAGCGGCGTTGAGAAACGCCCATGAAGAAGAACCGGAATTGGACTCCGTATACAAAATGAAAGCCCGTTTCATGACATGTCCACGAGCGAAATTGTAGAGAAGTTTATTTGAAATTGTGTGCGGCGCGTCCTGTCTGTTGTTCTTATTGAGGTACCACTGATTTCACGTCTGGCAATGACAGCGCAGTACCCCGTGCTTGGTCGCCTCGCCCCCTTCAGCCCCTGAACCTGGTCACTGAGGTCAGTACCTGCACCTGTCTGGGCCTGCTGGACTCTGAGGACGCCTCTGGAGCTGGGCAATTGGCTGGCCTGGGTCTTTGAGGCTGCTCGTAGCCGGCTTGGCATGGCGGCAGCTCCCTTTAACTAACTGCTACTGGCACCGCCTGCAGCGCCCATCCCCCCCGATTTCTTTCCCTCCCCCCAAGCCAGTGCCCACCTGTGCCCACCAGTGCCAGGGAGTGCGCCAGTGACAATGCCAGTGCCAGCAGTAGCTCTGACTTCCTGCGCAGGGAAAAATTCCCATCTAGACCTGACATGGAACAACTCTCCTTCCGCTACACAAAATTCCACCCCCCCCATGTCCTCATAATTCTCCTACAGTCCTCCGCAGAGACCCAGTTGTACAGATCTGGACATTGTCTTCTCCTTCGATCCAATCTTGCATGACGTTTGCCAGCCTTTTCTCCGACTTCAATTGATCGCGGTCGGACCTTTCCGCTGATAGATTTTCACACCCCCCTTTTCCGCTGACACCAGCCAGAGTGACACGGGAGAGAAAACGACCCTTCACGAAAAAAGCGACATCCCGAGACAGGTTCTTTGTCCTCTCGGTCAGTGGTCTATCTTTTCTCCCTCTCCGTCGTTGAGATCTTTGCGCCACCTCTGCTGCCCGATTTTGATCCCGCCCGCCTTGCCCTCAACATTGCCCGCCCGGACAAACGAACGCGTGTGCTTGTACCCTTTCTCGCAATGGCCTACAAGACCCGGGAAAAGGGGAACTCCCCCATCATGGTCTATCGCAATGTTGCTCTTTCCACTCTGTCCACCTTGTCTGCTCATTTGTCATATTGCCGTGGTCCTTGCTTATTCGCCCGTCCTCCGCCTCCGGCATCCTGAAACTGGCGCTGACAATCATGACTAGGTTTCGACGCAAGAGTGCTGGTAAGCAGGGTTCTATTCCACGGCTGAGTGACTCGAGGTTCCTCACTTCACATCTTGATCCACCATCGCCCGAGGAACACCACTGGCCGCCCATACCGCCGTTGGCCACAGACAATCACTCCAAATCTGTGGTTTCCAGCGTCTTCACTCTCTGGCAGAGTACTTCCCTGCCGTCTGTGGCAAAAGGAAACTCTGCTGCTTCTGCAACCGCGCGACAGACAGCCAGCGACGTCTCTGGGTATCGATTGACGAAGTTACCAATCCATGATTATGTGCCGGACCCGGCGACAAAGTCTTCCAGTACCACACGATTGCCACGATATGTACCTATAATCATTCCTGAGTTTGCACAGCCGTCATTTACTAGAGAAGAGCACTCTGCTACCTCAGAATCCACTATTCGGACACTGAGAACCACTAATTCATCGCCAACGACTCCGACCTTGAACGGCCATCCATGGTGCTCGAGACATCCGGATGAGGCTGGCCTGCTGTCTACGGCAGAATTACGAAATTGCGAGGAGGAAAGGGATTCAGTCTTCACGATCAAGCAGGCGGAAATGAACAACAGCCAAGTGAGCCTCGTTGCTTCGGAGGCGAGCAATGAGGGAACAAATGGTGTGAACCAACCAATGGACGGAGCGGGTGCAAATATCGGCATATCTTCTTCGGTTCCTCAGCACACCTCCGCTCCGACGAACTTGTCGGGGTTGGTTTGCAATGTGCACAGGACAACAGGTGAGGAGCCCCCGGGGCTGGTTGGCGCAACGACGACAATCCTCGGGGACAAACTGTACGTTTTTGGGGGCAGAGTACACTCCCGAACGAAACCACAGCTGTCTTCGGACCTCTATGAGCTCGATCTCATCCGGCGGCACTGGGTCAGGGTTGATGCCCTTGGAGATGTTCCACCCCCTCGATATTTTCACAGCGTCTGCCCCCTCGGAGACTCGAAGTTAGTCTGCTACGGTGGAATGTCGCCGGCGCCACACAGCAGACCTGCACCCACTCCTCAACCGGGCAAGCCAGAAGGCCAACCCGAGGTCGTGGTCATGTCCGATATCCACATCTTCGATGTGCCCACGCGAAAATGGACCCTGATCCAGGCCCCTGAAAATCCCCAAGGGCGGTACGCTCACTGCGCGGCGATCCTGCCATCTTCCGCCGTGTTCACTTCTGCCAATGCTCCGCTCTCCGCCATCCAGCACAATCCGCCATCTGCCGATCCCCATTCAGGCACGCTCGGAGTGCAATTGGACGGAACAGGCGGTGCGGAAATGGTTGTCGCCGGGGGCCAAGACAGCAGTAACAGTTATATCGAGCAGTTTAGCGTCTTCAACCTGCGCAGCCTGAGGTGGACAGGCACGACAGCGTGGGACCGCAAATGTGGAGCATATAAGAGCATGGTCGCTCCCATGACAGGACTGTCAGCCGAGCTGATTGGTCGAGGGGTTCCGCTGAACGATCCACAAGTCCAGAGAGCCAGTCCGCGCCCCGGAACGTCGATGCTGATATACTCCAACTATAATTTTCTGGATGTCAAGCTGGAGCTGCAGGTCCGGTTGCCGGATGGATCATTGATGGAGAAGCCCGTGACCGGGTCCGTGTCTCCGCCCGGGCTGCGGTTTCCCAACGGCGGCATCATCGACGGTCATTTTGTGGTCAGCGGGACGTACTTGACTTCGTCGAAACATGAGTATGCGCTATGGGCGCTGGATCTCAAGACTCTTACCTGGGCGCGGATTGACACGAATGGGTCGATTTTCTCCCAAGGGAGCTGGAACCGAGGAGTGTTGTGGAATCGAAGGAATACATTTGTCATTCTGGGGAACCGGAAGCGAAGCCTGGTCGACGATTACAACCATCGACGGATCAACTTCAGTCACGTTTGTATGGTTGAGCTGGAAGCATTCGGCCTCTACGACAACCCCCGAAAAGTGGCCCCTACTTCGGGCTACGTTTCGGTATCTGCTCCGAACATTCCTCCGTCGATGCAATCTAGTCTGCTGGGTCAAGCAGCTGGCGGGAGACCGTACAACAGCACCGCCGAACAGCTCGGACAGGCAGCGTTGAGTCTGGCAGAGCTGTCTGACATGGAGATTGTGGCCCTGGGCGGAGAGAAGATTCCGTGCAACTCGTACATTCTGTCTCGACGTTGGGGTCCGTTCTTCAATCAGCTGCTGGCCGAGTCTGTGTCCACTCACGAGAACGTCAGTCTATCGGACGGGGCCACACTGAGGCCGAGTATGCGGTCGCAGGCCAGCCGCAACTCGTCGCTGACCATCACCCCAGCTGTGGCGAACGGGCTGGCAGTGTCCGCAGTGGGAAGTGATGGCATTTTGGATCCGCAAAGATCACTGAGTCGCTCTACAACCAGAACGCTGGTTGAGCTGCCAAACACAACGAACATACCGCCTTCAAGTCGACCGAGATCATTGTACCTGCCCCACATGGCTCCCACGATCCACCTGTTATTGCATTTCCTCTATACGTCTTCACTTCCACCTGTCGGGTCACCGTTGTGCACGCCACACACGCTCTGCTCTCTGTTGCAGATGGCCAGACCTTATCAGGTTGACGGACTGCTTGAGGCGACAGTCGAACGCCTGCATGAAGTGTTGGACGGGCGAAACTCTGCCGCAGTCTTTAATGCGGCTGCTATGGCCGCAGGAGGCGGTCGAGGCCTTCGGGGTGCTGCCGGCAGCAACCTGGTTAACATGGGTCGACGAGAGAGTGAAGCCACCACCATTGGGGACGGCACCTTGGGCCTGGCGAACAAGGCTGCAGGGCTCAAACTGGCGACAAACTACGAAGAACCTAGTAAGAAGAGAGGACATGGGAAGTCGAGCTCGATGGATTCAGCCTCGACGGCAACTTCGGCGTCGACGTCGACTGACATGTCCCGGACGGACACCGAGACTTCGGGACAGGACGACAACGCCGAGCAGAATGGGCACGAGTCCCAAGAAATATGGACTGGCGATCTGAGCTCAGTCATTGGACTTCAGAAACGCGGGTTACGCGGGTTGATGGAAGGGCGGCGGTTGAGAGAGCGGGCAAATACTGGAGGTACAGGCGGTGAATAGGCTTTGGACAGGAAATGAAAATGACCATAAAAGCACGTGCTGTTGGCGATTGTCTTTCAATAGTGGCTGGCATGTGATGATGATCTGGACTGTCTGGCTGTGCTTGTGCGATGCCTCGGCACGCATGAAATTGTCTTCGATCCGCCAGGAACATCATCTGACGTGCCAAACAACGAATCAAGCAACAGGTAAACGGACCCAAATAATCATCGGAGTCTCCGGTTTCTTGCAACTCCCTTTTCTGCGGAGGAGGGAGCGTGACCCAAGCAGCTGTAACTCCGTGATGATGCGGGCGGCGTGTGGTTCCTGATCTTGCCTTGGCCAGAATGCCGGGGCATGTGAAAACAATGTCGACCTGACGTCGGTCCCCTTTACAACTGACTGCATTCCTCTTGTGACGCTCCTTGATCTCCTTTCCATTGCTCTGTTTCCCTTTCTCTCCAGAGACCTTCTACTTGTACTACCACTTTCTGTGACTCGCATAGGCAAAACATTCCCATCTTTCATTCTAAACTGTCCAGGTCAAGCGGGCCACAATGTCCAAACGATTCTCGACTGCTGATGTTGCTTCGCACAACAAGGCAGACAACCTCTACATCATCGTCGACGAGGACGTCTATGACTTGACCAAGTTTCAGGACGAGCATCCAGGTTGGTCACTATCAATTCCGTCACCTCCGCATTGGAAACCATGCTGACCCAGGCTGAAAAGGTGGGAAGAAGAGTGAGTTTCCGGCCACCCTCCGGATGCGCAACGACTAATGGGACGGGCCAGTCCTGCAGCGTGTGGCTGGCAAAGATGCCTCGAAGCAGTTCTGGAAATACCACAACGAGGGGATCCTCAAGAAATACAAGGGCAAGTTGCAGGTCGGATCGTTAGACACCAAAAAGGTCGAGGCACCACCAACGCCCCCTGCTACACCTCCCGCGGAAAAGGTATCGGAGAAGAAGGTCCGTCCACAAGCAGAACCTGGCACTGTCGCCCCTGCACCGGGTCCGGCTGCTCCAGAAGAAGCGGAGGCACTGGATCCCTTTGGGTCGCTTATTCCCTTTGGCGACCCAAGCTGGTATCAGGGTGTAAGTGGAACGCTCCCCAACCGCGGAAGAGGTTGACTGACGGCGCAGTACCATTCGCCCTACTACAATGAGACTCACGCTGCCCTCCGTGCCGAAGTCCGAGAATGGGTCGAGAACGAGCTCGAGCCCTACGTGACTGAGTGGGACGAAGGCAAGAAGGTGCCTGAGAAGATCTACAAACAGATGGGTGAACGAGGCTACCTGGCTGGTCTTTTGGGAGTCAAGTACCCGACCCACCTGGTCCAAAACGCCGTCAAGAGCGTCCCCCCGGAGAAATGGGACCTGTTTCACGAGATGCTCCTGACGGACGAGCTGTCGCGAACCGGCTCTGGCGGGTTGGTTTGGAACTTGATCGGAGGCTTTGGGATCGGGTGCCCGCCGCTGGTCAAGTACGGGAAGAAGGAGCTCGTCAACCGCATCCTGCCGGGGATCCTCGCTGGGGACAAGAGAATATGCCTGGCCATCACCGAGCCCGATGCCGGTTCCGACGTCGCCAATCTCACTTGCGAGGCCAAGCTGTCCGAAGACGGCAAGCACTTCATTGTCAACGGGGAGAAGAAGTGGATTACTAACGGCATCTGGTGCGACTATTTCACGACCGCCGTGAGAACCGGTGGTCCGGGGATGGGCGGCATCAGTCTCTTGCTGATCGAGCGCACCGAAGGAGTCAGCACCCGCCGGATGGACTGCCAAGGTGTCTGGAGCAGTGGAACCACCTACATTACGTTTGAGGACGTCAAGGTGCCCGTGGAGAATGTGCTGGGCAAGGTCAACAAAGGGTTCCAAGGTAAGTCAAGGATTGTTTGATAGTAGCAGCCACTGACTGGACCACGCAACAGTGATCATGACCAACTTCAACCACGAACGAATCGGCATCATCATCCAGTGCCTGCGCTTCTCGCGTGTCTGCTTCGAAGAGTGCGTCAAATATGCGTCCAAGAGGAAGACGTTTGGGCAAAAGCTCATCAATCACCCTGTCATCCGCATGAAGCTCGCCCACATGGCGCGCCAAATCGAGGCCAGCTACAACTGGCTGGAGAACATCATCTACCAGTGCCAGCGGATGGGCGAGACGGAGGCCATGCTCCGGTTGGGAGGTGCGATCGCGGGGCTCAAGGCTCAAGCTACAACGACGTTCGAGTTCTGCACCAAGGAGGCGGCTCAGGTGTTTGGTGGCCTGGCCTATTCGCGAGGGGGCCAAGGTGGGAAGATTGAGCGATTGTACCGTGATACGCTGGCCTACAAGATTCCGGGCGGCAGCGAGGAGATCATGCTGGATCTGAGCATGCGACAGAGCTTGAAGGTGCACAAGGCGCTGGGCATGAAGTTGTGATTTGGCGGGCAGATGTACTTGTACTGAGCACAACAGCTCCCAGTGTGGGATTCAACCAGTTCCAACTGTGTATTGTAGCGCCTAGTCTCTGCTCTGGTTCGAAGGAGCGTACTGTAGGATTTCTCTGCTTGGACTGGTGACGCGAGCTGACCATCGTGACCATCTCTGGGACCCTGGCCATGTCACAACGCAGGCCGTGGAAGTCCCGGCTCGAGCAGGCGAGACTCTGAGTGGATGAGTTTCAGGTGGGAGAGTCAATGGCACCCCACAGAGCAACTTTTTTCTCGCGCGTTCAAGGATTTTGTCTGGCCCGCTTTTGTCGTTCGTATGATGCAGGTACATGGCGGTAGCATCGGCAGTGGGATGAACTGAGTGCGGTATGTTCGTCTCGTAGCTGTAGGCATCCTCCGAGCCCATTCATCCTCCTCCGAGCCCATTCATCCTCCTCCTCGTACGTCACCATCCTCCCGATCCACCACTTCCCATCAGAATTTTCTCACCCGTCCACCATCCTCGCCATCGTCGGCAACGGCTTTTGCTTCCCCTTCCCATCCGTGCCAGGTGCCTGTCAGTGCTTCAATTGCAAGCGAGGACCAAGCATGACGACCCTCTTTTGCCCTGCGCTGCCGTCGAATCGCTGCTTTTCGCTCACGCATACCTCTACTACTACTTCAAACTTCCATCTCCACCTCCACCACCACCATCATCTGCTTGCCCTGCGCCTCGATCTTGCCGCCACTTGAAGTCAAGATGTGGTAGTAGCTTCCCCGACTGTACAAGCTCTGTCCCAACCATCTTAGTCCCTTTGCGATTTTGCATTTATTCGTGGCTTGCCGTGTACCTGGCCTGTCTGCTAATCGTTGCTCTGTCCAAACCTTTTCGGTGCCATATACCTTCTTCATTTTCCTTGATCTATCGACTCGTCACGCTCGTTACAGGACATACAATACATCCCATATCTACAATATGCGTACCTCGCAGATCCTCGCCTTCGTGGCTGCCCTTCCTTCCACCCTTGCCGCCTACAAGGGCTTCAATTATGGTTCCACTGGCAACGACCAGTCCGCCTTCGAAGGCCAATTCAATTCGGCCAAGGCTCTAGGCTTCACGTCTGCTCGTCTGTACACCATGATCCAAGACGGAACCACCAACAGCCCCATCTCTGCCATCCCAGCAGCCATCGATACCGGCACCACTCTCTTGCTCGGCCTGTGGGCTTCAGCCGGCGACGCTGATTTCGCCAACGAGCTCGCCGCGCTCAATGCGGCCATCACTCAATATGGCACCGCTTTTACCGACTTGATTGCTGGCATCAGCGTCGGCAGCGAAGACATCTATCGCATCACTCCCATCGGCATCGAGAACAACTCCGGCGCTGGAGTGGGTCCGGCCACAATCATCAACTATATCAACCAAGTTCGATCGGCCATCGCCGGCACCTCGGCGGCAGGCAAGCCGGTCGGCCATGTCGACACTTACAATGTCTGGGCCAATTCGAGCCAGAATGCCCTGATTGGAGCATGCGACTTCCTTGGTGTCGACGCATATCCTTGGTACGAGACCACCAAAGCGAACAGCATCGACAATGCCAATGCTACCTTCTGGGGTGACTATGACGACACCACTGCTGCCGCCCAAGGAAAGCCTGTCTGGATCACCGAGACTGGATGGCCCGTGTCTGGAGCTAATAGCAATGAAGCTGTTGCCTCGGTCCAGAACGCGCAGACTTACTATGACGCTGTCGGATGTACGGCGTTTGGTGAAGGCATCAACACTTGGTGGTACACCCTCCAGGACAGCGGATCCAGCCCAAGTTTTGGTGTTGTGGGCGCTGGTTCACCTCCTCCAACCACGCCGCTGTACTCCTTGAGCTGCTAAGCGCAGCGTTGGGTATAGCATGTGGTGTCTATATACGTAATAAATTGGTGTGTGCATTGGATCGGGGCAAAAGTTGGTGTGACTAGGTATGAACAACTATAGAAACGACCAATAATGAAAATGTAATCCATCGAGCAAAACATGCATCACCCGAACCGAGTCATGACAAGTGAAGGAAATTTTCAGATCAGCCTCGTCCAAGCCTGACAGCCAATCAACGTGCGTGTTTGTTGATTCGTCGCACTAACCCCTATTCGGCCGTGTCAACACCTCGAATGTAAACAATCGCTTGGGCATCGAGTCTCAACCTCTCGTCTCCCCCGCATTCGCCCATCTTCTATTTCTGTACTACTAACAACAGGGCACCGCGTCGATTCGTGCTTTCCCAACCTATTCAGCACCACGATCTCGCCTTCCCACGGCGTGATTTTCGGTCTTGCAACCCTGGAGCCTTCATAATGGCACCGAGGAAGGCTGTAAGCCCAGCGAAACCTCGCCGCATCACCCGCGCCCGAGCAGCTGATGCCGACACCGCTGCCACGACAAACACCGAAGAAACATCCAAGCGCCGAACCACCAAGACCTCCGCTGTTCCCACCACGAGCCGAGCACAGGCCCTCGAGGCAAAATCCCGAGTCACCAAGAAGTCATCATCGACAGCAGCGAGTAAAGCGACAAAGGGCGGACGAGCAAACACGCGGTCCGCCAAGGCCGTGGCTGCAGTAAAAGAAGATGAAAGTGATCATGACGATGACGAAGAGGAAGAAGTGATGGAAGTCACAGTCACCAAGCCACCAGTCAAGCCATCGAGGACATCTACGCGGAGCACTGCAAAGGCTTCGGTTCCAGCCGCGACTGCTGGTCTTGCGGCGGCACCTAGACGACGAGTAAAGGTCACGCCCTTAATTCAGAATGACCCTCACCCCGAACCTGTCGCGCCGCCGCATGCGGAAGAAGCCATGCCGGAAAAGAAGCCAACTGCAAAGGCAAAGAAGGAAAAGGCTACCCCAGAAGTCACAAAAGCAGCCACTTCACGAAGTAAGAAAGAAACTGCTGTTGGCAAACACAGCAAGGACGCAAACGTGGAGAATACAGACCCAGAACCCAAGAAGCGAGGTCGAGGTCGAACCGCGAAGCACGACCTACAGCCGGAAGAGGAGCCGACGCAGGAGTCCACGTCTGCAGTATCCAAGGCACGGGGACGGCCGAAGAAGGAGAAGATTCCTGCACCATCAGTGGAAGAGATCAAACCTGCACCGATCACTACCAGACAGACTCGAGCGAGGGCCGGATCTACGAACTCATCTGTCGTCGCAGAACCTGCGGTCAGTGTAGTGGTCCCTTTGAAGAAGAAGGTGACTTTCGAGGCTCTTCCGGAGGATGACGATGAGAAAGAGAACAAGCGTCCCAGAACCATGGCCAAGTCCAAGAGCACAAAGCCAACTGCCGCTAAGAAGACGGAGACGGCAGCCACCGGCATGCGTGCTAAACCGATTCGTAAGCCTGCCACTACGAGAACGACGAAAGCCACTCGAGGAGCGGGTGCAACCAAAGCACAGGAATCCAAACCTCAGGCAGAAGTCGAGAACACTGGGAAGATCCAGCCTCGTGCATTAACGCCCAAGAAGATTACACAAGTCGCAAAGGCCATGCCCGTGGATAGTGACGATGATGAGGAAGATGAACTTGCTGGAGCTAAGACTCCAGTCCGCGATCTCAGCCTCTCACCCAGGCGTGGACTCGCAGCTTCAGCGACACGACTGTTGTCGCCGGTAAAGAAGCTTGACTTTTCACCCGCACTCCATTTGGCATCTCCTCAGAAGAACGACGCATCGCAGGGTTTTGGCATGCTGAGTCCGCCGCGGCGACCAGCATCTCCAGTCAAGGACTCGTTGAAGGAGTCACCTCGTCGAGCGCCTGAGGGCGTTACAGTTTTCCGAGCCAACGTGCCAGACGTCCATGGCACTGCGTCTCTGATTCTGGACCCTTCCAATACCCAGTCCATTCTTCACCAATCTCCAAAGAGAGGTCTGTCGGATAGAATCGTCTTTCCCCCATCTGCCGTAAAGTCGCGAGCCACCCCACTCAAGACCTCTTTGTTGTCTTCACCTGCTCGACGCCTCTTCTCGACTTCAAAGCAGAGGACGCCCGCTCAGATATCACCATCGTTCAGGAAGACTTCCGAGCAAGAATCCCCGGAATCGCCAGCGCATGGCGAGGCAGGACTGCAAAGCGAAGAAAGGGAAGAAGTCGCAGTGTCCTCGCATTTCAGATCTTCTGTTTCACCTCAGCGGTCTGCCAGGGTGTACAGACTAAGCGAGGATGAGTTGGCCGAGGAACTCGACGCCGAGGTGGATTTTGACCAGTCCGTGCTAAATATCAGGAGTCCTCTCAAGATGGACAAGCTCAAGCCCGTTGTTGAGACTCCAGCGGAGGAGATGGTTGTGGATGATTCGCCCGTTGAGGAAGATGTTCGCTCACTTGTGGAGGAAAATGACTATGAAGAAAGCGTCGAAGCTGATGGTGCTGATAATGCAGCTCCAGTTCCCGCGGTTGACGCAGACGAGACCATCTTGGATCCCGAACTTGAAGCTAGTGACACTTCTGATGAGGAGAGTACATCGCACAACGTTGAGCCCCGTGACGCCCAGAGTCACGCTGTTGAAGTTTTGCAACAAACCGTTGAGAGTTCTGTCAAAAGACCCAAATTGTCGGACGCTCTGTTCAGCCGCCTTCGACAAATCGATGACGAGTCTGAAGATGAGCTTGCTGGAGATCAGACACCAGACAATCGACTTTTCAAACCTATTTTCAGACCTAGCATGAGCGGTGCTGCAATCCGCTCTCGCGTCTCGACTGGAGTTGTCCCAGAGAGCGCATCGAAAAACCTGGGCTTCACTCCTCTGGCGGCACAAGTCCAAGGCTGGCGCGCTGCCAGTCCCGAGAAGAAGAGCGCTGCTGCTTCCAAGGCACGGAGCCTGTTTTCCCCTGTCGCTCAGATGCACATTGCTGGCTCGGTCGAGCTGAGCAGGCCAGACACTCCAGGCCATGAAGCTTCGAAACGAAAGTCAATCGCCAACAGGTATTCCCTGGCTCCTTCAATGGTCGACAGCCCCACGAGACCAGACTTTTTTGCGGATGGAATGGCTGCGCGAGACTTTGAAGATCAGGTAGAAGCCGATGCTGCTGGGGACGACGAGGATCTTCACAACTTGATTCCACAAGATATTCCCGAGCACAACGCTGCTGACGAAGTTGGCGATGAAATTGGGGCAACCTCAGGAGAAGATCGGGCGCAATCAAACGCAGAGTTGACGACCGACCTGGTCAACTTTACCAATGCGTCTGATACTGCTATGGTCGATTTCAAAGCTCTAGCAGATGAAGCTGAAGATCTCGCAGCTCACGAAGGACACGAGGAAGTGTCTGCGGATGAGCAGGAGGCCAACGTCACCGTTCCTACTCTTATACTCGAGACGGTGAACGAAGAGCAATCTATGCTATCGATGTCAACTTCTTCCGGATCGTATGGTGATGAAAACACAGCTCCCGTCGAGGGTCCTACTGCAGAGGTGTCCGATACCGACGAAACGGAAGAATTGCCTACTGAGGAGAGCGCTGAATGCCACGCCAAGGTGATCGATGAACCCGAAGAACATCATGACAATGATGGCCACGGCATTCCTGAGCATACAGAGGAAAACGAAGACGACATCGACGCCGCATTGGACACCGAAGACCAGTTGTTTGAAGTCACGGCAACCAGCATAGAGACCTCGCCTTTCAAGGACGACAGCACTCCAGCGAACATGCCCTGTGCCATTGAGGAAATGGATTTCAGTGTGACACCGGTCCGCCCAGATCCAAGTCTCCCGAGATATGTCCATACAGTGGTGTCGAAGGTCCCGCTTCGGCCTGAAGGAATTGTCCCTCCTACTTCGTCGCCGCTCAAGGTGCAGAGAAAGAGACCAAGGTCGCTTTCCTCTTCGCACGTACAAGCCGTCAAAAGACAGAGCTTAGGTCCCAGCTTGGGCGCTCCCTCATTTGACATGGACCCTCTCGCGACCCCGAAGGCGAATGTTGCGTCGGTCATATCGCCTCAGAGGCGCATCCGCAGTGCAGCACCCAGTCCAGCAAATTCACTCGCCTCGGGATTGACGACACCTGGTCAAACGAGCTTCAACGTTGAGGACTTCGGCAACAGCACTCTTGACGGGATCGACTTGCCGGAGGACGAACTGACGTCCGATGATGTTGAGGAAACAGAGACTGCTTATCAGGACGAGAGCTTCCTGACTATCGGCTCCACCTTGTTCAGGACACCAGCAGCCACATCGAAGAGAAGCAGCTTTGTTCCTTCTACCGCACAGTCACAAGCAACCACAACACCTCGCTACGCGATGAGCACAAAGTCAAGCACTAGCCGGGTCACTGCCACTCCGAAATTCACGCCCTCAAAGGGAGCTGCTGCCGCGTCCAAGACGCCTGCCACTATCACCAGAGCCAAAACTCCTAGCACTTCAATGAAGCCAAAGTCTGTGGCGAAGACTCCACAAACCGGCCGGAACCCCTTGAAACCGGTCGGAAGCGGGGTTCTTCATGGAGCAATTGTCCATACCGATATCCACACCAGCGAAGGTATGGATGCTTCGGCCTTCTACATCGACCTGCTCACATCTATGGGAGCGCGAGTGGTCAAAGAGTGGAGGTGGAATCCGAGAGCCAGCATTGCTTCTTCTAACCAGGACTCTAATGACTCGGAGGCATTCATTGCAAACGTCGGCATAACACATGTCGTCTACAAGGATGGTGGAAAGCGCACGTTGGAAAAAGTCCGCTCAGCCAAAGGACAAGTGCTTTGCGTTGGGGTTGGCTGGGTTCTGGACTGCATGCGAGAAGCCAAGTGGCTTGACGAGTCCGCATACGCTGTCGATGCAAGCATCATGCCTCGCGGTGGATCCAGGAGACGCAAATCCATGGAGCCCAGAATGCTCGTCAACGACAATGGCCTTCTGTCTGCAAGCAAGGAACACCAACGCCGAAGCCTCTCTGCGGAGTACACGAGCTTGACTGGGCAGATGAAGATGGAGCTGATCAACACGCCCGTCAGGGGTAACGAGGTATTTGGAGGTGTTGAGCCTCTCGGAAACGGCGTCGAGGTAGGAGACGAATCGGAGATTAGTTCGACGTACAACTCTCCAACCGCAGCAACGGTCTGGGGAGGTGGCGATACTGCCGACGTGGGTGTTCTGATGGCCCAGCAGGAGAATCAGACGCCTGCTTCAGTCGAGTCCAAAAAGGCCACCGCAGACATGTCGACTCCAAAGTCCGTTTCCTTGGACGTGGACTACGATCCTCGCACGGCCGCCACGCCGCTGACTCCTTACCTCATTGCCAAGGGACAAGAGTTAGTGCAGATGAGCGCTCCGCCAAAGCAGATCAACAAGAGCATCTTCGATCGAGACGACGACGATGAGAGCGCTGCTGCGGAGAAAGGACTAGCAAATGGCGGCAAGAAATTCCAGGTCAAGATGCAAGGCAAATCGGGCAAAGGGTTGCTGGATGCCAGGAGGAAGACTCTTGGTGTTGCTGGAATGGGCTTTCAACCTCGTTTTGGGAGTCCCTTGAGAAAGGAGTGATGCCATTTTGACTGCTGTCTGGTGGTGAGGACCTGTTTGATGTGGTTATTCTTTGGTGGGAAGCATGGAATGAAGTATAGAAAGTCACTCGGGTCTTGCAAACGGAGGTGTCGTGTGAGTGGAAGGCGATTCTGTGACTTCGGCGTTATGGTTACGCACACAATGTGGGTTGGACTGATTCATGGGTGTTAGTGGTTGGTGATCAATTGGCTGGTTGGACCGTGGATGGGGATGGAGATTGAGACCGAACTTGAGAATGAACATGAAACATGAATATGAAGAGCCAAAGCAGTTTGATCATTGATTTGTTTTGATTCGATTCGTTGATTTGCTCGTTCCTTTCATTACATTCTTCGCCAGTTCTCTCGCTTTTTGGGCCACCGAGATAGCATTAACCATACGCCAAGCATCGTGCATCGTGCGTCAGAGGCCACATCCCTCCCTCCTCACGCCGCGGCATCGCGGTAGAAGCCCGCGACGAGAAAGGCCAGCTCGAGGGCCTGCTTCTCGTTCAGGCGCGGGTCGCAGAAGGTGGCGTAGTTGAGGCTGAGGTGCTCCTCGGTCAGGCCCTCGGCGCCGCCGATGCACTCGGTCACGGCCTCGCCCGTCAGCTCCAGGTGCACGCCGCCCAGGTACGAGGCGTGGGCACGGTGGACCTGCAGTGCCTGGTGCAGTTCGCTGAGGATGTCGGAGAAGCGGCGGGTTTTGATCGTGGTGGTGGCTGGGGCGGTGGGTTCGTCTCCGCCTGATTGTCCTGCGGGTGGTGGTGATGACGATGATGTTGCGGTCGCTGGAGTGTTGTTGGGCGCAGGAAGCGTCACCGTGGCGTTGCGGCCGTTGCCGTGCATCGGGTCGCACTGCCACACCACCGTGCCCTGGTGTCGCGACTGCTGCACCGCGCGGATGTGGCCCGGGAGGTGCGCGGCGATCTTGTCGCAGCCGTAGCGCGTGATCAGGACGATCTTGCCGACTTCGTGTTCGGGATTGAGGATGTCGAGCAGCGGGACCAGGTCCGCGGCCGGCATGCTGGGGCCGACTTTGACGCCGATGGGGTTGGCGACGCCGCGGAAGAACTCGACGTGCGAGTGTGTGAGCTGGCGCGTGCGGTCGCCGATCCAGAGCATGTGCGCCGAGGTGTCGTAGTAGCCCTTCGTCGGGGGCAACGGGGGTGGAAGCTGTGTGGGCAGGGACGTTTTGCGGGTCTTGGATTGGTTTTGGTGGCTGCTTGCGGGGGGTGAAGGGCGAAGGGCGGTTTGGTGGTGCTGGTGGTTGGCGGGGTGTTTGAATTTGCGAGTCAGTGACTGTTCGTACTCCAGCAGTAACCCTTCGTGGGAGGTGAACAGGTCGACCGTCTCCAACCCGCCGCCTGTGTCCAGCCCGATCGTCCGCATCATCTCCAGAGTGTCCGTGATCCGCTCCACGATGATCTGGTATTTGTCCCGGACGGTGGGATCGCGGACATGGCCTAAACTCCAGTCGAGGGGGGCATGTAGATCGGCGAGGCCGCTCGCCAGTGCCGCCCGCAGGTAGTTTTGGGTCGCTGCAGAGTGGAAGTACGCGTCGACCAGTCTCCTGGGGTCCGGCTCCCTCAACGCCGGGTCCGCCTCGTAGCTGTTCAGGATGTCGCCGCGGAAACTGGGCATCGAGACCCCGTTGACCATCTCGGTGGGCGACGAGCGCGGTTTCGCATACTGACCGGCCATGCGGGCCACGCGGACGACCTTCTTCTTGGCGCCGTAGATCAGAACCAGAGACATCTGGAGGAGGAGTTTGACTTTGGCCTCGATCATCTCTTGGGTGCAGTAGTCGAACAGTTCGGCGCAGTCGCCGCCCTGGAGGAGGAAGGCATTGCCCGTCGCGACTTCGCGGAGCTCATTCTTCAGCTTCACGATCTCTTGCGGCGTGACCAGGGGTGGGAGAGTGTTGAGCTTTTGAACGGAGGCGTTGAAGGACTTGGTGTCGCTGTACTGGACGGACTGCACGATGGGCTTGGTCTTCCAGCTGGAGGGCGTCCAAGGCCGAGTAGTGGCGTGCTTGGGAGTGCCGTTTGTCTCCATCGTTTGGAGCCTCTGGGTAAGATTTTCTAGCCTTCTTCGGGCCGACTCCTCGGTTCCTTCGCAGCTATGACAGGACTCAAATAGAGGGATGCTATTCGACGACAAATCACTGAGATCCGGGGGGCACGTGTAGTAGATGGCTTCCGAAAATCAGCATACAAAAGGTATACTAGAGATGAGTCACCGCTAGTGGAAAATTCGGGGAAGATGGCTGTAAGGCAGAACACACGTAGACTCCGTAGATGCTCAGCAACTCAAATGAAGCAATATCTATGAGAAAGATCAGAGAATGCCCTTTTCCCGTCGGTGAATGTGGGTGAAAAAGGAAGATTGACGTCCTCGAGATCTTGAAGGTCCTGATACAACGCTATTCCGCTCTCGGCTAGCGACATGTAACGGTGGACTAGTTACCTGCTGAGTGCGAGACTGGAGATTCACCACTGCACATTGCACTGCACGACACCGTCTCGTCCCTCTCTCTTCCTATTGCACCACCTGGAATAAGATGGCGGAACCAATCCCATCGGCTTCAACCGCCGCAGCGGACGCCGCAGACGACGAAACGTCCCAAAACCTCCCCAACAATGCCGAGGACCGCAAGGCCGCTGCGGCGCTCAATTCTCTGAATGCGAACGAGATGTCTACCGAGAATGGGGAGAGCGGCACGAGACAGCCCTCTGCAGCGGATCAAGAAGCGCTGGGAAAGGCCATGTCGAGGTTGGAGATTGCTAGTGGCGTTGGAAAGAAGAAGGAAGACACCACCAAGACTCAGGCAAAGAAGGAGGTGGAAGTGAAGAAGAAGGTCAAGATCGCGGCCGAGGACGTGAATCTTCTGGTGCGTCTTGTTTCCAGACTTTTGGGGCTGTCCATTGGTTGCTGATACATACCACAGGTCGAAGAGCTTGATCTGTCAAAGACCAAGGCTACGGAGCTGTTACGATCACACGACGGAAATGCCACACTGGCAATCAAAGCCTTTGTTATTCCAGCTGCACGAGCATGAGCCCTCTCTGGAAACCTTGCTGTAGGATCATTACCATGGACCGTCTCTCGAACTCGACACACCTTGATCTACTCAAAATCTTGTCTGAGCGACACCGGAAGTCGCATGCTGTCTCGCCGGAAGCCGAAGTAACTGCTCGGTCTGCGCTGCCCAAGCTAGATGAATTCGCTCAACGGTCAATGATATGTTGGGACAAGTAACTTTGTGCACTGGTTCTGTCACATCGTACAGAGTGCGGGATCAGGAAGAGTGGGGATGTATAGGCAGGTCGGCTAGGCAAAATGCGGCCGTTGCAGCTTCGTGGACTCGGGATAGATCGATCAGCGCTTGAAGGGCAAGTCTCGGGTCATCTTGAAGGGAAACTGTAGATTCCAACAGGAAGCTGAGGCTGGAGATTCTCCAACCGTGGATCAAGCGGTCTCAAGATCGGCCAATTTGTAAACAGGCTATATGCGCCGGCAGAGCTCCGGTTCATCTTCGGCATGGCACAAGAGATTATGAGATGGCGGTCGACGGCAAATGCTCCATTTCTCCAGTTGTTGAGACCACCTAGCTTGAGCCAAAGCCAATAGACATGTAACGTAAGTCAGATCTTGCATGCTGTGGAATCGACTCGTACGGGCCGCTGAACTGTAGGTCTTGGCAAAGGGAAAGACGCTCAATCCTATATCATGATGATGTAAAGCCGTTACGCATCCCGTCTTATCAAGAATCAGAAGAATACTTCATTGCTCTTGAGTACCACCCGCGAGCAGACCACTTAGGTTCGTGTATACCGAGACGAGCCAAGATCAATCAATTGCCACACAATGGGTATACAAGAGTGGACGGTCACGGAGGTTAGTTGACCCTTGCTGGCTCCTCGAGAGACTTTACTGAGATTCAGGCATACTATCCCTCGAAATGTAGTTTGGGTGAAGGCCCGTATTACACCAAAGAACGGCATGAGCTTCGGTATATGGTTCGTGAGCAATGACCATCCTTCTCGTCTTGCGCATGCTGACCATGACAACCAGGATATCAACAATAAAAAACTCTTTGTCATCGACCTGGCAAAGGGACCCGAGTCGGTCAAGATCATCGATACCGCGCAACCAATTGGTGTCACGGCAAATATCGAGGGCGTCGATTCTTCAGAGGTCATCCTGGCTGGTGCAAAGGACGGCGTTACCAAATTCCACCTGAAAACCGGAGAGCATGAATATGTCGCCAAGTACTGGAAAGGACCACATGCCGAGGACAAGGCGAGAAGGTAGGAGCACCTCGGGCAGCGGGGAGAGGATCTGTCACTCACATCAGCCCTCAGGATGCGCTCGAATGACGGCGCAGTTGACACTCAAGGTCGTTTCTGGGTCGAGGCATTCGTTGACCCCACGATAGCCGAATTGACTGAAGAAGGCTGCTTGTTCCGCCTCGACCACGACGGAACGCTGCACACGATGCACGAGAAGATGACCATCCCCAACGGCATCACCTGGACCGCAAGTGACAACACGATGTTCCTTACCGACTCGCCGCCGCAGAACGTGTATGCCTTTGACTACGATCCCAAGACGGGAGACATTTCCAACCAGAGAGTCTTCTTCCACCTGGAAGAGGAGGGCGTACACCCAGACGGCCATGCCATGGACGTCGAGGGAAACATCTGGCACGCCTGCTACGGGGGCTCCAAGGTCATACGAATATCGCCCCAAGGGGCCGTCACCGGAGTCATCCACCTCCCGACACGCAATATCACCTGCCCGACCTTTGCAGGCACCGAGTTGTTCATTACTAGTGCAGCGGAGCAGCAGCCTGACAAATACCCGGATTCGGCCAAATTTGCTGGAAATTTGTTCAGGATTGACGTCGGCATCGAGGGCATGCCCAAGTACAGGGCTCGCTTGGACTAGGACGGTCTTTTCGCAGGGGACTCCCCGGCTTTGGGGGGGCTTCTAGAAGCAATTGTTGACTCGGATGGGTGCGAGATTAAACGTCGGATGTCGCTCCCAGCAAGGGAAAGAGTTGCCCAGTTGAGTGAAGTAGTGAGAAATGATGACGGGTAGCAGGCTTTCGAGGTACCAAAGGCAGGGCTGTAAGCGATGTCAATCACCCAACTCTCCCTTTTCTGCTCTCATTCAATCCCGTCAAGGATCGTCGGGTCGCAGGGCTGACGGGGCGGCGACAAGGCTGCCCGGTCGGTGATCATCAATAGTTTCGCCTAACATAGACGAGGATGGTTTTTTGATCCAAGGGCTGCCGAAGTGACGAGGGCTACGTAGCACCTGTACGTAACATGTTGCGGGTGGTTGATGCCACACACCTCTGTTTCTCAGAGTGTCTCAAGCCCAACACAAAACCCTGCCACAATCAAACTTTGATTGTTCCAATCTGACCGACGCTGGTGCTTGTAGCACTATTCCGTGTCATCCTTCCATGTTCGTCTACGCCGTCCTCCAGAAGTCCCGTCGAACCTTGGCCGTGGTGCCCTAAAACTCTTGCGCAAATTGCGTCCACCACCACCCCTCCCACCGCAGCGGACCTCACCCTGTTTGCCGTGGATTGACGTGATTAGCCTGCAACTCTAACGGTCAAAAGGGCTTAAAGTCGACATCGTTCGTCATATGCCACCAACGATGTTCGGGGAAGACGGGCAGAGTCTAATCTCGAGGCAAGGATGGCCCTTTGCAGGCAGGAAGAAACTTGCGTGCCACAATCGAGGTGTGTTCGTCGTCCTGTCATTGACCCCTCTACCTACGGAGCTTCAACTCAGGAGAAATTAGTTCAACCACGTCCCCAGTGACTGTCTTACCCTCTCGCTTATTCCCAGCCGACAGATGTGACGGTGAGGGGCATCCTTTCGACCACTTTGGTGACTTGCCGGTGCTTGCCGTGGCTTCGAGCTTGGACCCTCCGAAACGGACCCTCCAATTTGCCCTTTGGCTGGAATTGAGAAGATGCTGCCTGTGATTGTCTGCGGAAGACACTCGTACAGAAAGATGGGTCTCACCTCGCTTCCAAAGTCGGTCGCTTGGTTGTATCCCAAGAAGGGGTCTTCAACTCTCCCAAAACAGAGCAACAGGAGATGAAGGCGTGACGAAACCGGTGCGAAGCGGTACCGGTGGCTTTGCTCGGCAGGCGTCATCAGGAATACGACCAGCAACAAGCTACAGGGGGCTTAGGGAGCGGCTGCAGGGGGTTGACGCCTCAAGTCTCGAGTAGGCAATGGCAGGCCCTGTGGCCCCTTGTTAGCCTGACGGGCGCGCGGGATGGCACTCCCACGTGGCCCAGGGTCGTGGTCGACCCTCTTTGGACACTTACCAAACTCGCGGACTCGTCCTACTGAACGGACTACCCCTCCTTCCTCTCCCCAAAAGAAACACTCGCTCTTCCAGAGGCGGTCAGTACGACCGACGCTGGTGCTGGTCTGCGTCGCATCAAGTGACCAATTCTTGTCCCAGTGGACAAACAACAACGTGAAGCAAACTCTGGGGTGGACCTGTGACTTTGCTGTGGGGGAAATGGGTATCCCCAGCACGAGCTCTCTTTGGCGGCGCCAGAAGCACGAGGTTGCTGGGCGTGTTCCAGGTTTGGAGGCATTCCACCCACAAAAGGTGACGAGAAACAGAAAGGTTCTCAGAAAAAGCAAATACCGCCTGTGGAAGCCGGATTGCTGGTCGAGGACTACTTCCCCGAGCAAAGGACAGACCCTGTTCACACGGCGAATCACTTGCTGCTGCAGAAGGCCAACGTCGTTGCAGCCCGGCATTGATCGACACTGCCTGCCTCATCGTATTTCTTTTTCCGGTCGTGAGGAAGGGCATACCCTCCCAAAACGTGCCTCAGCCTGCGCCCGAGAACGCCATGATAAGGAAAGCCCAGAGAGGGGGAGCAGGTTCACTCGTTCCAACTGGGTCTTCTTGGATCTGATACGTCCAGCTGGTTAGTCACGAAGAAGGTGGGTGCTTCCCACACTTTCCTGCATGCATGGTGGTGCCGGATGGATTAGTCCTGGTCTGCATTACGCCAGAAATCGCAGCTGCAGCTCTTTGCATAGCCGATGGATGCGGCTTCGAGAGTTCATCACTCCTCGTTAGGTTTTCTCCGCCGCCATCCACAATACCAATCTTTCCCACCATTGCGTCAACCGAGCCGCAATCGTTGCTGCGTGATAGTTCCCCAGTTTCGTTACAGCAATGGACAGCAATGCTCAAAGCAACGAGCGAGATCTCGCGATTGACCACTTGGAGAACACACCGATGTCGTGGGCAACGTTGAGCAAGCACCTATGAGCCTGATCGGCCTACAGAAATGAAAGCCGTGCATGAGTAAAAGGGGTGGGGGCTCACGAGGCTAAGATCAGCCACAATCATGTGCTCCCTAGACCGCCTCGAGCCTATGCAGCCTATACTTTGCCTGTCCGAAAGGCTTAGCAAAAGTCCTGTCCCAAGGGCCTGGCACCAACGGCTTTCTTACCCTTTTCCGCTGCAACTCGCACCAAGTTGAGATACGAGTATACCTGCAGCTGTGCGTTAGGGGCGGAGACAATCGACTGCGACCTTGCCCTAGAGGCATTAGCGACCCCAGCAGCTTCAGTCTGCCAACTCCAGGACAGCCATACGCAACTTTTGGCGTCCCACCTGTTGAGTCGAAGGTTGGGGCCTACCTGTAGGATGTGGAAGGCGTTTGTCATGGCTTTGACACAGCTGTCTCGCAGCCGTCGACGACGATAGCTAGCGCAGAAGGTAGCTAGTGATCGAGACTAACATCAATAGATTCGCTGATGAAGGGACACGACAAGCGATCTGGCATCCAACTGAGCATTTCCGGGAACGATCTGCACGAGGTCCTTCACTTCCTGTGGAGCAACGCTTCAGGATCGAATCCAACGATCTCTCCCAAATAGTACGGAGGGCCTCCGAACTTTGTGTATAGCTCGTCTTTCTTTAGCAGCCGGTTGAACCTTAAGAGCAGAAAGTGGCCGTTGGATCCGACTGCGTTATGTACGTGTCCCGAAAAGGATACTATGACACAGTCTCTGTCGACGCAAAGAATCACAGGACTGTGCAGACACTGTGCACTACATCGGCGGGAACGCAAACGAGGTGCAACACACTCGCCGGCGCCAGAAGTAATGCCAACCTGGTCTACCACTCGACGCGTTTCTTTACTGCCCTTGCCCGCAAGGAGACGGATGATATAATTCCAGACCCGAGCTTACCAGTACTTCCTGCCGCTATTTCGGTAATCTGTCAAATACGCCAAACGGGGGATAGCAAGGAGCAACTCCGTGGGCAAACGATCCACAAAAGGACCGTTTGGTGCGCAAATTGAAATCCTGGAGCGGTGAACGGGCTTCCTTTCGACGGTCCAACCTGTGAACCCTCTTTCCACAAAGTACCTTGATATGCGAGCGAGATCAAGGGGCATTAGAGGCCCTGGCACTATTTCCCCCCAACCCTGGGAATCCGTGATCGACGTGATCGTCCTAAGCGGACCATTTACCGGGACAGGCTAACTTGAGGGCTTTTTGGAGCCAGGACTCCGTAGTGGAATTGCGACTACCTTCTCATTCCCTTCCGCCACTGACGAGGAAGTTTGTGCTGGCCAACAAGGAAATGCTAACCATCGCCGGTAACGTCACCCGTCTTCTTGCCAATAAAGACGGCCTACCTGGGGAGCTCCGGAAACTCACCACCATTGGGAACCCTTTATTGTTTTTGATTTCCTTTGACGAGCTGCGTGGGAACGGCCACTTGGCCATTGGACACCTGTCAAGATCGCAAGCAGTCCGGATGGCAAGCCTTTGTATAGGTGGGACGCATCACTGTTTCGAGGCTGATCGGTCCCCCTCTCGTGATGTTATCGAATTAAAGTGGAATTGTCACGGACTGTGACCTTTTGGCATTCACATTCCCCTGATGTGCTGGTTCCTGTTTCAATCGACCCAAAGCAACCGACAGGTTGGGGCACTTACAGTCCTAAAGCAGAAGGATCGTTCGCATTGGGCCAGGATTGAGCTCTTGAGGCCTGATCCCAGGCGAAGTGGCAGAAGAGCCGCGACCCAATTACAGCCATTGACGGCAGAGGGCCCTAATCGCCTTGCCCTAGCATTTTCTGTCCCCCTCGCCGCGAATTTCTGGGTTTGACGCTACGAACTTTCTGGTCCGTCGAGGAAACCAAGCTGCAACGGGGGATGCAAGCCGACGTCGGGGACAAGGCGAACGAGGCGGGCTAGGAGAAGTGGCTATGCGCCTCCCTGGTGGCTCTTCGCCATGCCTGACATGGCTGCATAGCTACTAGGAGTTGCTGATCAACCCCTGGTCGCATTGTCAATTCTACGAGCTCCTCGCGAATCCCCACTGCCCGCATCTTCCCAGCACGAGTGGGAAAAACCAAGGGCGCTGGGCGAGCCGTTGGCCAGTCCGGATGCGAGGGCACCCACCCTTTCCAAGTCATGGGGATTTCGTTCCGTGGGCTCTACCCATCAGAGATGGCTGCAGGATTCGTGAGAGGTTGTGGATCCCCGGTTCTGCCCCTGGCACCTGTTCCCCTTCGAGGCGTCGACAGGGGGTGGCCAAGGGCAGGGCAGGGCAGGGGAGGCAGAGCGTTAGTTCATGACAGAGGGAGCGAAGTCTAATCAGCCCGCCCAGCCCCACGGAGAGTTGACAGTTATACACCCTGTACCAACCCCCAGACGTTCCGCAGCGCCACATCACCGGCGTGGTCCACCCAGAGAGCGCGCTATCAACAGGTTGCTGCCCAGCGATGCCATCATCCCGCCTGCCGGGGCCATCACGCGCTTGACAAGGCATCCTCGAGCGATGAGCTAGTTTCCTTGCATCCCGGCGTCCCTAGGCCACGGTCGAATCTGAATTCTGAATTCTGAAATCCTCAATCACCTGTGGCCTTCGCTCCATCCCATCGGCTTCGCGCATGCTCCAAACCCGCCGGACGGCGCCGACCCACTTGCCTCCTCCCTGCTCACCGATGGGTACCCAAGTCCCCCTCGTCGGCGTTGGGCCCAAACGTCCCTGCCTCTCCAAGGGGGAGAGAGAGCGACGCTCAGATCGTGACGAGGCAGACGGGCCTCAACGCTAGAAAGCCTGGAAGCATCTCGCTATTCCAACACCAACAAATAATGCTTCCCGCTTCCCCGTCCCAGGAATTGCGGCGGGCCACTCTCTCCCAAGTGCCTCTGTGCTTACTCTGTCCACTCCGACGATGAAATATTACGAGCTGACCTCAGGCTAGCCTGTCAAGACTATTTGTTCTCCTTTGCCCTTTGCCCGTCTAACGCTCCTGGGGCTGCCTGGCCTCAATCTGGTGCTGGTGCTCTCTCATTTTTGCGAACGGACCTCTCAGGGCCAGGGTTGCAGTTTGATGACTCTCATTTGCCGCATCTATTGAACCAAGAGACGAATTAGCGGACGCTCCTCGCAAGTCCATGGGGGAGAGTGGGTTGCGCAAATGCTGGTGATCTTGGGATGCGCAATCTTCTGTCCGGCTTCCTGGCCCTTGCGTGTGTTGTAACCTTGCTCTGACCCTCCCCGGAGTGCCGTGACTTTCTAGAAGTACTCTTGTAAGTCTGGCCTCGCGCGAAAGCTTACCAGCTAGTTCTTCCTCTGACCTGACCTTGCCCAGCACTCAAAAGAAACTACAAGGCTTTCAATCTGGCGACTCTCGGCGTCACCATCTCCCCTTTCCAACAATATCCCAGGTCCCCTCCGAACTCCGGGTACTTTCAGCAACCGTGGAACTATCAGTCTTGCCAAACGAGTCCGACATCTCCCACAGGGCCTCAGGATAGGTGGAGGAGGGAAGGCGGAGGAGTGCCGCAGGAGGGACACCCATGGTCGCGACAAGGGACCCAGCCGCACGAGGAGGCTCATAACAAGTACATGTCACCATCCCCTCCGCCGGCAGACCATCCGTCAATCACCACGCCCACCACAGCCGCAGGACACATCTCTCAACCTCAACCGTCTGGCGGAAGCGCGGAGTCCTCGAGACCAAGCACGGCGAGTGTTATTCGGACGGAGCCCTATGGCGGCTACGGTGGCATCGCTTCCGGGCGAGTTATGACGGACGTGGGCCTGGGAATATCTTCACGTCGACATTCGGCCGAATCCAGTGTCCAGACCCCGTCCAAAGCCTTTGGCGTGCACAGCATTCTGAACCCCTCAGTAGAACCCCAAGATACGGCCTCTCCTGATGTCCAACCCGCCGCTCGGCCCGCCATGAACCTCAGCCATAGTCTTATTCCGGCGCCGGCCGAGTCTCCGCGCAGTCGAAAACGCACAGATCCAAGATCTCCTCCTCGAGAATTTGAGCTGGGTTCCGGGCGCTTGGGCAGACGTGTTCTCACCCCGAAGTCGCCGGCGTTGAGGGCAGCCAGTTTGGGATCGAGAAGGAACCCAGCCTTTCATTCCACGATCCAGCCATTACAACCCCCGCCAGGCACCGGCAGCCGCCTATACACGGCCGAACCAGGTCAATATCAGACGTCTGAGATCCCGCCTCTTCCTCCTCTGGCGCTTGCAACGGGTGCACATTTGAGCGGGATGGTACCGCCCGAATCAGGACAACCTCGCTCAGCACACGTCCAAGAAAGCCCTATTGCTCGTGGGGTGGAGCCGGCAATTACCTCCCAGGCCGATCGACCCTCGACCGTGCAGCCTCCATATGGCAATCGCGACCATCCTTCGCCGGGGTATCGGTATGGTATTCCTAAACCGCCGCCTGCGCAGGCACCCGCTCCATTCAGGACGATTTCAGCTGGTGGTGGCGGTTTGTACATTCACGAAACGCCGGGACATCATGGACCGCACGAGGGCTATCAGCAAGGTCCTGCTTCATATCAGATGACTCTTGACACGGATCAGGGGCCAATGAACATTCCCGTTGAGTTGGACCTACAGCAAGCGTCGAAGGTTGCTGACGAAAAGAGGAAGCGCAACGCCGGGGCCTCAGCACGCTTCCGTGCGCGCAGGAAGGAAAAGGAGAAGGAAGCTTCGCAAACCATTGCGGGATTGCAGCAGGAGCTGCGGGATCTGATCGAAGAACGCGACCACTATTTGTCGGAGAGGAATTATTTTCGTGATTTGGCCATGAGGTACGTATCGGGGACCCAGATGTTACCGCGACCTGAATCGCCTCAGCAGCGGAGACTGGCAACTGCGAATGTAGGAGTACCACACGCACCCGGTGGTCTTCTGGAAACTCCCACCGTGTCCGACGAGTCCTCGCGTGAACGCACCGACCCTGGTCCTTCAACGCAACGCCGTCGAACCGGTGATTACCAGCCGAGTTTTACCAGCCGACACACGCATTCACCACCTCCCCCGGGCTACGGTACAGGATTTCCGTCGCAGCCTCCTCCGCCGCTTCCTCCCCCTCCGGTACCGAGCATGTTCGCAACGTCCAGAACATTGCCACCGGGCCCGCCGCCACCTCCGCCTGTCACCCGATCACAGTCCTACGATCCTTTTCGCAGAGATCCGTTTGACAGGAGCTGGAATTCTGGCCGGTGAAAGAAGGAGGAGGGCCTCACCCCAAATCGAAACATCAACCCATATTTTTTTCCCTTCGAGATGACTATTCCTAGAGAGACGACAATGAGGGCGACCTCAGACGCGAACATCCCTTCACCGCCGTGGTGGGACATGATGACGAATGACCGAGATCAGAATGGGATTTGCGCTTGCCGTCACAAGGGCTTACTGGCTTGCCCGTTTCTTATTGCACAAATTGGAAAGACCACAACACTCTTAACATTGTTTCCTTGCCTAATTGCTTTACATTTTCCTTCTTGGTCGTGGTGTTGCACCTGCGAGATACCCCCACCTACATCCTTTTGTCGGCATAATAACTTCTCTGTGGCGTTGGGGACAATTGGGCAGAGATGAGGCAGACTAGCAGTCCCAGACACTGCAGAGAGGGAAACCAGAAATCACCGGAAGAGACAGAGAAGGCTCTATTTGGCAGACTTGAAACCACCATATCGTTGGTGACTGTACTTTTGTATATTTATCCACGAGAGACGACCCCACGCTTCATCACCAATTTTGTTAGATATTGTATTCACAGGGCCACAGCGCATTTCGCAGCTCGTGGTCAGTTTCTCCTGCCGCAGACCAAGCGACCTTGTATGTCCATCAGAGTCTTCACCGTGCTCTCAATCGGCAATACGTAAATGCCGACCAGGAACCCTCTAAACCAAGGGTACACCTTCAGGCAATGTCATCGAGGACCCGAGTTACAGATTGCCGGCATGGCGCGGTCAGGACTGGCTCTCGACTGAGGTGAACAGGTTGCTGAAGGTGCAGGTTTGATGCCTGGCAAAGCCCGAAGCTGACGCTAAACAACGGACTAGATATCAATTCCAGGTGCGAACTGGCAATGCGAAGGAGCTTATGTGGCCAATCGCGACATCAGAAGGGCCGTTTTGATGCAGCATTGGACGGCCAGAGTAAAACAGCTGTCCTCTGTAAGTCAATTGGCTGGGACGCTGACGATTCTCGCAAATGCTCACTGCTCTAGCGTGGGGCCTGGGGGCCTTTGGCCGAGCGCTGGCCTCTCGTCTCTGCGAAACATTTCACCTCGAACTCAGCAGCGATGGGGTCAATGGGGCATCTCGCAAGCCAGGAGCACTATCAAACGCCGCAGTGAGAGGTCCAACGAGATCCATCGAGTCTCTTGCTGACAGGGACTCGATCTAACGAAACCCGCTGACCAGTCGAGTCGCCAGGTTTCCGTCGCGCCCGGCCGCCTCACCTGCAACCCCCCCAGCCGTGTCTAGGATAATCGATCCCTCGAGCAAACTCTACACGGACATGGCGATTGCACAACAATAACAACCGCCGTCAGGCGAAGACGATCAGCTCTGACCGACACCATCCTCGTTCTAACAACAAGACAAGCCCAGGTCCCAGATTAGCTGCAGTCTTCCTATCCACCTCTCTTGCGGTTTTGACCGTTTCTAGCGACGGGCTGGCTGGAGCCACAGGTCCCCACGGCCACGAGGCTAGCTCGTCTGTCGGAGATCAATGCACGAAAGATCGGGATACCCGAGCAAATAGTCTTGCATCGCGCAGAAATTTGCCTCGTCACAAGACTGCTTTTCAGGAATCAATCATAGATGGTCGGAGAAATGGCGATTTTGGCGGAGAGCTCTTGGGCGAGGTGGTCCTCGTCGTGCATGGATGAGCAAATTATCCAGCCAACATGGCCATAACAGGAACGTCCCAAGTTTGCTGGAGAGCCATTCGGCTACAGTGCCCGGCGTAATTGGCTGCTTCACAAGTTGGGCGACAAGGCCTATTTCCCGAATTGCCATCCATGGGGACACACGATGCGTCGACTGGCTGGCGGAGGTGTCAAACATGCTGTCAAGGATAGAAGGTGGCTAGAGAAGATCTCCGGCGACAAATAGCACCGGGACAATTGCCCTGAAGAAAGTTGGAAACTAGGGACAGCGGAGCATGTACAAAGCAGATAAGACGACAGATCCACGCCAACGTCCTGACTGCAATGCGGCCCAAACGATGCAAATAAGGGACGCTACTTGGAGCTTGCATTGCAGCGCAGTGCATTGCATCCCGCATCCTGCATTGCATTGGCGCCAGCAGGGATCAGGGGGCCAAAGGCGGTTCCCCGAGTTGTTCACACGTGGGCGGGATGGAACTTCTCCATCGCAAAGGATCCTTCCCACTGGGTGGACACCTCTTGCTGCTCCATCCCTGTCACCAACCTGCTGCCAGCTGGCCATGGCTGACCTGCAAGCGATGGTGATGGGTGTGTTGATGTCACTTGGCCCCTCGCTATCCCAAAGCCGAGCAGACAGAACGGAGTTCCTTCCAGAGGTATGGAATTTTTGTCCCTGGACGTTTTCAGAGCGGAGGGAGCCATGGTGCTTGTCTCCCCCACATTGATCGCCGAGGACTTCGCCCGTCCACCTTCAACGGTTGCAGGGGTTGTCCCCGGTCATGCGAAAGAGCAGGATTGCCCTCAGGAGGCATCAGGAGGTGGTGATTTGCGTGATGCACAGCACTCGAGCTGCAGGTGACTCCCGCCGGGTGGCTGTTGGCTCTGCAGGAGCTTTTCTCCAAGCACCTCCTCCCTCTCGACAAGTTCGCCGCTCGTCGCGCAGTTCACCAGGTAGCGCGATTGTTAGTTTGCTGATTGCGTGCTTCTGAAACCCGCTCTAACCTCGCTTCGAGCCAACACGGTTCCTCAACTGGGCAGGAGAATACTAAGGTCACTTGTCAGCTCTTGTTTTGATCCTAGGGGAAGGGGAGCTCCAGGGGGGTTGGGCAAAGAACGAAGCCACGACACAGATCATCTGCAAGGGCAGGCCGTCGATTCCCGCATCAACACGTGGCTTGCAGGACGGGCTGCGTACGCAAAGAGGTTAAGCCGTCACCATCCACATCTTCGGACAATTCTTTTTGCAGCTAAACCAGAGGACGGGACAGGGGATCTGCCAGGTTCCTGTGACCTGTCTCGGCCTCTTGGCTGCTTCTCTTGTCCCAAATACATATTCTCCAGGTCACACCTTCACACTCGCCGTGCATTAGGCACTCCGCTACTGTTGAGAAGAGCTATCGGTCCGTGGAGTTGCCCGGGTCGCCCATCCAGCAAGCACCTCTTTCCTGCATCCTGCGCAGCTTTTCCACAGCACGCTCGACTTGGAGGCATGCTCCTAGACGTCCAAACCTCCCAAACTATGTGTCATCGAACGAATGACAAGCTCGCTTGCAGGTTGACAACGTTCTCTCCAGAGGGCGCTTTTTATTGGGCGCCAGAAATGTCCGACTTCTGACAGTGAGGTGTCCAGCCTTCTTCAGAACTTTCGACTAAGTGGCACAGTCAGTCTGACATGGGATAGACCCCATCTTAGAATGTAGCTGGCGTACTACTCCATCTCAGCGCATGCTAAAACGCTCTTATGAATGACGATAACTATTGGGCCAGTAAGTTAGAGCGAATGTTACCATAGCAGGCCCCTTTTCGTCATCAGAATTGTGCCGCTGCATCTTGACATCAGCTTGGTGTCTCGAACGGAGTGCAAGGAGCCGGTGCTATTCGTACGATGAAAGTAGCTCCGAAGTCCGCTGGACTGGAGGTCCGACTCGTCCATTTCGCAAAGGGGTGTGCCTAAGCATGGATGTCATAGTCGCTGCCGGGCGATGTCAGTATTGAGAGCGCAGGCCGAGATTTGTCTCAACAAGACAGATGCAAGCTTGCAAACGGTCACTCTGACATCATGACAGTTTGTTTGGAGTTTCGTGCTCCATTTGGGGTGACCTGGATTCAACTTCAGGCGGGTTTCGTCACGTTGAAGAGGTTCGAGAGGCGATGAAGAGTAGAGAAAACGTTGTAGCTATCTTGGTGAGTTTGACTATCGCGCGCACGCCACGGGCAAGACAGGCTTCAATTATTGTGGGAAGGCTCTCAGTGTTGCCTCAGTTCGCGCTCATTGATCCCTGACAATGGCAAGCAGCCTGATTGGGGTAGAGTGGTCGCATGAAGCTAGGCTTGGCGCGCCGGTCCTATGCACCCGACGCGTCTCCCACAGCTTTTCTTCCGTCCATCAATTCGATCTTTGTTTACTCGATTTCGGTCGAGAAGAGTTCGCCTGCTGAACACGTTTCTTCCCTTGTTATTGTGTCTGCCCAACGGGCTAGATATCGAGACAGCGCACACGCAACCTCTCTTTCTCTGCCCTGAAACGTTCCCTTTGCCTCTCCGGGTGAAATCTGACATCATGCCGGCGAAGAAACGCAAAGCCTCGTCGAACTCCAGCACCCCGGCCAAGAAAGTCCGCATCGGCGGCACCTCTGCCATCCCCGACCAACCCGCGGTATCGTCCGCAGGACGGCCCAAGAGGACCACTGTCAGTGAGCCCAAGTACAATTTCACGAGACGCCGCTCATCTGGCGCTCAGAATACGGCTCCCGCTGGCAGTAGTGCAAAAGGTGAACCCGTGAAGAAGCGTGGAAGACCACCCAAGGCTGCTGCGTCCCCCGCGCCCAAGCGAGATGTGAAGCCGAAGCCGGTGAAATCAAGTGTGAAGAAAACTACAAGTTAGTCGAAGCTCCCTGTGGTGGTGACGCCGTCGCCTCGGATGCCCAAGTGTGCCTTGTTGACCTGATTGACAGCCTCGAATGCGTCCAAGCCCGTCACGTCCTCGCGGACAGCTCGTGCAGCGACCCGAAAGTCTCCTGCGAAAGCGCCTGCTCCGACAACAACCGCAAAGCGTGGCAGGAAGCCGAAAGTCGCACCCAAGACGAAAAACGCATCGTCAGAGTCGGAGTCTGAAGATGGCCCTTCTCCACACGGACACGCACCTGGAGCGATTAACGGCGATGGGAACAAGTCTGGCGAGACGGCTACGCTTGACCATGACATACAATACTGGCTGATGAAGGCTGAACCAGAGTCTCGAATCGAAAAGGGTCACGACGTCAAATTCTCAATCGACGATTTGGCGGCGAAGACGGAACCTGAGGGGTGGGATGGTGAGTATTGCCATCTTCTGCTGAGACGGCGTTCTTCTAACACATGCACAGGTGTACGCAACCCGGTGGCCCGCAACAATATGCGAGCGATGCGTAAGGGCGACCTAGCATTCTTCTATCATTCCAACTGCGCCATTCCCGGCATTGCAGGTGTCATGCGGATCGTCGGCGAACACACCATCGATGAATCAGCATTTGACCCAGGTCACCCGTACTTTGACCCAAAGTCCGACCGCGCAAAGCCCAAGTGGGAACTTGTCCACGTCGAATTCGTCAAGAAGTTTGAGAACCTCATCACCCTCAAGGAGCTGAAATCGTTCGCAAAGCCAGGTGGAGCTTTGGAGAACATGCAAACATTCAAGCAGAGTCGGCTCAGCGTCTCGGCGGTCTCGGCTGAGGAGTGGAGATTTATCCTTGATCTGGCTGGGGAGTCGGTTTCCTTGGGACATGGAGATGTCATGGGCGGTTACGAATCGGAAGTTGACGGCGAAGGCGAGGAGACTGTGGGCACCGGCGACGGCGACGGACTCAATGGCCTTTCCGATGGAGCTACCGGTCTAGGAATTACTGGCGCCATCGATGGCGACGTGTCCGACCAGAACGATACCCCGAACAACGACGGCGCAGTCCCTGTCAACGGCGCTGGAGAAGTGTGACGGAAGGACACTGCAAACATATGGATATTCGGCAATAACCAGTCGCGACAAGTGACAAAAAGAAAGCACCGATTTGTGAATGGAGCCACATTGACCAGAGACGCCCATGCCCCAGCATTTGAGCAGATGGAAGCCGGTGAGGGTTTCTAGGTGTTGACAACCTTTGGGAGATGATGGAGGGATGATGCAAGACACCGAAAACGAAGAGCATTAGGGCTGAGATGACGGAATGTCTCGACCATGGATGCGGCACAGTTGATTTGTGCTGTGTGGAAGCGTCCCCTGGTTCGAGCCTCGTACCGAGTCCGCGTGTCTCGCATGAAAGCAGGGACATTTCCCAAACGAGCAAGCTGCATTCGTTGCCGTCCGCCTTCGGGCGCTTGTGTAGGCATCAGGCTCCTTGGCTGGGTGTCGATGACCCCGGCCAGGATTGAAGTCTTTTGCACCTTCAGAGGCAGTTGAAGGCTATTTCCAGGCCAGAGGCTCTTCCCCCCGTACGGTGCGATTGTATCTGCAATGTTCTACCTCGATCTCTTTTAAGCTTCTTCCGCCAGCGATCTGTTTCTTTCCTCTCGGAACCACAAGGTGAACTGTCGCAGCGGAGACTTGTCGACTTTCGAAAACGCAGGGAGATGCTTCGAGCGATGAGAATGGGCCCAGCTGTCGCACTTCCATGTTCTTGTCTCGGGCCCAGCCGTCCACGTGGGTTTTGACTTGAGTTTACGAGCTGCCGAGCTGCGTACTAAGTCCCAATGCTCTGGTTCCCTTCCGCTCGTGCAGCGTGCATGAGGGTGTTCCCACAACCCTTGCAGCCTCCTCCACCATCTCTCGCCCCTTGATCCTGGACGATGGCGAAGGGACCTCGGTAAAAGAATCGGTGGACGAGGCTGAAGTTCCTGATCACGGGTGGAGGCATGTGCCAGGTAGGTGGGAGGAAGACGGCGCCCAGGTGCACAGACGCCTCGACGCCCAGGAAGGGCAGGCGCAGCCGGAGAAGCCCTGGAGGCCCTTATCGAAGCTGCCCCTCAGCCAGCGGGCGCCCTTCCCCTCTTTTCGTCCTGCTTATCGGAGCTCAGCGACTTGCTGGTTGCTTTCTCGTTACTACAACAATACCACGCGCTGATCGCCGTGGGGTTGGACAGCTCCAAACAGGCAATCAAGTCCCGAAAAAGCTCCTGGGTGGGCTCCCACGGACGACACAACCTCGCAGAGCTTTCGCGAACAGGTGCTTGGATTGGCCTGTCCTGCTGGTAACGGGCGTTGACGCGGGTCTGTCCTTGTTTGATTAGATATAACAAATCTCTTTTCTCCCTCGACTTGCCCTTTTTACATGTCCAAGTCCTCGTTGAAACTCCTGCTTCTGACTTCGAGGCCCTTTTCTCTCCGTCCTCTGTCCTGGAGCTGTTCTCGGAACAAGCATATTGAAGTGCGACTGTTTTCCACTGGCCGCCAGATATTGTCCAAAATGGCAGATTTGAAGGTCGAGCTGACAGCTCCCAATGGGCGCAAAATCACCTTGCCCACGGGTCTCTTCATCAACAACGAATTCGTCAAGTCGAGTTCCGGCGAGAAGATCACCAGCATCAACCCTTCGTGAGTAGACACTCCAATCCGTTCTGGGCATTGGCATTCGGGGTTGACGAGTACTGATCATTCTGCACTGCCCAGGGACGAGAAGGAAATTTGTTCCGTCGAGGCAGCGTCTGCGGATGACATTGACAAGGCCGTCAAAGCCGCCCGGGCAGCCTTCAATGACCCTTCGTGGCGCGACCTGCCCGCTACCGACCGCGGCGCCCTGATGTACAAGTTTGCCGACGTCCTCGAAGAGAACAAGGAGACACTTGCCACGCTGGAAACATGGGACAACGGAAAACCATACAGTGTCGCGTTGAACGAGGATTTGGGCGAGGTCGTAAACACCATTCGATACTATGCTGGTTGGGCGGACAAGATTCACGGCGAGACAATCCCCACCAACCCCCAGAAGTTTGCCTACACTCTCAAGCAGCCCATTGGCGTTTGCGGCCAGATCATTCCCTGGAACTACCCCCTGGCCATGGCAGCATGGAAACTGGGTCCGGCTCTCGCTTGCGGCAACACTGTGGTTCTGAAGCCCGCAGAGCAGACTCCTCTTTCGATTCTGTACCTCGCAAGTCTCGTTCCGGGTGTTTTCCCTCCAGGTGTCATCAACATCGTAAATGGCTTTGGTAGAGAAGCGGGCCACGCTCTCGCCTCTCATCTGGACGTGGACAAGATTGCCTTCACCGGCAGCACGGTCACGGGGAAACAAATCATGAAGACAGCCAGCGTCAACATGAAGAACATCACCTTGGAGACGGGCGGTAAGTCGCCCCTTCTCGTCTTCGACGACGCCGATCTCGAGCAGGCCGCCAAATGGGCCCACATTGGAATCATGTCAAACATGGGTCAGATTTGTACTGCCACCTCGCGCGTGCTTGTGCAGGAAGGCATTTATGACAAGTTTGTCGAGCAGTTCAAGGAGGTGGTCAAGACCACGTCCAAAGTCGGCGACCCATTTGCGGACGACACTTTCCAAGGTCCTCAAGTTACCAAGGCCCAATATGAGAAAGTGCTCGGATACATCGAGAGTGGAAAGTCGGAAGGCGCGACCCTCGCAGCTGGCGGTGTGCCGCACAAGAACGTCGGTGACGGAAAGGGTTTCTTCATTGAACCCACCATCTTCACAGGCGTCAAGGACGACATGAAGATCTACCGTGAAGAAGTCTTTGGCCCCTTCGTGGTGATTGCATCATTCAAGACGGAGGACGAGGCCGTGCGCATGGCTAATGATACGACTTATGGTCTGGGCAGCGCATTGTTCACGAGCAATATCGAGCGTGCACACCGTGTGGCAGCCAGAATCGAGGCTGGTATGGTCTGGATCAACTCGTCGAACGATTCGGACTTTAGAGTACCGTTTGGCGGTGTCAAGCAGAGCGGCATTGGACGAGAGCTGGGCGAAGCTGGACTAGCAGCATACAGCCAGACGAAGGCGGTGCATGTGAATCTGGGGCTGAAGTTGTAGGTGAAGAGGCGAGAACGAGTGAGGAAAGGATGAGGTGGGAATTTGACCACTGGGACCAAGAAATTTGGACGAAGAAGCTTGCCATAAGGACAAGGTTATATTTGAAAAGTTGACAAGATTATATCCGGCATAGCACTTGTAAGTCCATGAACACGATATCAAGATCGTGTGCGTTGAAATCCCGATCTTGTGAGGGTGGTTGACATCCATACAAGAGCGAAGAAACTCAGGGGAATACTTGTATGGCACGTTGATCTTCTTTCCTCTCTCGCTTCCTTTCGGCCTTTATGATCAGCCGCATATGAGAACTTAACTCGCGTGCATCCTCATATCTAACTCATGCTGCCCCATGTTCTCACGTAGCTTCCTTCCTGGGAACCGAGTCACGTGATATCAAATTCCCGCCAAGCATCAAGCCGCCTGCGCTGTTGACGAGGGATTCTTTTGGGCTCATTGTCACCATCACTTCGCCTCTTTCGCAACCCAAACCACTGTCATCTTTCTCATAGGTCGCTCTCACGGCCGGCCGTCAAGTCCCCCGCATCCACGAAACGGCCTCTCCTGAACTGTTACCCCTAAAACCTGCCTACCAAGATGGCTTCTGGACAATCGTGGCTGAACCAGGACTATGGTGGAGACGACGAAGAATCGGACAATGACTTCAACCCCGGGTTCGAGGGAGGGTCGGATGAAGAGGATGAAGGCTTTAAGCGCGAGAGCAGTGCGAAAGTACCTAAAAATGAAGATGAAGACGAGCACGACGAACGCCCCGCACCCGCCACGAACGGCACCAAGTCTTCCTCTCCTGTACGGAAAGATAGGCGGCCGCCGCCAGATGAGGATGATGAAGAAGATGACCAAAAAGAACAAGGGGACAACGGTGAAAATGATGAAGGCGAGGGGGAGGACCTAAACGGAGAGGATGAGGACGAGGAAGATGAAGAAGAGGACGAAGAGGATGAAGATGCCATCACCAGCCGACCCAGAAAGCGCCGGAGGCGAGGCCTGAATCAGTTCTTCGAAGAAGAAGCCGAAGTCGACGAGGACGACGATGAACTCGAAGCTGAGGAGGACGATCTGGGGCCGGACTTCATCGACCAGAACCACCCCGACGACGACCTTCCCCCTGAGGCAGACCACGATGATGCGAGACACAGAGAACTGGACCGCCAGCGACAGATGGAAGCGTCGATGGATTTGGAGAAGCAGGCGGCAGCATACAAAGAGCGGTACGGCCGGAGAACTACCACAGCCCTGAGCCAGGGCTCTTTCGTGCCGCAGAACCTGCTCATGCCCGACGTCAACGATCCGAGTATCTGGGGCGTCAGATGCAAAGCTGGAAAGGAGAGGGAAATCGTCAGCAGGATCATGAAGAAATACTTTGAAAGCAAGGGCCGGAACCAGCTGAGGATCTGCTCGGTTTTCGAAAGAGGCGATGGTCCCATGGCTGGGTATATCTTTGTCGAAGCCTTGAAGAAGAGCGACGTGGAAGAAGCCCTCACCAATGTCCCGGACGTCTATCCGCGGTCGAAGATGAATCTCGTCCCCGTCAAGGAAATGCCCGACTTGTTGAGAACCAGAAAGGACAAGGAGCTTGAAGTTGGTGGCTATGTGCGTATTAAGCGAGGCCTCTACATGGGCGACTTGGCCATGATTGAGGACGTCGAAACCAATGGGCTCGAAGTCACACTCCGCCTGGTACCTAGGCTTTCCTACGGCGTGGATGAGGATCAAGGTCGACCGGCTCTTGCAGATGCGAAGCGCAAACGACCGAATACTTTTGGACCAATCAACACCTTTCAAAACCGACCTCCACAGAGACTTTTCAACGAGCTTGAGGCGAAGAAGAGGCACGAGAGATTCGTGAGCCAGAACAGGGTTCTCACGGGGAAGAGCTTCACCTACAAGGGCGACACCTATGAGAATGGCTTTTTGATCAAAGATTTCAAGTTACAGCATCTGATCACCGAAAATGTGAACCCGAAACTGGAGGAGATCACCAAGCTCACCAAAACCGCCGCCGACGGCTCGGAATTGCTCGATCTCGAAACTCTGGCCCACAGTCTGCGGAACACGACTGCCGAAGGCAATTACATGCCTGGCGACGAGGTCGAAGTCTATGAAGGTGAACAGAGGGGCATTGTCGGCAAGACGGAAGCCGTCCACGGCAACATCGTCTCCATCATGGTGTCCGAGGGCGAACTGACCGGTCAGCTCGTCGAGGTGCCTGTCAAGGGTCTGCGGAAACGCTTCAAGGAGGGCGACAATGTCAAGATCATTGGAGGCAGCAAGTATCGCGATGAAGTGGGGATGGTGTTGCGGATCAAGGACGACAAGGTCACGGTCCTCACCAACAACAGCAACGAGGAAATCACCGTTTTCAGCAAAGATCTCAGAGAAGCCACTGACTCGGGCAGCGGTGGTGCAGGAAGCAGCAAGTTCGACGTGCAAGAATTGGTGCAGGTTGACCCTACGACAGTCGGATGCGTCATCAGAGCCGATCGGGATTCCGTTCGGATTCTCGATCAAAATGGTTCGGTGACGACAAAGATACCTTCTCAGATCCAGAAAATAGAAGCGCGGAAGAACGCTGTCGCCACGGACAAGAACGGTTCAGAGATCCGCATCGGCGACGTGGTGCGCGAGTCTGGTGGGGAGGGAAAGTCCGGGACGATTCTTCACATCCACCGGGGATACGTCTTTTGCCACAACAAGCTTGGTATCGAGAATGCAGGCATCTGGGTCAACCGCTGCACCAATGTTATCACCACGGCCGCAAAGGGTGGACGGATCACGGCTCCAACCACAGATTTGACCAAGATGAATCCCGCTCTCCAGATGAAGCGACCAGACATGTCCATGCCCCCTCCGCAGCGACCTGGACGAGACCCTCTTCAGGGGAAACTCGTGCATATCAACAAGGGAACATACAAAGGTCACCGTGCTCTTGTCAAAGACACTACGGCTGGCGAAGCAAGACTTGAGCTTCAGACCAAGAACAAGGTCATCAATGTCAGCAAGTTCGACCTGTCGATCATTGAGTAAGTTCAACTTGGGCCCTTTTTTCATTGCAGCTATGCTAACAGTTTCAAAGCACCAATACGCAGAACCGAACAAGATTCGAAGACTGGATCAAGCAGCGTGGCGGTCCATCAGCAATCAGAGCAGGACTTGGTGTACCTGGCTCTCGGGTCCCCGACGCAGGATTTGGAGGAAGAACTCCCATGGGCGTCATGGACGGTGGCCGGACTCCAGCATGGGGAACCTCGTCAAGGACGCCTGCCTGGAGTGGTCCTGGAGCTGGTGGTCTCGATTCCGGCCGCACCCCGTCGTGGAAGGGACCTTCGGGCTCCCAGACCTCTTACGGGGGCGGTGGCATGACTTCATACGGCGGCGCCGGCAACTACTCCGCCAATACCGGGTCGCGCACGCCAGCATGGAGCTCCAGCGCGAAGACGCCCTACGGTGCCGACCACGGATTCAGCTCCTCTGGCAATTCGGGCTTCGACGGCTTTGCGACCGGCTCGCGTACTCCAGCATATAACCCAGCCTCATCACGGACTCCAGCCTGGGGCGGGCCCGGCAGTGCCGCAGCGTCGGCTCCAACGCCAGGCGCGCGTCCCTACGATGCACCTACACCGGGGATGTCAGCGCCCACACCGTCCGCATCCAGTGGTCGCTACGACGACGAGGCATACACGCCGTACCTCAGCGCCCCGACGCCGGGCGCCTCCGCATCCGCGCAGGACGCACCGACTCCGGCACCGCCTAGTTTCGCAAAGAGCGCAAATCGAGAGCCACTGAAGAGCAATCGACTGACCGTGTTTGATGCGCCGACTCCTGCTGCGAGTGCACCGACGCCGTACGCCAGCGGTGCGTTTGACGCGCCCACGCCGGCGGCAGGGGGGCCCAGATACGTGGATGACGAGGACGACGAGGAGTGATCCTTTGCTTTGGCAGCTGCGGTGTGTGTGCCATGGCGACCGAGCTGGAGATGATCGTGATATACGAGGGGGATGGAGAAGCTTCGGAGATCTTGTATCAATACCTCAAAAACAAATTTGCTGCCTTGGTGTCTTACTTTACGTTGCTCTATTTGCTCTATCTGCTTGGAGGGCACGGGCAGCCCGTCGCAGCGACTGATTGCATGGACTCTGCCAGAGAGGCGAAAAGTCGCCGAAATACCAGGCGGATTGGCTTTGCCACGCAATGCGATGGAATCAGGGCAGGGCGGGGCCGAGTCACAGACAGATGTTTTGATAACGAGGGCTCACTCTGGGAATTCAGGAAGGGAAAAGCCCCTTGATCAAGCCTTTTTCTCTCCTTGTGTTCTGTTTCCTTTTCGTTGTCGTCCTTGTTTCCCCCGCACAGGAAGCGCGTTGTCGAACTTTCTTGGGGGCTGTGTCTGAGCAGAAATGAGGGCACGACTTCCTCACTGATCTCGGACTTGCCTTGAGTGACCGGCCACGAGAGTGGTAGAATCGCCACCAACATTTGCATACGAGGTACATTTCGCATCGCTTCGGAAGCGAAGTTGCAGGGTCGCAAATTCTCATAGGCAGGTTCGTTTCCCATGTTGATCTCGATTGTTCGGGGCCGCACTTCGTAGGGTAAAAAACTCCGTGATACAGGACGTATACCGAGTACAAAGATACATACGAGTACCTGACCATCGCCAGCCGGGGAAACGGAAGGAGTAGAAGCGAGGCGAGGCGAGGTCAAGGCAAATGACTCAACGAAGGTGTGCGATGCCCGCGTACAGTTGACAAGCATGTTGTTGGACGCGCGCTTGACCTGTTTGGCAGAGAAACCACACCTGAATTTGATTCAGGTCACCGTGAGGAAGGTGGCCCGGATATAAATAGCGACGACGGCGATGTTGCAAGGGTGCCGCTCCGTTGGGACGCTGTCGCCTCGCTTCGCCTCGCGTCGTCCTTGCATTGCTAAACGGGATTATGACATATGACCCACTTGAACCTCTGGGAAAGTGGGAAGTAGTCGAACCCACATGGAAGCCGAAGATCAACATTTGAGGAACTTGAACGCATGGGAGATCATGACCCCGGTGTGATGGCGTTGCTGGCGACCGTGGCGTAGGAAATGGAAGCTTTAGAAGCACTGGAAGGTTGTAAGCGAGATAGCTCTTTTTCAAGAACCTCCGTGATCCATGCACGAGGACCGATGGGGAAACATGTCCGTGTTCCGTTGGTGGAGCTCCAGGGGCTTGATGGATATAGCCTTGCTGTGGGGAGCGGCCCGGAAATTGCTGCTGTCAGACGGGCTCTTGCTTGGTCCTTCCGGCGGATGATGCGGAAGTCAGACCAAAGGCAGGACGGTGCGGAGCAAGAAAAAGGAGCTCCCGTGTGGTGTGATTGCACGGGCGACTTCTCTCCACTCTCATTCGCCTTGCGGCCTTGCTTCAGTGTCGGTGATGATTAATGCATTGCTCGACAGCCGAGAGTCTTGATGCGATGTGAAGCGCTTCTTGTCCCAAGCTTTACGGCGTTCTTGGACCGCCAGACGCCTGATTTCCCACCTTTGAGAGTCGTCGAATTTGCTGGGAGAGGCAAGAGAGGCACTTGAGCGACATGGCGAAGCTTGCGGAAGGAAACGCAGGCACCGTTGGCGCCGTGCCAAAGACACCACAACACTCCTCCACCCCTATCAAAATCATGGTGACGGGCGGTCTTGGATTTGTAGGTTCGGCAATTGTCCGATCCTTGCAGGAACTCCATCCTGAATGGCACATCTGGATTCTCGACAAGGCTGAAGATCCACGGGGAAGAAACCATGACGCACGAGATGATGAGCTGGACTTACTCAAGGGGTGCAAATATGATTATGTGCAGGCCGACATCACGGATCAGACCAGTGTCATGAACGCTCTTGCCATGATCAATGCAGATGCCATCGTCCACTCAGCAGGCATTGTGCCATCGTTGAGCGAGAGGTAGGTCCGTCTCGCGGGCGGTGCAAGCGGTGCTGTACGAAGACTGCAGCTTCCGTCTCCAGGCGCCGAGTCTCGTTTTCTCCCCCGATGGGCGATGTGTGCGTCGTCCCTCTATCAGTCTCGAAATTTCGCAATCATGCACAATGGCTCATTCACTTTGTTCTGGCAGGTATGCACGACGCCTAGAAGCCTTTGTCAAGGCTGTCAACGTGGAAGGGACGCGGCACATGGTTGAGGCGGCCAGAAAAGGCAGATGCAAAGCATTTGTGTATACGAGTAGTTGCTGCGCCGTGATAGACGACATGAGTCAGGCCTATGCCAACATCGACGAAAGATGGCCGGTCTCGCCCAAATCGTCCATCTATGGCGAGAGTAAAGCCGAAGCCGAGCAGATAGTGATTGCAGCCAACGACCAGTCCATGTCCACATGCGTTCTGAGACCGTCGGTGCTGTTTGGCGAGGGAGACAACCAGCTGGTACCACCGATTCACGCCTGCATTGCCAAGGGAGAGACTCGCTGGGTGATTGGGGATGGCAGGAATCTTTGGGACACGACTTACGTCGGCAATGTGGCTGACGCGCACGTTCTGGCGGTTGAAAACCTGTTGGATTTCCAATCAGCGGAATCAAAGCGTGGGTGCAACGGCCAAACCCGAGCGGAAAGCGCCGCAGGGGAGACGTTTTTCATCCAAAACAACGAACCCATCTCTTTTCGTGAATTCAGCCTTGCTGTTTGGAAAGAGTTTGGGCATTTCCCGCCTGCCTGGGAAATTCACATTCCAGAAGGACTGGGATGGGTCCTAGGGTTGGTCGCGGAAGTCTTTACGCGAGTCTCGGGCACTCCAACGACCCTCTCGCGTGGAAGCGTAATGGACGCCTGCGCGATGCGTTATGCCAGCGGTGATAAGGCCAGGAGGATTCTCGGCTATCAGCCTCGAGTAGGCCTTGAAGCGGGAATCAGGACAAGCTGTGAGGTGAGGAACTCCCCCCCTTTCTTTTGTTGTGGCTGCTGGCCGCGGATTTCGGTAGATTTCTTGTAGGTGCTAACTGATGGCAATGCGGATCAGCACTATGCTAGACGACTGAAGAGAGGCCGCCATTGAATCAGACGGTAGCCCCCTTCCGTGCCGAATGATGATACGCAGTACGTACGAGAAATCCACCGCGTGGGTAAGTGTGGAATGCTTCGGTTGATGCTACTCTGCCAAAGGTGCCGGACCTGGTCTTGCAGTAGACAAAGGCTTTGCCATATGATGAGATTAAGTCAGCACTATGTAATCGGGGATCGGTGCTTTGAGGGTGCGGGATTTTTGGATGGCGTTGGGCAGAGTTCGCCATAGTGTGGTCGTAGTGAGCTGAAGGCCAGGAACATGGTATCGGCAGAGGGTAAAAGGGTGTCGTTGAGACTCGAGCCGCCTGCGAACTTGGTTCTTTACCCAGCAGTGCTTACCCGGGTTAGGATCTAGACCTGGAAAGCCGCCGGGTACCTGCTTGGGAATCCTGGGAATATGCAGCACTGGCAAGCATTAGTGAGGGGGCCAAAATGATGCACAAAGGGGGGGGGGGGGAATATCGGGTACCTGGCCGTCGGAAGCGCATGAGACGGAGGCACAATGGGTTGGTGCAGACTAAGTCAGTAGTCGTTTCCCCATCATGACAGGAAGGAGCGAGCACCCGTAGCACTGGCACCGTCTGGATGCCATCAGCCGGGCAGAGAAATTGGTAGCGATGCGAGACCTCGTTCAGGGAGATTTCGTGGTCGACAGGCCTGTGGCTGGTGGTGGTGGTGGTGTGGTGGACAGTGGTGGTCTGCGGTGGACTGCGGCGGACTGCGGTGGTCTGCAGTGGTCTGTGGTGGTGCTGGTATGGGAGCCTTGCCAGTTCGTCGTCTCATGTTGGGTGCTGGATGCGTGACCGGTGCAACTCGGCATTGCAGGCAGTGACGTCGCCGATGGCTTGGCAGTCCGCCCAGCCAATTATGTTGCCGACAAGGGGGCACTTACACCCTACTGTGATTGGCGCTTCCTTGCAGCATAGCGAGGCTCCATCCCTTCTCCTCCTCCTCCTCCTTCTCCTCCTCATCATATCCTTCCCTCTCTCCCCCCCCGGAAACCTCGAGCTTGCCCCCTTTCTAACCATTCTCTTCTATCCACTTTCCGCTGGCTTCCTCGCCGTCTTGATTGCCTGATCAAGTCTTCCTGACCCGTTTGTCTCCAACCGTTGCTCCAAGTCTAACTACTCCACTACACCTTGGCCCGCCCAGTGCGAGTTCCCTGCGTCGTTCGTCACGCTGCCTCCACTGCCTTCCCGCTTCCACGGCACCCATGATCCTGGACCGGTTCTTTGGCCCACAAAACATCTGGCGCTGAGCTTCGTTATTCGGCTTCATCCCCTGGCGCTTCTCCAAGAGATGGATCCCTTTCCGCCGTAGGAGCCTCGGGAAACTGGAATTCTGTCAATGGGGTCGTCTGCCTCGACTACCGAAACTGGCACTGCCCTCACCCAGGTACATACCAAAATACCTTCCGTCTCGTCGACTATTGCTGAGACCGTCACGGCTCTACGGGGTAGTGTTCTCACCTCAGTAACCTGATCTGTTTCCCCTTCCTCCCTGCTCCCCCTGGTCCGGGACAAGGGCAGCCTTTTCCCAGCCGGGGCCGGCACTCGCAATAGAATCCGCCGTCTTGTTTGGTTCGCTCGAGACTGCGCAGCCCTACTTCGAGAAAATTCTGCCGCCTCACCGAGGCCCAGTGCAGATCATCTCCGTGATCGGCACCAGGGCAAGCTTCTCGGAGCTTGGGCAGCAATAATGTAATGGGTCTTCTCCAAGCTTGTCTTGCACCTTGTCGTCTACTCGTACGAGTACCATCCACAAGACCCTGGCTCTCGGCAGCCTGACTCTTGCTTCTTACATGACCCTAAGGGCAGATATGTTGTAATGGCCAAACCTTTTTGTGACTTGGGGATCCCGGGTCTGTGGCTGTCATCCTCTCTCAACCTGCCATGCTCTGATCCGCATGGACTGCAATCGGTAATTCTCCACGCAAGCAAAGACCCCAGGTCGACCAGATCTTGCGACAAGTTGATCTCTGGCTACCTTCTCAAAAGGATTTGGTGCCGTTGGACTACCCATGCGACTCGTTAGCCTAACGCCTCACGCTCATCACCCGTTATTTCTGCTCCACCCGAGCGAATCCTAAGGGATGATCCACCGCTTATACTCGAAACGGCCACTCGAGGCGTTCTTGCAAACCCTTATTCTCCATGTTAGGGCTGTGCGAAACTCGACGAATGCATCGCCCTGGGACGAACTTAGCACTGGCGACCACCTGCACGACAGCGTCCCAGCGTGTATTGATCATGCATCGATCACCACTGCCCGCGTGACTGGCAAGTGATGCACCTCCCCCGGGCTCTGAAGCCGCAAACTGCCCATTGAACGCGTCTCGGGCATCAATGAACCTTATACCTGCGCGCATCCAAAATAAGCTAGGGATGGATTTCCTGGCCGGTGACGCCGTTGCTCCCAAGAAGAGATTAATGGGCTTCCAGAACAATTCACTAGGGTCCGCGGGTTCCAACTTTTTTTCTTCGCTCGCGAGCACGAATCAGTGGCGCTCACCATCGAACTGCTAAGGCAGACCTTGTTTAATCTGCTAAACTGGTGCGAATGGACGGGAGCGCCTCAACGCCTCGTCCACGGCCGTCGGGAACAACCCGCTGCTCAGGGTCAAGGCACTTTTGTTTCAGCCCCCTGTTAGAGTGGGCCTTTTTCGTAAGAAAGTAGAGACTCCCGGGGATTGCGGAATCAGAGAACTTCGAGGCATGGTTCAGAGGGCCAAAACTGATTCGCCTTGTGCCTCCCTCTCCACGTGCCGTCATTGACGAAGTTCAATATCCTCGTCGTTGGGTTTCCGTTTCGTGGTTTCCTTTTTGCGAAACCACCACCGGCATCGAAAATTATGCTCCAATACCTGATCAGTGCCCTATACGAAGCCCCCTGGCATACATCATTCGACACCCTCCTGCCGTAGTGGGAGGCACGATACACTCGCCTTGGTTCCGGACTCCATTTGTTCTCTTTTGTCTTTCTTTCCCGCTCTGCACACCACATTCTGGCCGCTCTGATCATGTTGGCCCTGACCAATCCGATCAGCAATCTACAGTCTACCTACTCATCGGGAGTCGCCCCGGGGGTTCAGTTTGCTCTTGATTTGACAGACAATACCGCGGGCATGTCGGAGAAGGAGGACTTTCTGTTTGCTAGGCAGCAGCAAGATACGGCTACCTCGAGATCGCTGGCCGACACCTCTTCTTCGTTTTCTTTCCCGAGGTAGGTGCACACCCGACACCTCCCACTTCCTTCTATTGACATGCGATTCACTGGCAGATTCGCACAGTGGCCGTCGTCCACCTACGACCCGTTTGCGGGCGAATCTGGCGGTCGTATATCTCCAGAGCGATCGGAGAGGCTGCGGCAGAGGCTCCCCCCGGAGATACATAGCGCAGCCCGTATGCCTCCGGCGACCGCTGTGGGTGATCCTTTCCGGCCGCTCTCATTTGTATCACAGTCGTCTACGTTCACCTCTGATCCCGGCTCGTATCCGCAACACGGTCTGCCTCCAAGGTCGAATCCCGACGACCAGAATATCGCGCTGCGGAGACAAAGCCAGGACAGTTTCGTTCTTCAGACAGGGTCTCCCACAAGTCAAGGCTATGCAGAATACGACCTGGAAACGCAGAACCGGCGGGCTTCCGAGATGGGCAGGACCGCCACCCGCTACCACACGCGGAGACGACCATTCAACCAGGACGAGTTCGACGGCCCCTCTCAGCTGCTTCCGCTGCCCGTGCCGCAACAGGAACACGCCAGGTCGCAGGCACTGCCGTCTCTCCCAGTCCACCTCGACGTCGAGGAGCAGGACGAAATCACGTCGCGGGTGAACGACATTTTGTCCCGATGTGCCTTTCACTTTGTCGCCAAATATCAGTTTCCGATCCCGCTGGAAAGGGATAAGCCGCGGGTCCGCACGCCAGGGGATCGCGAGTGGACGGAGTGGGCGTATTTGTTGAAGAGACTCGCCACCAAGCGAAGGATCCCAGCCCGCGTGCTCTACGACAACCAGATCAAACAGTTCGTCACGACCTTAGAGAACTCGATTGCCGTCAAGCAAAACAACAGAGACCAGCAACCCAGAACGCCAAAGGACGACCGATACATGCTGCAGCTAGTCAGCGCGGCGACCCAGGTCGCGAAGATCTTGATGGATTCATTGTCTATGGAACAGCTCGACGCTCTATATAGGCAAACCGAGAGCGTAATCCTCGAAAGAAGAGCCAGACTCAGAGGGTTGGGATTTCAGTGAAGAGTCCCCGCGGACTTGTTTGCTTGTTCTTTCCCATTTGCGAAGGAGGAGGCCTCTGTTCGCCTTCAATGATGCACATGCCAGATATTTATTCTACTCGGAGGTCATTGAATTTTCTCCGCACTCAAAATACCCATCTTCAGTATCAGCGAGATCGTGCAGGTTCATGATCGGCTTTGTGTTATCGGCCTTTTCCTCACCATGTCATGAGTGGCACCCAGTCCAGTAATGGGAGGAGGGGAATTTTCTTGAGGCTATAGCTAAGACCAATTGTATGTCGCTCCTGCCGAGACGAAACGCAGCTTTCATTTTGCACACCGCTTCAGCAAATTACACAGCCGACAAGCGCAGGCTACAAGTGCTCGAATAGTCTGGCAAAAATGGAGTTGCCTTCAAAATCACTACAGCCTATGCGCTCTTGTCGCCCAGATTGACAGATGAACGCGGCGATTGTCGGGACTGAGGACGGCACTCACTGACGGGTCGCGGATCGGAATGTACAAAAGTTCCAGCCAAGAACAATGCAATTGTGAATTTCGGCCAGGCCCCCGATCCAGATTGCACCCGGGGGGGCGAAATGAAGGATTCTCTGGGTCTTTCCCGGTATGTCAGACTTTGGGCTTTCACTGCTTTTGTGAACCATCTTGAAGGAACTATTTGCTGACCACCGGCTCGTCACAGTACGCAAATGACAGACGCTTTCCCCACGATGCCCCGAGCCACTTCTCTTCGCCAGGCGCCTTTCCGATTCTCACAGTCGAGCCTCGAGGAGCAGCTTCCCCAATCATCCATTTGGCGCCGACTGGATCGCAGTGTGGACACCGGATGCAGGAAAGGCCAGCGCGAGAAAGTGGAGTACGGTGTCCCTCTCTGACGTTGTGTGACCAAAACATGGTGTTGATGCGTCAATAAAATGGATCACCAGGTCGACACAGACGCGCCCTCCTCGTTCCCTCAGACTTGAAGGTTGGCGAGAAGGCACCGTGTAGGAAGACTATTCGCCGGGAAGGGACCACGCGCCGGAGAGAAGGTGTGGATTTCCGAGAGGAGGAGGAGGAAGAGGAGGAGGCAGAAGTCGGGCATGCGCTCTCCACGGGCAGCAGTCTTCGAAAGGTTGGATCACCATGGCCATCGTCACGGATGTCCGGCGATGCCACGTCTTCGAGGGCAGCCACCAACTTCAGCCATTTGTTGACCGCTATCGAAGCTGCATGGTCCATCTTGCGACCCAAATGCCTTCAGAGCGAACTACGGGCCACGAGCCAGCAAGGGCCTAATGTTGGGCACGAGGGGGGGGCGCAGGATGCCATGCAACGCAGCGTGACTGCTGTCCAAAGAGCAGGCAAATGATGATGCGAGGAGGGAATGTCGCGGAGGAGATTCGGTTCCAACAGGGCGCCGACAAATCCAACGTGGAAAATCCTACCTATCAGCCGTCGCTGCATTGTTCTCTGGGTCGAGTCTGAACGGGCGCACGATGGCCAGCTGAGCATCCATGTTATTCCTGCTTCTTTGGGTCTGGCTGCACGACAATGGAGAAGAAGGCGTCGAGGTACTCAACCTTGAACCCTGGCTCAAGAACTACGTATACGGTACTCGGATGTGCATCGGCCAATCTTCAAGATGGTTGATTGCCTGTGGACCCAAATGCTCTTTCCTGCTTGCAAATCTCTATAAGCCTCCGTCAATAGCGTTGTTCTGCCCGAGATGGACTCTTCAAGCTCCGTCATCTCCCAGGATCAATCGCTCCATTGCGCCTAAACCTCTATTCCTTGACCTTGCAGTGCTATGTTTTGTGTATACCGGGCATTGACAGCTCCTGTGCTCCGGACAGCTCTTTGGCAAGTACTCTGGAATCTTCCGGACACGTTGGGCATCGACATTGACATCGCCACCGCCTGCCCCCGCTCCTCACCATGTACCTTCCGTCATAGACTCAAGCGACAGGGAAATTGCCTGCGAGACATGCTTTTGGGCAGCAACCGGACGATCTTCATGGAGAAAGGCTAGAGCGAGTGCCTTGCTGCCGAATACGGTGCATGCTGGGTTGAGGCGCAATGCAGAGAACGTTCCGCACGTCTGGGGTTTCGCAAGGTACCTCCATATGTAGATCAAGTCGGCGAGCGGATTTGCTGCCTGCCAACAGGCCCTGGCCCTGAATCTCTGGGAAATGTGTTAGCAGAGCAGCATCTCATACGTGATTTCCTGCCACAGATCAGATAGAGTTTCATCCACAGCCGACCCCTTTTTCGGGTGATGTTCCTCAATGTATGTTATCGTCAGTGGCCTTTGGGTTCTTGGGTTCGGGCCTCTCTGCCGAAGCGACACAGCGAGCCGCCCAATTCAGAGCGGTGGTCAATCCAAGACGAGCATAGACTTGCTAGGTGAAACATGAAATGACCCAGTATGTGAAATAACGGGCCGCAACTTCAAACACGGTGGATTCTAGACCTCGACAGACTCCCAGATACCGATCTGCTAGGGTAGCATTGGCGAAAAACGATGGTCACAGCATTGACATTTCACTAGATCTGGAGTAAAAGAGACATCTATTGGTGCAGCCCACACCGACGAGCAGGAAAGCCAACAGTTATTTGCAGATTATCAGCTGAGTCCAGTGGACGTGCCTTCTTCCCAATGGCCAGTCTTGCCAGTGGCCCAAACCCTCGGACGCTGAGCACGACAATTGTGATTCTCTCGTTGACTTGTTCCGAGCCGAACGAAACCATTTGCTGTTGCTTAGACCGCCTCTTGTCCAGTCCAGCACGGACTCCAGCGTTCACTGCTCTCCTCACACCTCGATCGCTCTGTCCTAATTCAAAGTGCTCTCCTGTGGCTGTTTCTTGAGACGCCTGAAGGCAAATTGTGCTGCGAACGTACCCAGCCGTGTTTGTCACATTTGTGATCAAGAAAAAGTGAGGCGAGATGAGGCACGCTATCCGCTTCGTGGCGCCTGGACTGACACCATCTTGATAGCACCATCCTCGAAGTGATTCTTTTGGCGTGTTGACCCCCCAGGTCGCTTGACCGTGCTCTCTTCTCGTCATGAACTGAGAATTCTTCCCAAAGTTCTTTCCAGGCGTCTGCCACGGCCGGCGCGATGATCTGAAACCTTGTCTGAGAACACTGTCGATCCTCGACCAGCTGTCCGTGGCTGTTGGTGCACCATCCTGCACTCATGGTCCTAAGTCTTGCCGATCACCTCTTTTTGGCCTGATACGGAGAGGTCGACTCGGTTCTGGTGAAAGAGCCCGTCACTGTACGCAGCAAGAGGAGGATGTCCACTCAGGAAGCAGATCACAACCCTCCAGAGTTCAGCAATTGCTCTGCGCAGGGGATGCTCAGGACCTGGCGAGGACACACAGTTCCCCACGGCTGCCTTGTCGACGCCTTGAGTCACCTGCTCATTTCCCAATTTGCGTATGCTGCTTCTACAACACGGTGTTGACAATACGGGGGAACAGCCTCCTGTGCACCTGACGAAACCTGTCACTCTCCAAGAGACCCGCGAGCCAGACAGACACCGCACCTGTTTAGAATTCGCGCACTAATGATACCAGAAGACTCACCTTCCCAGCGTTGCGCCTCGACGACTCAAACCTGCCGTCAAGCCGAACAAGATGCTCAAAAGTGCTTCTCTCGCACGCGGCTTGGACCCGTCTTCATCTGATGAAAAGTTGCTCAGTATTTAATTGTCCACAAACTCTCCAATGCAATCGATTTCTCTCCAAAAGAAAGAAAGACTTTCGTGCAGAAGTCTACTGTCTGCCACACTGTTGCTATTCCAAGCATGTGGCTCCACCTGCGCCCATGATCTCTTCTGTTAACAATGAAGTATTCTGATTCGCAAAGATTGTCTGAAATTTTTATTTGTGTGAAAAGCTGACTTGTTCCAAGAATACTTTTAACCCTTTTTCCTCAGTTGACGGCGGGCGCTGCATTCCTACTTCTCTCAACCGTCGAGCCCTTCTTGTACACAAGTGTTACGTACTGCGTACGAAGCCTGAACAACGCCGCCACGCACACCGCTGGAAAGGTAAACACATTGCAGAGAACAAATCTTGAGAGAAGGCTATTTGCTGCCAACAAAATTACCAAACAGTGTCAAATGATGCAAACCAATCTGTGATGCTTTGGCGGTTGAGCTTTTGAAGTACGTAAAATGTCCCGAGACAGCGCGACCTAAGCCCCGATGGCTGATGCCGATTCGCAGTTCTACTCCATCCTGGACTCACTGATTCTCGAACGCAAGACATGGGCCCGAAAGCTCTGGACAACATTCCAGCAGCACCTGACGAAATGTGCAGGGAAAGACAGTTCAAGAGCCGGTAAGGCTGACAAGCCACACGAGACAAGGCTGCAGGCAAAAGGGGGTTGAGAGGTACATGGCAGCTGACACTGGGTTTTGGCCTCCAAGCAGGTGCGTGCGCTACAAATGCCGCTGCGCAATGAGGAGGTCCCTAAGATGCACAGATTCAGGTGATTTGCATTGGCTCAGAGAAACAACAAGAGATTGGACAGCAGCAAGTTTTCAGTCTGGGAACGAAATACCAGACAAGTTCGGTCCCGTCCCTGATCTCCGGCAACGAAATCCGCACCAGCCACGAGGCTGTGCAAACGTCGATCCGGTTGGCAACGCCAAAGGCCCATGTCTGACAGCTCATTCTCTTCCCGCAAAGGGGTCATCCCACGAAAACGGAGTACCTGCTTGTATGAGGCCTTTAAGAAACCGACAGACAGGGTTATCTACAGCTCGAAACTTCTTCCTCGGTAGGGATCACGAGCAAGTTTCTTCCGGGTCTCGAATAGACCATATATGATACATTCCATTGCAGTCAAACGGAGACCTCGTCCCCCGAAGGGTGAACGATGATGGCCGACTGCAGCAAGCCTGCAGACTTGGCCAAACTGAAAGAAAAAAGAAGAGCCCGTGACAGTCTTTCCCATAACTCTATCTTGTCCGACCGGTCTTTGGACGGTTTCGTTCAACAACTGGGGGCGTCACATTTGGGGTCATATCATCGTAGATTTCCCATTTCTCTTCCCCTGCTTTGTCAAGAGGCGCGATGCATTTGCCTTTGCATTGCCATCAAATAAAGTTGCCCCGCTCATCATCAGGCATGCGGAGCTGGAGGTCATGCTGATGTTCAGGATAATATTCATGTCCACCACTGGGTCCGGGTAGGTCGTCCATATCCTCGCCAACGCCAAAGTATTGATCGTGAAGATTCGGATCTCGAACCTGTTCCGGACCGGGCCCGACAGAGTCGCGCTGAAAACTGCTTCGTAGCGGTGTGTTCTGCTCCGAGCCTCCGGTTCCCCCAGTCTGATGACTCCACCGGCCCTGCGCGACGCCGGGGCTCGGGTGCTTCACATGCAGCAGCGTTGGGCTGATGGCGTGCATTTCTCGCGGCGGCTCCGCCACGCCCCAGGGCAGATTCTCGGCTTTCCAGGCCTCAGCTTTGGCGGACATGGGAGAGTACATGCTGTCAGCGTGGGCGCCGTGCACGCGGCTCATGCGGCCCGTCTGGGCCATCCGCTGGCGACGTTTGCGGGTGAAAATGAAACAGCCCCAGCACGTTCCCGAGATGAGAATGATGCCGCCGACGACCGGGAGCACGATGGCGAGCGCCAGTTTCCATCCGTGAAGTCCGCCTTTGCCGCCGGTGTTGCTTGATGGCGGCGCCGGCCCGGCGACTAGTGTCTCGTTGAAGATGGACTGAGCGTCTGGGAAGAACGGTTTACCCGGTTCTGGCGGTTGGCGGCATGCTATGTGCAGAGCTTGGAGGACTAATTGACACGATGAGCAGAAGTAAAAAAAAAGGGTGTGAAGCGAGGAAAAGCGCGGCATCTTACAGTTTGCCTGGTACAGCTGCTGCGGGATGAAGCTATAACACGTTGCGCACCTATTGATCGTGTAGTCGTCGAACGGGTCGGCCGTACAGAACGCATTCCCCGGTTGAGCCGTCGAGCTGTCGTTCGTGATGCGGTATCCGATAGAGGCGTTCAGAGGGGCACAGCTGACTTGACATGGACTGCTGATCGAAATATGGTCTTCGGGGATGGCAAACATGCACCCCGCAAGTGTGTAACGAAGGGCCACTGGGAGATTTTGCAAAAGGCACGTCTCAGCACTTCTAGCACTTTTAGTGACAGGGAAGACAAGAATTTTGTCATACGCAATGCCCATTCTACATCCGTCTCATTGCTTGCCGTATCTACCGCCGTGCTGTTCAACTGACAAGCCACGCATTTCTGGAACGCTCGACCCGAGGGCAGGGACTGGTAATCCGCATCGAGGCAGAGGACGTCTTGTTCGAGGGAGCCTGCACCGGCACAGACAGAATCGCAGGGCGATCCGGCGACAGACTGTAGGGCAGAGGTAACGCGGAGGAGGACGGTCAGCAGCACGCCAACTATGGCCAGCATGGAGCGAGGCGCGCCGGTCGCAGGGCGGTCATGCCAGTAGGCCATGACACTGACGGTGAGCGCAGCGACATATGAAACAAGAGGGCAGCGCAAAACGACAGACGGGCGAAGTCTGTTGGATTGCAACCCAGAGATTGCGCTGCGCTTCTATGTTATCCCAAATTTAAGGCCCGCCAGGGAAAGAGAAGGGAAAGCTGAAGGGGGAGGAGGCGGCCCTTTTGCCCCTCTCGGTGTGTGTGCGCTGGTGTGTTGTGAGTGCCGTAGCAGCAGCAGCAGCAGCCGCAAGCCGCAAGTAGCAAGCCAGGGTCGTTGCCATGCTTGCGGTGGCTTGCAGAGCACTCGGCGGTTAAAGAAGCTGATCTTCCAGTCAGCAGCAGAGGAGGAGGTCGGCTTGAGGGCGAGTGATTGGCAGCCTGGGATGGGCGGGATGTGACGAGCTGCCATGGCTGCGTCTGAGTGGTGGAGGACGTTGCGGCCTAGTCAGAACTAACGAAGCTGGACTGGGACTGGGCCATCCACCCCCCCGAGGTACAGGGCCCTGCGCGCCGTTCCCACACCTCGTCACACCTCTAGTCAGCCTCTCGCCGTCGAGCTTTGGTCGTGACTTGACGGATTGTCGTCATGTATCACAGCACGGCGACTTTGCATGCCCTCTCTTGGAGGGGGTTTTTCTTATTCCCGAGGACTACCGTGATGCCAACAGACTCCCTGATGCGAAGCCCCGGTTAGTTATCATCATGCAGCAAGCTCCTGAGACCGTTTCGTTGCTCTCTGCTCCGCGAGATATCCCGCGTACTACAAGCCTTTCATGCAGCGTGGTCCATGCCACAGTCCCTTTCGTCTCCTTCTCGAGCCGCCCAGGAGATTCGTCCCCTTCGGTTGTGCGTCATGGGCTTGTGACGATACTGTGATGCTGCCAGTTCGCAGTCGAAGAAATGCATTCAATACATACAGCCGCCGGTACTATCTACAATAGTTTCAGGCAGGGAGAGTTCGTCACTGAGGATGTATCCTCTGCCCATGTCGCCGCTCCGAAGCCCCTTACAAGGCTGTCAAAGGAAAAACACCTTGGCTGCGCAGCCTGCATAATGTACGTATCCGATCGAACATGAGTGAGTGGTGAAAGAGGCATCGTCGCCTCCAAATGATCTGCGGCGCTCCATGTGTGCTGTCACTTTTTGCCAGTGTCTCTTGACGCCGCAGTCCAAGAATTCCTCAGCATTTGACACTGCGCGGACCAGGTGATGTGCTCTCAGTCGTTTCCTGGACGAGACAAACCAGGCCGGCGAACTTCCCCGACTCGGCGAATTGGCAGATTGCCACCCAGGAAGTGATTGTCTTCTGAGGGATTTGTGGTATCAGGTGCACGTCGGTTGCAATTGATGTCTCCGCTCCTTGCTGCCTTCCGCATCTCACCGCGGTCGCATTTCCTGCTTCTGATGAAGCTCTTCCACCCGCTTTTCAAAAGCCGACACCATTGTACTTGCGACCTTGCTCTCGACCTGGGCAAACATTTGATCGTAGAGAGGATTCCGAAACTTGACGTCGACGTTCAACTTGACGGCCGTACTGTCGTTGGCAGCCTTCGAAGGCGCAATGAGCCACTTTGTACTCAAGATTTCGAAAAGTCCGTCACTGTGCTCCTCGCTGCTCCTTGCTTCGATGATTCCTCGAGCTGGGTCGCACCGGACTATGCTTTCCCAGTCTTCCTCAATGCCGAGTGTCGCGTACCCGACCTTCAGGCTAGCTCGTGTCGGATAGCCTGCAGCATCTCTCGATGTGACGTTGGATGAAATGGTGAAGGGTAGAAATGTCGGGTAGCCCGCCACGTCAGAGACGGCTTTGAAGACTGTTGCAGCGGAGTACGGCAAAACTTTGGTATGGCTCATAGAACGAAGCGCGCAGTTCCCGAATGTCGACGACAGAAGGGAATCGAAGAGAGTTCTTGTCTGTTGTATTGGTTGTGTATTTGACGATATCAAAGCAGTTGTCCTCAACCGAGCTTGAGAGCTGAGTAGAACCGTGGCCGTGTGGCGGGCGGCCATTCTAGCCCGAATGTTTCCAAGACTATGAATCAAGAGACCGAATTCCGTGTTATAACGATTGCATCCTGTCTAAATGAGCGCTGGCCCTGAAATGAGTGAATGGATGACGAGAAACAAAAAGTTGTGTTCATGCATCGGCTTTCTCAAATTCCTGAGTCAGGTGAATCGTCCCCAGGCTAGCGTCTGAATCATACAAACACGTTGCAATAGTGATTTCCATTGTCCTCGCAAACCCGCAACAGCCACAACCTATCCCGATGCCAGCACTTGTTCCTCGGTCGTGATGGACGTGTCGCGAGGAACATCCAGCAGAACCCTATAGTTGATCTGCGCCTTGAGCAACTGGACCTGCCACAATGGGGCAAGATTCTACCGCTCCTTCCGACGCCGTGCCTTCGTCGAAACAACCTCCCCTCGAAAAGCCCGAAGCTGTGAGCCTGCGAACCAAGATTGTGTTGTCTTTCTGGGCTGTGATCATACTGCTGGGACTTCCAGTATGGTGGCAAACCACCTCAATCTACCGAGCGAGCCTGCCGCTGCAGGACATGCTTGACTGGGCAGAGGGACTTGTGAGCCATCCATCTGCCTTGCAGACATCTCAATGCTGATAGCAGTCTCTAGAATACACCCACAGCGATTCCATTGCATCTCTGGCTCTCTGCCCCGAATCTCCCGTGTTCAGATGCCCAGAAACTAGTGCAGGATACCCAACGAGCCCTAGATGATCTGAACGAGTATCCAACCCTCCACCAAAGACTTCACCTGGTGAACGTGGGCCCAGATGGGCCAGGAACTGGCAGCAAGAGCGAGACAAGGGGCACACGCTGCGGTGAAGATCCTGCATCCCTTAGCCACGGGGCTCCCGCCTTGAAAATTCTCCTTGAGCCTACTCAGGATGGCTTCGCGTTCACTCTGGACCCTGTCACCGCGACTGCCCGTGCGAGTATAGCTCCAGGTATTGGAGTCAATGTTGCCAAAACCCTCGCAGACAACCTCCATGCACTGTTCAGAGAAGAACAAATTGCGGCTGCGCTTCAGACTGTCTCTCTGTCCAGTAACAGTCAAAACGCACAGGCATTTCTGAAATCTCAACCCTACGATGTTGTTACCAAAGTCGAGAAGCAAATCAACCGAGCATACAAATCGTCTCCTGAATTCCATCTCACCTTCTCTCTCCTTACCGCCAGTGGCGCTCCAGCAAGTTGGGAGATTGACGGAGCACTCCGGGATCACATCGAGCCTCTCGTACAAGCACTCTCGTCCATTGCCGATTTCGAGATCACGACTCAGGTGCAATTGTATTCGACCCTACCTCCCACCATACAACCCATTCACCGAGAAGGACAAAACGGCTCTTTTCTCCAGCAAAACGATCTGACGGCCTTTGTGAATTCCGCAGAGTGGCCTTTGGCGCCCTCGATCGGAGATGGACCTACGCTCAACTTCATCCTCTATGTTCCAGCTAAGGATCAGATACCTCTCAGTATCGAAGGGGTCGATGGAAATTCATGGCTGATTCCTCAATGGGGCGGGATACAAATTCTCAACCCACCTCTGCTCCCGCACCCTGTCCACGTCAACATGATTCCCACTTATCTCAATCACGAGTTGTTGCGCCTACCGTTCAAGACGTTTGCCTCGCAATTACTGTCACTGCTAGGAGTCTTGCATCCGGATGATTCAGCCCAGTCCCGACCGCTGCAGCTGCAACTCGACGCCTACAAACGTCTGTCAGCTCTTACCCTGTACCTCCATGCTGCGTCCAGTCTGGGGTCACTAGCTCGACTAGCTCAGCGACTCAGCAATATTCCGATCCCGAGACACGTCGCTGAATTGGTCGACGACTCGATAGCCAATCTCAAAGCGTGTTGCGACTTCTCGCTCGACGGCAGATTTGACTTGGCTCTCACTCGTGCTAAAACGGCCTTCGAAGACAGCGAAAAGGCCTTTTTCGACAAATCCATGGTCGGCCAGGTCTACTTTCCTGACGAACACAAAATCGCCGTCCTCCTTCCACTTTTGGGTCCCGTCGGAGTTCCGCTGATTGTCGGCCTCTTGAGGGAAGCCAAACAAATGCTCTCGAGGCGGCGAGCAGCAAAAGTGTAGGCAGACACCTAAAAGCGTATCGATCCGGCCTTGAACAGACGCGGAAATCGCCTCGAGCCAACCAAAGCAAGAGAGATTGCATGGTCGACAACATCTGCAGCAGGGCCGCAGACTTGAGTTCCGAATCATAATGGCCTTCCTGTTTGGCTTGGTGCATTTCAGGGAATTCCTGTTGAAAGATGCTGCGCCTATTGAGCTGCCTAATTCGGCAACTCGATAAGTCGGCCGTCTGCATTTCTGTGGGGTAATGGCTCTAGCCCGACTGGACCGCTGTAGGTCAAAGCATGGTACCCGCCAATTACACTGCGACCGTTTCGCGACAGTCCGGGCTTATCGACCAAGCGGACACCGATCGACGCGAATGTACAGGATGCTCTTCTATCGAGTTATCTTAGGGTGACGACCTGTCCAGCATCCGGCTCTGTAAGCCGACTTTGACTTAAATGAAGCCAAAGAACGTCATGTCGACCCCGCCCGACGTGCTGTCTTCATTGCGCATTTGTCGCCAAGATGGCATTTGGAACTGTCCGCCGACTTCTGGGTGTGCTGGCTGTTTTGCAGCCCCTGACTAGTCTGGCTGCTGCTCAGTCATGTTGGAATCAAAGCACGGCAATCAATGGCACTGCTTTCCCGCCGTTGATTGAGGCTACTACAGAAGACCTCGTCCGCGGGCTGGAATCGGGCCTGTTCACAAGCGTCGATCTTGTTACGGCATACATTGAGCGCATCATGGAAGTCAACGCAACTCTGCATATGGTGACCCAGCTCAACCCCGACGCTCTTTCTATCGCAGCAGAACGTGACTCGCAACGCGCAAAAGGCATTATTCACGGACCACTCCACGGAATGCCGATTCTGATCAAAAACAATATCGCTACTGCTGATGCAATGGACAACACGGCCGGCTCCTATGCGCTTGCCGGCGCAAAGGTTCCTCGAGACAGCACAATCGCCGCCAATCTCAGGAAGGCGGGAGCTGTGATTCTTGGGAAGACCAACTTGAGCCAATGGGCGAACTACCGTTCCTTCAACACGAGTAACGGCTGGTCGGCAATCGCAGGACAGACCATCGGTGCTTATTACCCTGGTCAAGATCCTAGTGGCAGCAGTTCTGGCAGTGGCGTTTCGTCTTCCTTGGGACTGGCCTTGGCTGCCTTGGGCACTGAGACAGACGGCAGTATCCTGAGTCCCTCGGATGTCAACAATCTGGTTGGCATCAAGCCTACTGTCGGATTGACGTCCCGCTACCTGGTTGTTCCTGTGAGTGCCCGCAAAGAACCGTTTCTGAAGGGGACACTGACGGCGTCTGCTTCAGATCTCTGAACATCAAGATACCATCGGGCCCATGGCTCGGACGGTTAAAGACGCGGCATACGTCCTGTCAGCAATAGCAGGGAAGTCGCCTTATGATAACTACACATCTGCAATTCCCTTCGACACCATTCCCGACTACGTCGCGGCATGCAACTTTTCGGCGCTGCAGGGAAAGAGGATCGGCGTCCCACGAAATCTCATCGACCTATCCTTGTAAGTATCCTTGCAGAAGTGACCCGGACAAAACCGTCGTCATCGATCTCTACCAGTACAGGGCTAATGTCCATTTTTAGCGACTCAACAGCTGCGCCGATCGTGCCCGTCTTCGACGCCGCTCTGGACGTCCTTCGCGCGGCAGGAGCGACTATCATCGACAATACCAACTTCACTGGCTACGATGCTCTCAATGAAGGCAACTACTCCAACATCGTCCTCGAAGCGGATTTCATCAGCAATCTTGCGAATTACCTCTCGGAGCTCTCGCACAATCCCAACCATGTCTACTCCGTGGCAGACGTCCGCAACTTTACTCACTCATTCCCTCTGGAAGACTGGCCCGAGCGCGACACGCTGGTCTGGGACGGCGCGTTGGATCTTGGCTTCAACAACACTTCGCCAGACTTTTGGTCGAATTATACGATGAATACCTATTTGGCCGGTCCACTGGGAATTACAGGCGCGCTTGCCAACTACTCCTTAGATGCTCTGGTGTTGCCGACGGAATTTTCGCCCAACTTCCCTGCTCTGATCGGATCGCCTGTCGTAACGGTGCCTCTCGGAGCCTTCCCTCCTGGTACACCAGTTACTCCAAACGGATTTGGCAACCTGAATGCCACTGCACCAAATCTCCCGTTTGGAATCAGTTTCATGGGACCCCATTTCAGTGAAGAGTTGCTCATCGGGTTGGCATATGCATTTGAGCAAAGGACCCTTGTTAGGAACACTATTACGCCCCATATACAAGCCACGGTGGAGCTGGTTGACGTGGTCAATGCGAGGTTGAACAAGTCACTGAGCTAGAGCGGGAAGCCGCTGGTTTGGAGATAGGTTCAAAATCACACAATGCTAAACTCGGCTGTGGCCTGGGTCTTTTCCATTTCTACGATTTGTCGTCTGGCCTCCACCAAAGTCTGCCCCTTGTCAATCGGATCCAAAACGATGGAGGGCACTGGCCGTCAACACCAGTTGCTTGAGCAACCGATGCTAACTCGCTGCAAGTAGCTTTAGTCGTTAGTCACCTGAAATGTCCTTGTTAAAGCTGCCGACACGAAGAAAGCCGAGTGATGTCCGTAGTTTGCTCGAGGCTTGATCTCAGCCTTGTGCAGCCCCGTTCAGCCTCGTTCAGCCGGGTATCGTGGACCAATGAGCAGCCAGGCAATTCGTTGGTCACTGAGATCAGCGATTGGCTGCTCGAAGCCCATCTCGAACCTCGGTTCCAGGTCGAACCACGACAAATTGTTCCAGACCCAAAGTCTATGATATATTCAACTTCAAGAGTTGCTACCGCTTGCACTCTCGAAGAAGCCCATTCGATCTGTGGAGGGATTTCCTGATCATAGCCTTACAAGATACATCGCTTGGTCGCCCGCCCTCCTGACTCTCTTCCTCAAAACAGACCATCCACAGCCATGGCTCAAAAGACGTCCCAGACAATACCTAGCAAATTGCACACCCGAGCAGAGGTCGCAAAGCATAATACTGAAGACGACGTGTGGTGTATCGTAAGTTACCTTCAACCCAAAAGCACCTGTGCCATGAACATTTTTCTTGAGCACTTCCGAATGTCTGTCAACGAGGTTCCTCGAGCGCTCACATGACGAACTCTCAGATCGATCACAAGGTCTATGACCTCTCGGATTTTCTCGGTAGGCTGCTTCTCTCCCTGGAAGAACCATTCAACCCCTTGTAGCGGGTCCTTTCCCGACGTTCTCTCTTTGGACGTATGGGCTGACGACGACCGCCTGCAACAGACGCCCACCCCGGTGGCAATGTCGTTCTTCAACAGGTCGCCGGCCAGGACGCCACAACTGCCTTCTACAATCTCCACCGCCACGAGGTGCTCCAGAAATACGCCAATCTCTGCATCGGCACGGTCGAAGGCGAGAAGCCCGAAGTCATCGATCCCAAGCCGGGCGACCTGTCGAAAGTGCCTTATGCGGAGCCGGTGTGGCTGACTCCCCAATTCAAGTCCCCCTACTACAACAGTTCTCATCGCGCCCTGCAAAAGGCCCTGCGGGAGTTCGTGGACCGAGACATCTACCCCGAAGCCCAAGAAAAGGAACTCGACGGCACCTACATCTCCCAAGAACTCGTCGACAAGATGGCCTCGAACGGCCTCCTCGCGATGCGCCTTGGGCCCGGCAAGCATCTTTACGGCCGCAAACTGCTCGGTGACGTGAAGGGCGAAGAGTTTGACTATTTCCATGACCTGATTGTCGCACAGGAGCTCTCTCGCGGCATGGCCAGAGGGTTTCAGGATGGTAACATGGCGGGCATGATGATCTCATTGACTGCCGTGAGGCAATGGGCGAATGATTCCGCATTGAAGGATAAAGTCACCGAGGAGTGTTTGAGCGGGAAGAAGTTCATGTGTCTTGCCATCACCGAGGCGTTTGCGGGAAGCGATGTCGCGGGGATCAGGACAACTGCTACCAAGACTGAGGACGGCAAATATTACATGTGAGTGTTCTGCTCGGGCTTGTTGCGCAACGGCCATACTGACAGTTTCTGTGGCAGAATCAACGGGACGAAGGTAATACCATGTAGATAACTTCCGAGATAGGTCCTGTTGACTGACATGATCGCAGAAATGGATCACCAACGGCATGTTCGCAGACTACTTCGTCACGGGATGTAAAACCGAGAAGGGATTCAGCGTCATCCTGATACCGCGGGACGACAATGTGGAAACAAAACGCATCAAGACGTCATATTCCACAGCGGCTGCAACTACATTCATCCAATTCGACAATGTCAAGGTGCCGGTGAATCATCTCTTGGGCAAGGAGGACAATGGCTTCATCGTCATCATGAGCAACTTCAACCACGAGCGCTGGGCGATGGCGTGCTCGGTGATCCGCTGGATGCGCACGATCGTGGAAGAGTGTCTCAAGTGGACGAACCAGCGAATCGTGTTTGGAAAGCCGCTGGTGTCGCAGCCCGTGATCCGGCAGAAGCTCGCCAAGATGATCTCGCTCACCGAGGCGTGCCAGTCCTGGCTCGAGAGCATCACCTACCAGATGAACCAGATGGACTATGCGCAGCAGTCGAAGCTGCTGGGCGGGCCGATCGGGCTGCTGAAGTCGTACGCGACCCGGTGCGCGCACGACGTCGCCGACGACGCCGTCAACATCTTTGGCGGCCGGGGCATCACGCAGACGGGCATGGGCCGCTTCGTCGAGCAGTTCCACCGCACATACAAGTTCGACGCCATCCTGGGCGGGGCCGAGGAGGTCCTGGCCGATCTCGGCGTGAGGCAGGCCATCAAGCAGATGCCCAAGGCTATGCTGTGATGTCGGTGTGTGTGGGGGAAGACGGAGGCATCGACTCCTCACCTGTAGGCACTGTGTGTAATAGATCCAAAAAAAGAAGGAGGGGATATCACTACCCCCCAGAATATCGTATCTCGTTGTGTTTCTTTTCATCTCGATTTCCCAGATGCCACCTCTGGAAGATAGCAGAGCGGGCATGGAAAGCGCTGTGGGGTGGTCGCGCAAGGACGGAGCATGGAGGCGGGTTTCCGCATCTGGTCCCAAGCTGCGAGAGTGAAGCTAGAGAAAGAGCGACCGATGTCCCTGCTCCTCTCCTAGTATCTGTGCGAATACCACGTGCACTCCGCACTCTGTGGGCGGTGAGGGAAGGAGAAGAGCGAGGGAGGCAACGGGCGCCTCGCATGTCGCTTCTAAAGTCGCCAATCCGCGGGATTCAAGATGTAATAGTACTCGTACAAGAGGGACATCTATTTGGTATTTGCGCAATTACGTAACAAGTTGGCTGGATTATAGTCTGGTCCCGTGTAAAAGCCTCATCTTCCCGATGTCATATAACGGTGTGTGTCGCAGTCAAACTGTGACCGTAACCAGTAAGCTGATGTAAGGCAAGTGCTGCTCGCACCTGGTCGAGTCTAATTACGTCCAAGGGGCGGCGGCGACCTTTCCACCGTCTGGCGAATCGGTTCGTAGGTACCGAACGGATGTAGTAGAATACAAATGTTATACTCAATATAGCCAGAGGATACGATGTAGTCACCTCCATGTGCCTCATCCACACAGCCTCGTTCCCAGGCAAATCTCACGCTCTCTCCACCTGCCTGTAGAAGCTATACGCCTCCACCCTTTCTCCGTCTTCGTCAGGATCAGTCAAGCTGTCGACTGCCCAGGATCTCGCTTGCCATGACTAAGTGCTCCAGTTCGCCGTCCTCCGCTGCTGCAATATACAGTCCCTGTTCCAGAGATACAGCGCTGAGAACATCCCATACAATTGTGGAGGAACCCGCAATGCAGCCGAGGTGAATATGGTGTACAAGCCGGTCAGTGTTGCGACCCACCCACATAGCAACCGATGCTCTGCCTGAAATCAACCTCGCATTGTACTGCCATCTTGGAAAGTAAAAGGATGCGGTGTGCCGAGTCCTGCCATTCTCACTCACTCTTCTATAGTATCTGGCGAATTGATTGCTTGGTTTTCGCCTTTGGTGCCAGATAGTCGTCCTCTATCTTGCTGAGCGTCCTGTCTTCAGCTCCCATCCTAGTCCTCTTGTCTCCCGTGACTCCAACCCACGAAGAGTCACAAAGGTTCACGTTGGCCGAAAGCCTCCAGCTCAGCAAGATGGTTCATGATTCAGACGAGTCGATGCTTGCGCATGTTCAAGACCAACCGCCAGCTAGTGGAAAGAATGAGCAATTTCATCGTGAACAGCAACGTCAGATGAAGGATGACAACACAGCTTGGACGGCAGCCGGAGCGTTGTTGTTGTCACCGCTCCTCAGTCTCCCGTCTGAGCTCAGGCAGAAGGTGTTCCAGTATGTGTTCATGGACTCGTCTGAGAACTTCCCACCCCAACAAGCGTGCTCTCCCTCAAGGCTTCTCGGCATGGTGGGAGACCAATACAAGGTCTCAAGTGGCAAGTCGAGCACCCACGCCGCAAACAATAACATTATGCAGCCGCTTCTTCTCTGCCGCCAACTTTACTGGGAGACACGTCTGATGCCTCTCCAAGTCAACTGCGTCAAATGTCCAGCAACCATGGGATCGAACACCTCGGCAACAAAGCGTTTCTTGGACGCACTGAAGCCATTTCAACGACGAGCAATCCGAGAGCTGGAGCTGCACCTGCTTGCGAGTGTGACGGAAGCATGGTCCTTGAGGTCGATTCTCAGGTCAATAGCCGGCGCCACGGAGACAGGGGTTGACTGCGGCTTGGAGCAGAGCGGCGGTGGTGCAGATATTGAAATCGGCGGGGGTGAGGAAGGGAAAGTCGGCCAAACACTTGGAAAGGACTTGGACAACGCGACCAGCGATAGCCGCTTGACAGAACTGACAGTCCATATCACCACACGAGATCTGCTGTTGGCGCAGGCGGACTCGATGGTGGGGTTGCTGCACATACTGAGCGTCGCTCCCTTTTCTCAAGATTGTCCTGCAACTGCGTTCGCCTGTGCGGCAACGTGGGTCACTGAGGGCCTGGCTTTCCTCCAATCCCTTCGGAAATTAACCATTGTCATCGAGTCCAGTGTGTCTGTTGCAACGCAGATCACTGAGATTGAGAGAAACGGCTTTGAGCAGGCGCTCAGATCGTCCTTGTCGAGTGTCAATGTGACCGTGGAATGGAGAGTGCATAGAGATATGATTCTCGGCATGGATGACAGCGAGTGGGTGAATTTCCTCTGGTTGCACGATTCGACCATAGGCGCGCAAGGGCAGGGAGCGACTGAGCCTGGGGTGGGACGCAAGGTCGGGTTCTCCAGTTGGACAAGCATCGTGTCTTGATTCTGGGTGTACCTTTAATACTGTCAGAGCAGCGGTCACCGTCCAGTGGTCATGAATTTGTGGAGCGTTTCCAGGTTCATCTGGCCTGCGGTCGGCAAAGCGGATCTGGTGTCTGTAGAAGCTGGGCTGGCCTCGGACTTTGGTGGTTGTTTCTCAATGTCCATTTTGTCTGCCTCCTCATCTTCATCCTCCTCGTCGCTGACCTCATACTCCTCTTCCTCCTCTTCAGGTCCTTCATCGCCCTCATCATCGGGAGGTTCGATCAGTTGCCTGCGAAGTCCCGTGGCCACGTTCTCTACGCCTTTCTGTTTTTCCTCTAGAGTGAAATCTGCACCCCATTTCTGCTTCCGAGCTGCACCATTTGCTGCCCCCGGAGCCCATTGCCAAAGAGCGTTACGGTCGTCGTCCGACAGCCCTAGAAACGTGGCTTTGCGCTGTTGTGCACTGATGTTCTCGCCTTCCTCGACCCAATCTTCCACGTTGGGTTCTAGCTTTGTTCGAAGGAGAGTCTCGAGAATGAAGGCTCGTTGGGTACCCGGAAATTTGGGGGTGGGAAACGCAACGGTGGATTGATATGTGTCTCGGTGCTCTGCTAGCTGAGAAACAATGGTTTGTAGATTGTTGGAGACGAGGTTTGCATGCAGTTGAAGGGCTGGCCTGTCCGGCGTAGTTAGCTATATGGGCTGCGTTGTGTCAAAGAGGCGTATGTACCAGGAAGGGAGTTGGTTTTGGGTCACAAGCTCTGATCCCAAAGCAACCAATGACTTGTGGAGAGCTAGAAGTCTTTGACGTGTTTGATCCAAAGATCTGACCTGGTCTGTCGTGAGTTCAGCCATAATGTCGAGTCGAGTTCGAACGTCGTAGTAATGTTGTTGATTCAAGTGGCCAGTTGATGGAGGAGGGACAGATTCAAACTCCGCACTCCAAGCTCCTCCAAAAGTCCAGCCCAAGTTGGATTTCATTTGATCTTCACTCTTCACACCACCCTTTACTTCAATGACCCCTCCACGATTTCTGCCAGCTTAGATCACCGCCGTTATGGCTGCTGCTCCGGCAGCAGGCCGATTCTCCGGATCTGGCTATCGCGTTTGTTCGACCTGTATCACACGATGTCTTCGCCAGTCGTCGCGGCCGCACAGCACTTTGAGATCTGTCCTGCAAGCAAACAGGAAGCTCCACAGTGGCATACTTCCACTCGAAAGGCCCTCTAGAAGCACGATCCCTCATTCGCAGAGCTTTGTGGGCGACTATTTCTCTGCCAACACGTCCATTGAGAGAGGATGGATCAAGAGTGGGATGCTGGCTGCGGTCCGCACGGTCGCGGAGCCTGCAGGACGAAGGGAAAATGACGTGCCTGGCGAAGTCACACGGACCCGAGCACAAGGAGAACTAGAAAAGGCTTTGTCTTTCAAGGAGGAGCCTCTGAGTCAAGCGAGTCAGGGCCCTCAAAATGGTCCGGAAGCCAGCAAAGCTGTGGAGGGTGGTGAATCAGAGGCGGATATATTACCACACAGAAGGCGGAAGAGACGAAAGAGCAACCAAGACGCATCGGAGGAGTCTCTCCCTTTGGATGCTTCATCTCAATTGACGACTGCTGCGACCGCGATGCCAAAGTCAGCCGTCTTCCGGCGGAAGCTGGCCACGTTCCTCTCATTGACCAAACCGCGACTCTCATTCCTGATCCTGCTCACGACCACATCGGCTTACAGTCTCTATCCGCTCCCGGAAATCCTGTCCTCCACGTCCTCATCGGCAACTTCATCGCTTTCAACATCAACGCTGACGCTACTATTCCTCACTTCAGGCACCTTTTTGTCGTGCGCCTGCGCCAACACCCTCAACATGCTCTTTGAGCCAAAATATGACGCTCTCATGTCTCGAACTCGAAATCGGCCCCTTGTGAGAAAGCTAGTCTCTCCACGGGCCGCCGCCGTGTTTGCCTTGGTCTGCGGTGCCTCTGGCCTGCTTCTTCTCGGCCTGGGGACTAACCCGACGGTGGCGGGCCTGTCGGCCCTCAATATCTTCCTCTACGCTGGGGTCTACACTCCAATGAAGCGAATCTCCGCGGCGAATACTTGGGTAGGTGCGATTGTGGGTGGAATTCCTCCTCTCATGGGCTGGTGCGCTGCTGCGGGCGAGGCTGCGACCTCGGAGCACCACTCATGGCAAGATCTACTCTTTTCGGAGAACTCGATAGGAGGGTGGGCTTTGGCAGCTCTGTTATTTGCCTGGCAGTTTCCTCACTTCATGTCCTTATCGCATACCATTCGAGAAGACTATCGAAATGCTGGCCACAAAATGTTGGCCTGGACGAATCCTGCTCGAAACGGACGTGTTGCGCTGCGGTACTCTTTGGCTATGTTTCCTATATGCGGGCTTCTCTATTTCACGGGATACGTGGACAAAGGCTTCCTCGTTATAAGCACGGCATGTAACGTCTGGATGAGTCGAGAGGCGTTTCGCTTCTGGAAACAGCAAGGAGCCGGAGGAAGCGCCAGAGGGCTGTTCTGGGCGAGCGTCTGGCAGCTTCCACTTGTGTTGGTTGGAGCTCTTGTGTGCAAGAAGGGACTATGGGATGGTTTTTTCAGCACCGATGAACCCACCAGTATCTACGAAGAGGGCGACCTCGATGCTGACGGTGACGCTCTTGGAATGGACCCGTCGAAACCTCGACAAAGGCCGCCACCCCCTGATATTAATTTGGCCATGATGGGATTCAAGAGACCGACTTGAGGCGCGCGATGTGGATGATGTCTTTTCTACAACGAGGCGTCGTCGACATTGTGACCGGCATATATTGTGCCGAGTCCACAACACGATCCGCACCAAGACCGAGCGAGCGAGTCTACACACCTCCGCTTACTTGCTGGAAATGGATCTGCAAGGCACAGCTGGAGATGTGCTGTGGCGTCATGAGTCTGGAGATCGCCCCTTTTAGCCTCTCAACTACAAGCCCCCTGGACAGAGAATGCGGGGAAAGTCTTTGTTGATCCCACGTTCAATGGAACCTGCTCAAGCTGGCAAATGTAACATATCCACGGGTGTGTGCGCAGAATACTATGAATCGATATAGGGACGCCTCTCGGTCCTTCCTTCCTTAACTTCGACTGCTTCCATCATACCATGTTCGCTCTTTCCTTGACTTGCACGCAGTCTGGCACCACAATGGCTTCCAAGTTCGGCTCATCCACCGCTGTAAGCAGCTGCCTTTTTCTGGCGCTGCTGCTGGAGACCGTCGGCGCAGCAAGCCTTAGCTACAACGGCCTTGCTCAAACGCCTCAGATGGGCTGGGTAAGTCTCCAGTCGGCACCCAACGCACCGCAGCAGTGCCATCCCATCCCAAGATGAACTCGCTGTCTTGAAGTGAACACACGAAGTGACTGGGTCATGACAGGACACATACAATGCCTATGCCCTGGCATATAACGAGTCCACGATCCTCACCAACGCCGAGCGGCTGGTGTCCCTCGGTTTCCGTGATCTGGGCTACCGGGTCGTCATCTTCGACGACGCCATGACGGAGCTCAATCGCAGCGCCAATGGGACCTTGATTGCAAACGCCGCCAAATTCCCTTCGGGCTTACAGAGCATCGCGAATCAACTCCACGACTACGGCCTGTACTTTGGCGTATACAGTAGTGCGGGCAAATACAGTGTGTTTCCCATGCTTCCCCAGAGATGTTCCGACACTAACCAAATTCGCCGTGACTTGACAGCCTGTGGAGGATACCCTGGAAGCCTAGGGTACGAGACTCAAGATGCGGCATGGTGGGCAAGCATGGGTGCAGACTATCTGAAATACGACAACTGCTACAATGAAGGCCTGTCGGGCACGCCGAAGCTGAGCCAAGATCGGTATGCCGCCATGTCGAATGCTTTGAACAGTACAGGACGGGATTTCGTGTATTCGCTGTGTAATTGGGGAGACGACAAACCTTGGTAAGTCGTTCACCATCAATGGTAAATTGGGCGGATCCCAGACTCACCACGAACCGTTCCTCTGCAACAGGGAGTGGGCGTCCACCATAGCCAACAGCGCCCGCATCTCCGGCGACATCCAGGACAGCTTCTCCATGCCCACGACGTCGTGCCCATGTGGCCCCGATGAATACTACTGCCAGCTTCCCGGCTATGGCTGTTCGGTCATGAATATCCTCGGCAAGGCGAGCTCCATTCGCAGCAAAAACCAAGCGGGATACTACAACGACCTCGACATGCTTGAGGTAGGGAACGGCGGCATGTCCTATGACGAATACAAAGTCCACTTCAGCATGTGGGCCGCCATCAAGTCTCCGTTGATCATGGGGAACAAACTCGACCAGCTTTCCCCCGAAGACTATGCGATCCTGACCAACCCGGCTGTGTTGGCCATATCGCAGGATCCCAGCGTCAGTGCCGTTTCCAGGACAGTCACGCAACAGGTCGACGACAAGGACGCGTGGGGATTCGGAGAGGTTCAAGTGTGGCAAGGAAGCCTGAGCAATGGCGACCAGGTGGTCGCCTTTCTCAACGCGGGCAACAACTCCCGCACCATGTCCTACAGCCTTGTCGACGTCTTTGGCGGCCTCCGCACAAACACTAATGCCCAAAAGAGTTGGGATCTGTTCGACGTCTGGGGCAACCACACGGTCATGAGCACCGAGGTGGCAGCCCAGGTGTTGAACGGCACGCTTGCGGTGGGCAACGCCACGGGATATTACAATGCCAGCGAGACAACTTGGGCCACGGGGCTGAACCAGAGCAACCCCCTCTTGATTGGCACGCCGGCTGGGACCGTCCAAGGGGGAGGGACGTTGCAGGCGGAGGTGCCGAGACATGGGATTCAGATGTGGCGGCTGAGACAGGCTGGAGGATCGGGCAAGAAGCGGGACGAGCTGTAACTCGTGAGTACGGAGGAGCGGGTTTTCGAGGCGAGAAACAATGACGGGCGATACTCCCTCGCTGCGACGCCATCCCTGGAGTCTCATGGCATGTGGTTGAGGGTAACCAGCTTGGTTAATGCAAGTCCTTTATGGTCCCAGGAATGCTGATGATGCTATTGACGACCCAATTCTCGAAACTCCTGATGATGCGGTGCCTCCCATTGTTTTTTCCCTCGTGAATCGTAACATTTTATGCTTCCAAGGTGGTTATCGGCCATTCATTTCGTACGTGGGGGAACAGGATCTCAGGGCAGATGCCCACAAGGTCATCATTCCCAATTCTGCCCCCTCAGCCTCTTCGATTCGACGCACTCCTCTTCGCTCTCTCTGACGTCTCATCCGATCTTTGCGTTCGAGAAGTCCATCTCCGGATGCTCCTTCATGAACTTCTTCAGGATGTCGTCCTTCTTTTGCTCATCGCTCGTTGGTCTGCCCATGGCTTTCTGGTTCTGATCGTACATCATCCTAATCAAGCGAGCCACAGCCGCGTTAGTGATTTGGTCTTCTGGACGGGCGGAGGAGGGTCGTGAGTGGCAGAGCGGTGAGACCTACTTTTCGACCATCCCCCGCGTCTCGCCGTCGAGTTCGCTGAGTTTGGAATTCTCCGGCACGATCTTTGTGGTGTCGATCTTGGGCGCCGACGTGACAATGTGCGCCCACCAGTAGGACCCGTGGGCTTTGGCGAGAGTGATGAGGATTTCTTTGCTCCCGTCCGGTTTGGGCGACAGAACCCACGTCGAGTCGTCGGTTTGGATCGGATGGGGGAAGTCGCCCTGTCGAGTTCAGAGGGGCGTCAGTTTGGATTTTCCAGCAATCAAACACAACACACCAAAGTGCCCGCGCCGCGCATGTGTTAGCAGCCTCAGGGCGCAGATGCAGAACAAGACAAACGTGGAGAAAGCGCAGGCACCTACGTCGATGATCGGGTCCTGGCCCTTGACCGCGACCTTGATGTGCGTCTTCTTCAATTCAACAACCAAATCCCTCGCCTTCAGGTTCCCTTGGATGGGCACACTGACTTCCGCCTCTTCGAGTGTCTGCGTCCATTTGTACGGCAGTCCCGCCTGTTCTTCTTCCTCGCGCTTGCGGTCTTCGGCGTCCTTGCGGGCACGTTCGGAGGGTGTCGGGGAGGGTGCACGTTCGGCCATGTTCGTAAAATCAAGCTACTGACCAGGAAGACGGAGGTGTAGGCGCTACGTTCGTGGTGGTGGTTATGGTTCGGGGGCGGGTTCGAAATATTTCGTCGGTCTTCCAACTCGCGTGCGGAGCAACAGGGCAGGTGGGGGTGGGCGATGACAAGGCTGAGATGAAAGAAGGGGGCGATGCTACCAAAAACATGTGCCTTCTTGCTTCTGGTATCGCTCTTTCTCCATGACTCCATAACTTCTGGTCTTGGTCGACACAGCGTTTGTCCTTTGAAGGTGGGAAATAGATCCTGACGTCCGCACGGCAGAGAACGGCATCCAGCACCAAAGTTGCGTTCTGAATTAGTTCATATTAACCTCTGACAATGCCCAGATAGTCAGAGCAGCGATAGTAATTACTGTACTAGCTGAGACACTATTTTCAATCCACAGTCCCATGAGCTGTCAGTCATTCATAGCAAAATGCAAAAAAGTTCATCACCCGAGCGCTTGCAGGCTCCGTCAATTCCTCTTGCCCAGGCACTCCTGACAAACGAATGAGAGTCGTCAAATAAACATTCATAGCCGATGATTCCTCCCTGCATAACCCTCTGGTATCTTCGGCACAGCCGGTGTATGTTGGTCTGGTGATTGCATGGGATCGGGGAATCCGGCTTCATGCAACATCTCTGTAAAAGTGGTGTTTGGTCTGCTGATTTCCTCCCTACTGTCGGATCTCATGCGTTGTGTGGGGTTGAAGCCACCGTTGTATCGCGCCGGCGTCAGTGTAGGGCCATCGTTCTCGCGGGAGAACTCGGACTCGCCAGAGAAGACGCTGACACCCCTCTCATTCCTCAGAGAACTGCTCATCCTATTTGCCGTGTTAGAGCCGTTGCCGCTGTTGTTCGGAGGGGACTGGAACGGACTGCCCATATTGTTTTTGATGGTCGGCGGGAATCGCTGCGCTGCCATGCCTCTCAGTGGAGCAATTGCCGCGGGATTGGGGTGCTGGACCGACCCAGCTGGCGGAGTGTAGACTTTGATACTTTCCATACTGGGCTCATGAGCCAGCCTCCGGTCTGGTGTGACAGGCAAGCCTGCCGGGGCAACGGGGATGTTGTTGGGTACTGGCGGCGTGGGCATCTTCCAGTGATTAGGAACAGGTTGTTGGCTGTTCCGGCTGCTCTTTGTGGAAAACATGGACTTTGCCCGATCGGTGGTTTTGCGGAGGAAGTCCGTCCTCAGACCGCCAGACGCATCTAATGGGATCGGGTCGGAGATGGTTGGTTTGTAGATTGACGAGCCAGAAGAGTTCCGGGAATTCGGTTTGCGATGCCGCCCGCTGCAGATGACCCATGCCAGCATCAGGAAGGCGCCCACAAACATGCCAGGAAAGAACCCGGCAAGGAAAACGCCGATGGGAAACTTGTTGCATTGAGGTTCAACCTGCGCTGCCGACACACTGACGCTGCTTGGACTTGAAGTAGAAGTTGAGCTGGTCGTGGAGGTATTTGAAGTGGCCGATTTTGTCGCCGACGAGCTTGCCGACGAAGAACTGGATGTGTTGCCAGAGGACGCGTCGGTCTTTCCGACGATGCTCGTGCTCTGGATAATGCTGCAAATGGACGGCCCCGAAGGCTGCTGGATGCAAGAATATCCGAACGGACAGCATTTATCTCCACACTGCGGCAGCTTGTCCCCAAGTCTCGTGGTGAATATTCCTGCCGTCGGATTCGCCGTTGCATTTTGAGACGAGACATCACAGGATATTGTCTGGATGTTATCGCATGAGCTCGACTCCGGGCAACAGAGGGCCGACGACGAGTTGTCGAGAGACACACAGTTGTTCCCTGAAGCACATTGGAAACTGTTGGGTAGCTTAGGATCGACCGCCGAACATGAGGAACCGTCTCTCCGGAAAAGAGCTGGGGTGGGAACAATCTGGAAAGCGGACGAGGTGCAGATGATGGCCGATGCCACCAAGAAAGTGCGAACTGTGCAAACGCGCGTATGGTATTTCATGGCTGAAAAGAGATATACACCCGTAGAAAAGGACAAATTAAGCAGTAAACAGATGGATGCAAGAAGATTCTTCACCAAAGCGGTCACAGGGTATAAAGACAAAAGGTCACCAGGACAGTATTGTCACTCTGTTGGGTCCAAGAATAGGTCTTGCAAACGAAGAAGGAGGGAAACAAAGGCTCTCAAAGCCGGTGTCGATCAATGTTCGACGAAAGAGAAAAGAGGTGCTCGCCATTGACCGACCTGACAAAGGAGAGCTCATTATAGAACAAAAGAGGTGAATCCGACAACCGGGACATGGTCGCGTGTCTTACTGCGTGCCAGAACACGGCGTGCACCTTGATGCCTTGGGTAGCCGTGTTGCCATCGTGTAGCTATGAATATGCAGAGTTCATGTAGTGAGATCGAGAAAAGCTCCGCCGACAGCCAGTGGCTTGCCGCTTTGCCAGATGAGACGCAACCCCATGCTGCGAGGCAGGCCGCGGTAGTGCGTGGAAAGAGTCGTGGAGGCTGAAACGATAGGCTATAGAAGCCTGAGAAGAAGGTCAAACATGGTGGGGGAGGGTGTGGGAGGCATGGAGGTGGCAGAGGAGTTTCAAGAACGAGGCTCAGCACCAAGACAGAGCTCTGTGATTGGTGGAAGTCTCTATGAGGGCACTAATCTCTTTCCGGCGAACTGCGTTCTGTTCGTCTCAAGAAATTTGGAGCATTGGGCTCGTCAATCCTCCGCTTCCATTTTCTCGGGCTCGGGCAGTGAGACTGCGTTGCTCCATTCTCCCCGTCATGATCACAAGACCTCCTGCGAGGCCGCAGTCGTTACTGCGAGCCTTTGTCAAGCAAGCGAATGCCGCAGTATGTACAGATGTGATGAATCCTCTAAAGCGACCTCAGAGTCTCCGAATTGGCTAACCCTTCCTCACCGTGTCGCAGCCTTCCTCTTTCCTCAAACGACAGGTCCGCAGAAAACACACCATCCCCGTATGGGCCAACCAAAGCAAGCAGGAGTTCTTCGCACGCCACGGCGTCCCGGGCTTCCTAAGTGCAGAAACCTACCAAGAAACCTACGTCAAATACACCCAACACCTATGCGACCGCCTCAACGAGCTCGTATTGGGGACGGCAGACGAGTCTTCCTCGACCTATGATCTGCACGCAAAATGCGCCCATCGATCGGATCGGGCACACCTGTACAACCTCGCCGCCATGGTCGAGTTCACGCGGTTCTTTTGGGAGTACCTTACGGAAACCGACGACCCGGCGATACGCAAACCAGGGCTCAACACCATGAGAAGCATTGAGGCCAGCTTCGGCAGCGTGACGAATCTTAGAGAAGAGATGCTCGAGACCGCGGACGCCATGTTCGGGAACGGATTCGTGTGGCTGATGAAAGGGAAGAACGTGGGCGACATGCGCATTCTGGCCACGTACAATGCCGGCTCTCCGTATCCCGATGCGGCCCCCAGACGAGATGACAAGGATATGGCGACCTTTGACGCCCGCACCCTCTCCGATCAACTTTCCGGTCGAGGCGGATTGGGGCTGCCGAGCCTGGAAGAACGAAATATCTCCACCGGAAATTCAACGGCGGGCTCGTTTGGCGATTTCAGCTCCTCACGTGCGAATCTCTACTCGGGTGCTCTGGACATGCAACCCATCTTGTGTGTCAATGTGTGGGAACATCAATGGCTGAGGGACTATGGACTGCTGGGGAAGAAATGGTATTTGGGGGCATGGTGGGATCGCATTGATTGGCAAAAGGTGGAGAGTCAGCACGCCCTGTACGAGACGGGCGGAGAATGGAGTGACTATTGGTCGAGTGGCAGCAAATCGCCGTATGCGACCTCAGGGGGATCGAGTGTACTGGATGCTTTGAGAAGATAGATGAGGGTATGGCCGTGTCTGGCGGGGTGTATCATTATACGGAGCGTCAAAACACCAGGTCATTGTAAGACCATCAATATAAGTCGCCTGTTCGACTATGTATCTGGCACATAGCTGGTCTTCCCTTCCTGGACCTTCCACACGTGACGGCGGCACCTGGCCTGTCCTGCTGGCTCTCTCCCCTGGGAAGTAGACAGCCCAGGCATGGCACGAAATACCTGGAGATCCGAAGCGCGCTGGCAAGTCATTTGAACTGCATTGGTCTGGTCGCCACTAGCTACCGCCTCGCCAGTGTTGTCCATCAAATCGGCTAGCGCAGCTTGACGTGGACAGTAATGAAAGAGTCGCCTCTGCAAGCGTGCGCCAGACTGTGGGACTGATCACAGCTTCTCCGGAAGGTCCAAAGATTCGCATTTCGCGGAGCAACAACGCGAAGGAAGTGGTAAGCGCCACTGGCTTGCTCCCTCAAGCATTGCAGATCGCTTTAGACATAAGCCCATGCACTGCAGAGGGTGCCAAAATTCGAGTTATGTGGTGCCTGATTGGTGTTTCCACCACCCAGGCGAGGTCTTTGGGGGCCGCCGAAATGGCTCGCCCGGGCTCTCCTGGTCCTTCAGTCCCAATATCTGATCATTCCATCCAGTCCGCCCGTCGCAACTTTACTACTCTCCTGCTGATGCCACGCCACGCATGTGACCGCACCCATACCTTCCCCTCCGGCTTGAATCTTGTGCCACATCTTTCCCGTTTTCCAGTCCCAAAAGCACACAAACCCGCCAGAATCACCACTTGAGACGATTCCGCCGTCCGGGGATATGGCCACATCAATCGCATAGCCGCTGGTGTTCATTCCTCTGAACCCCTTCTTGCGGTTCTGTCGGAATTTGTCGCCCGCGGCATACACAACAATCTGGTTGTCGGCAGATTGGAACGCGACGTACTTTCCAGAAGGATGAGGCGCGGCTCGCACAAGTGCGTACATGGACGGATCCGCTATGAACTTGATGGGAACTGGAATACCATACTCCCAAGCGCGGAGGGATTTGTCGTCGGAAGTCGAGATGAACCTCCGTCCCTCGTCGACAAATGTGAGGGTGTTGATGGGGCCGAGATGGTGGTCGTATTCTTGCGTCAGTTCACCAGACCGCACGTCAAATTGGACAATCTTCTTGTCCGCCATGCCGGCGATGAACTCGTTGCCTTCCGGATGGAAACGCAGTGTATGTGGCGTTTTACCGGTCGTGAACCGAGATATGCATTTTCCGGTCTCGGTGTCCCAAAGCTTCATCTGGCGGTCATACGACGCCGACAAAAACGATCGCCCTGTGGGGTGGAAATCGGTGTCTGTAATCGCCTTGCTGTGACCCGAAAATGTGCGGAGCAGGGTCCGGTCGTGATGAGCGTCCCACAGTGCAAGTTTAGCGTCCGCCGAGGAGGATAAGAGGAGGTGCGATGATCTGGGGATGAACCGCAGGGACGTGATTGGTTTCGTGTGGTACTTGTAGACATGTATGAGCTTCTTCGGCACGTAATTTTGTATCGAACCCGGTTCCTTGCGCAGGTCGATATCCAGATCCTGAGGCACGTGCATGTACGTCCGTCCTTGGTAGTCGAATTCTGAATCGCCATGGAACTCGGTCGTCTCTGCGCCATTCAAATCGTCTGCGTAGCCAGTGGCCTCCTTCGGTGGCGCAGGGAGCGGTGTGGGAACAATACCTTCCTCCACCCATTCCTCGTCAGAGCCAAGTTCTTGATCCGCCGCGGCTTCGGCTTGTTCGTAGGCCACGTCGTCACTTTGATATTTTGCCCAGGGTCCGAGGTATGCGCCTTCTCCGTCGACTATCTTGCTGTCCCCTTTCTTCTGCCTCTTGGCTCGGATCGCGGCACTTTCTTCCTTGGAGTAGCGCAACTGGACAATATCCTTTCCGCCATATTTCGCAACAGCGGACTGATTGCCCACAAAAGCCCCGTTCATCGTGGGATCCTTGGTGTAGCCGAGACTCTGATACGTCCTGTGTTGCGTCTTGAAGGCGGCTTCCGACATGGACGTCTCCTCTGCGTTTCCGGTGAGCACGTTCTTGCGCTTCAGGGCGTTGCCAGCCGTCGACTTGAAGGGATTCGAGGGTCCCTGGGAGGGGCGGGCAAGATTGTCGTAAGTGACATTATAGGTGAGGGCGTTGCTAGAAGGGTTCGCCAACATGACTTGCATTTGCGACACATCCTGCGCAGCGTTAGATCGACCACCACGTCGTCGGGAGAATGAAGACCAAACCTCTGTCGAGACGTCTGGAGCCGCGTTCACTGCTGCCTCTTTGGAAGGAGGAGGGCGCTCCGCAGGACTCCTTTCGTCGTCGCTCGAGTCATATGCTGATCCTAGAAGGGCGGACATCTTGACCGAAGGGCCTCCAAGGCCTATAATCAGAGTGAAGCAAAAGCGAGCTTCTTGTCGAGGCGTCCGGACATGGGAAAAACTTCGGGTTCAGCAAAATGGCGTCGGCCAAGCCGCACATGTCTCGGCACACCTGCCTTCCCTGACAGCTTAGATGCCCTCGAGCACATGTGTAGGGGCGGCAGCCTGATAAGTGGAGGTTGGGTTGATGCTTCCGTTGGGGTCTTGACTGGATTAATCGTGGCTTTACCAAGGCATTCCGCAGAGTTTGGACAACATCAGAGCTTGCAGTGCGCAGAGAAGCCAGTCGGTGGTTAGGATTTCAGCACTACAAAAGATGGCTATCTCTCATTTCTGCAAAACAGGACTGGTGCCACCATGCTTGCAACGCCGTTGGAAAATAGCTCCCTATCACACATTCCACCGGCTGAAACATATCGGAACTCTTCCTTCTCGTCGTATCTCATGTCTCGGCCGTACAAGTCGAGTAGCAGACAGATAAACCAACCACATAGTTTTGGGAAATTCCGTCCTTCCAATTCTTGACCATGTGAGCATCTTCGGCCCCCTGACTGCCACCGCTGCTTGCACCGCCTCTTGTGCATTAACTGAACCGCCGAGGGACCACTTAGTCCTTGGCTAATGTCGACGACCCAGACGGAAGAGCCTTAGGCGATGGACATTGCCACTGACCTTTTGCTCGTTCTCAGCCGTCGCCACTTTCCATGATCATCCTCTTCCCCACCACTAAAAGCCCCCCCCATCTCGGCTGCTGCAGTCTGACTGCATAGCAGCAGGCGATCGTCATCAGGAGTAACTGCCGTGCTTCATCGCATGTGACATTTCGCCGCGTAGTCAGTTGGACTCGTCCCTGATCAAAGCCACGATCATGCTGTACAGATAGAAGAAAAACATGATCAGGTGGAAGCCGAGTTTGATAAATGATTCCTATTGTCAAGGACTCGGTATTAGTGATGAAATGCCTCATCCGGCGTCGGGAGTGTACATGCCTTTTTATGGACGTTCAACTTTCGGAAGATTTCGGTGGCATCAAGCAGATGCTGGTTCTCGATGATCCTAGCACAATCTTATCAGTCCCTGCCAGCAAATGCATGCCGTAATGTGTGGGCACCCACTTTTTTGCATTGAATGCCAGAAGCGGTAGATTCAACAGTAGTGCCAACCAGTATCCGTTGATGAGGAAGAGGAATGTCAAGAAGGCATGGACAGCAGCTTCGGGAACAATGTAGGTGTTGAGACGGTTGCAGAGATCAATGGGGTTGATATAGTCACTGAGCAATAACCGGCTGGGTCAGCGGGGTATGTCTTGGACAAGCCGGAGTTGAAGTATTGCTTACCACTCGAGATCACTGTACATGATGGTGAAGAAGACTTGCAGGAAGAGGTTGACGGCATTTATTAGGACGGCGAGCAGGTATAACCACGCCTCGCCCGACATTTTGGATGAGTGTCTTGACCACAGCAACGACGGTAGGATAGCTCCAGATACGCAAAAGAGCCTAACCGATGGTTGTCGCGAGCAACGTACTGTAAGAGGAGAGGTTGCGAGTTGCGCACGGAGAGCCGACGTCGAGCTTTGCAAGGCCTAACCAGGGCGGGGATCAGGCAAGGGAAGACGCCTCGAACAGGGCGCAGACTAAGCGCAGCTGGAAAGTTATGTGGTCGCGGAGGGTGTGAACTTGAAGGACAAGCTGGCCTTGTGAGCGCTGGTTGTGGAGTGAGGTGGCCGCAGGGTGGTGGACAAAACAGGTACCAGTGACAAGACGCAAGTGTGAAATGGTCAATGAGATCAGTCGTGGGGAAGACGCAAAATTCACGAATTCCCAGGTTGTTGGCAGCTGCGGGTTGGATGGCATGGGATTGTTTGCGTCGCCGTAGTCTGCATAATCCGCCACTTTGACTCCACCGTATAGACAGCCTGTTCACTCTCGGCATTCATCTGGAAGCAACACGGAGCATGGGAGGCGCTCGTCTTTCAATTTCTTGCCACTGGCTAGCATTTTCTTCTGCATTTGTCATCTACATAATGTACAACCTGAGATGGGGGCAGGCCTTATCTCAGCCAGCTCGAAAAGTACGGTGTGGCAAGCAGACCCATGCGCCGCTCAATGCAGCCCCCCTTAACTCCTTCCGAAATACCGAACCAGTTCTAGACCTGCCCTCCGAGCCATTTCGAATCTAGAAGCAGCGACATGCAGGAAGCTGCAGGGACCAAGTCTTTAAAAGTCGTCGGATGTGTATTTACAGGTGTCTCAAAATGTACAGTTCTATGGACATCGTGCATCATCAGTCGTCGCACTGGGGTATCGTCGTAGAACAAGATTTTTCTGGAAACGCTTAGAAACTTCGCTTGAGTGATCCACTGCATCGGTTCCACATGGTGTCTATACCTCGTATTTGACCATGTTGACAAACAATCCCATGCTAGATCTCCTTCAACTTTCCTCCCCTCCCCGTCGCAGTCGAAGACCGTCAGGAAACCGAAGTGGATCCGGGCAGGTCGACTCGCAGTCCAAGGTCAAATGGAACCGTCGCGACACTTCTATCGCCCATATCTGATGCTGTAGTGCAAGGTTATGAGTGAAGGCATCGACACCGCCACGCTGGTCGATCATCGTCCTCAGTGCCTCTGCATGGAGACGAACCTCGTTGGCGTCCCCGAAGTCGGCTGTGTACGCCACTAGCAGAAGAACCGCCTGAATGTTGGCGTCAGAACTGGCATGTCCCGGCATCTGGAGCCGGTTCCACAGAATGTTAGTACCTCGACCGAGATTTCTTTCCGCTCCCACTTGGTCTTGAGAACTTTCCTCGGCAACTGCACGCGACCTCCGCATTGCGTAGGCGTAGGCGATGAACAGGTGTCGAGAAGCTTCGTTCTCAAGCATAAATGCCAGTGCTGATTCCAACACGTCACCTGATTGATAATGATCGCAAAAAGTGGCTCTGACTGTGGGACAACGAGTTAGTGCCAGAAAAGCTGGACACGCACTGCCCAGTTGGAAAAGATCGAGAGGCAACTCACAAAATTCTAGAACAGAGTCATCCGCAGAGATGGCTATCTGAGATGTGGGTGGTAGCATTTCGACCGTGGAATCTGCGGCCGCTTCACTTGTCGATGAAACGGCTTCTTGTTCGTCACTGGTCGTGCGACTGGGCGGTTCCGGTCTTCCGGGCAGCGACGGTGCCGGCGAAATTGACACCGAACTGGCACTGCTGGCTGAAGAGGTTGCGACATCTGCGTCTCCCCTGGGACGTCTGGTCCATTCAAAATAGCGAGTCTGGCTCGACCGCCGGAGCAGTCGCGAGCGCGCTTCTCGACGTTGCGCCGCCGAGTGATATGCGGTGTGCCGCTGAATGGCACTTCTGACATTTGGGTTCTGGCTATCGACAAATTCGATGATATTGGAGGATCGGCGCGAGCTGGAATCTCTGCTCTCGCGGCCACGCGAAGTGTCGTCCTGCGGAGGATCACCACTGGATGACATGTATGAAAGAGTAGAAAAGAGACGGTTCTGTGGGAGAGAAGAACAACAACTTAAAGGAAGGAAAGAAAAAGAATGACTGGTGATATGGTCATGATATCCTACCTCGCAATGCTGGGAACCAGACTTGAGACGGGAAGTTGGTACGTCAGGTCAATCACAGGATCTCTCGCGACTCCAGTCACCAAGTTTTTGAACGGTGCGTACGCCGTTCGTTAGGAAAGTAGAGTGTGCGCGAAGATACCGTAGGTGCTCCAGCGAAGGCGAAAGGGCAACCGTGTACAGTTGAAGATAGATCGAGAAGGGTAGGGGACCGCGGGATGTAAGTTCAACCCCCTTTGCCATTTTTATACAGATTCTGGAACGCAGGGAAAGGAAAAAAAAGCGACCAGGACCCATCAATGGCTAGCCTAATCATTGCGAGATGATTCGGTAAGGATCCATAGAGGGTGTGGGATCCAGAACTTGGGTAAAGACGGTCAGACGGAGGCTGGGCCAGGACGACTTCCTCCTGACCTTTCCATCTGCATATCGCAGAACTAAAAATTCGGACACCCTGGAATCCACCCAGCGTAGCCTCTAGATGATTCGAAATAGCGCATGAGACGGCCGAGCATAAAGGTTGGCGTTCGCCAGTGCTGACGTCGGTCCTCAGCCAACTCTCTCGACGTTCACCTCGCACTGAAGCACGAGCGATTATGGAGGCGAAGGATGCACGAACCAAAGTGTGCGGATCCGGATCACGCGGACACGGCGATGGTGATATCGAAGGCAATTTCTGGTGGGACTGGCAACGACGGTGGCTGATATCAGGGACACGAGCCTTGTCGGGGTGATTGGAAGCGGTGCAAGGAGACGAAGGGACAGGTATCAAACTGCTTCCGAGCGCAGGGGGGGCGGCCTTGGCGCTCCGGAAGCCTGCCCGGTCCGGGGTTGGGTTTTGGGGGCAGTTCGCCTGGCTCTCTGGCTCCGTGGCTCCCAGCTCCTTCGCCACCTGGTGCGTCGATCCGACATCCGACTTACCCTTATTTAGACGGCCCTCGAGGGGTTTTCCCTCAGACCTACATATACAGTGTAAGTGCGAGGTTGCAGCCTATCGTCCTTTAGACCCTGGGCGCAACTTCCCCGGCCCTTGAGGACTCGCAGCGTGGCTGTCTCCTGATTGCTCGGGCGTTAGCAGACACCGAAGGTTGGATTATGAATCCTCAAGGTACATTCTTAATCCCGCGACCCCCCATGTGTTTTCCGTGCGGAATCCACCTGTGATATGCTCCGGCCCATCCTCTGACGTCTGGTAAAAGCTGAGCCGGCCCTGTCGCAGGTGAATAGCCTCACCACGCACGTAGACTTTGTGTGGGGGACGGTCTGTTTCCCGCCATCGGCCGAAAGCAACGCTTGTCGTCGGCCAACACACACACACACACACACACACACACACACACACACACACACACACACCTTGGGAGGCGACAAAATCCTATGCGCAAGCCAGTTTGGGAAATTGGACCACTCAGACAAACCATGTATCTAGGGTATATGGACACCGTTTGTGGTTACAAAATTCTTAGGCATCCCATTCTCTGCTCCATCTTTATATCCTGCCAAAGTCGTGAGGACGCGAGACCATCAGACACCCGAGAATAAGCGAGACTGGCAGGAAAATAGCCATACGAAGTCGCAGACGAGGCTGTGAATCTGATGGTCCCCCCCTCGTACTTCGGTACGGCGTGATGCGCACGGCAAATTTTTTCCTGCGTCATCCGTAATACACAGATCCTGCCATTCGCAAACGCTTACCAAACTTGTCGTAAGTAGACGAAGAATATTCGGGCCCTAGGCAACTTAGGAAGCAATGACGGAAAGGTGGACGCTCGGATGCAAAAAAACAATCAACAGTCAGGATTCCCAACTGGTCCCCCACGTTGGTACTCGCTGACCGGTAGAGGACTTAAGTATGTCTGAGCGAACGGGAAGACCTGCTTTCCCTCTCCTGTGGTCGATTGCAGTAGTGAAGTTGCAATCTAAGGCTATGAATGTCGTGAAGCCGCTGACTTGACGGAACCAATGCCGGAAAATGCGGAGCGCATATAGGTTACAAAACGGCATATTTGTTCGGCACATGAAGTTGCATATTGACACATTTCCCTTCTACACTTGCTGTGTACACATGCTCTACCTCGTCTTTCATGTCCGCATGCACCTCAGAGACGATGTTTCACTTCCTAGCCTTCTTGCCTCGTTTTTTGACATTGGTCCCATTGGAATTTTCGAGACCAGTTGTGTCGACGATTTCAAACCCCGAGTCCGATATCTGGCTCGAACTCATATCCTGCACCGTTGGGTTCTCTGACTCTATGGCCTTTTCTGTCGGGTCAAGTGGTCCTTCGCTTTCTCCCGCAGCCCCCTCGTCTTCAGCAATCGGCTGCGCATTCTTCATAAACGGACTGGCGACTTTGCGGTAGAGCCAGATGGGGAGGCGCAGAAAAGCTGTATCCCACACAGTGGGCTTGGGGATCTCGTCCAAATCCAGGAGATATTCCTGAGTGTTTCCGTCTTCATCCTCCTCTTCCAGGAACACATTGCCTTCCGGGTCAACGACCAGGATCTTGCCATTCTCTGCAGTGACGCGCCGTCTGTCTGGCGTTGAGGGATGTACCACCTTGGGAGTAGGCGTGGAAGCAGGTTTGCTGGCCTTTTCCTTTTTGTTTTGCCGCTCCATTTCTCGCCGCTGCCGACGGTTCAAATTGGCCATCGGATCGGATTCCTCGACTGTCGGAGGGACATCCACCGGGTCAGTGACGCCTGGAATGCCTCTGATGCCAGACTCATCGCCCCAAGCTTGTTTCTTTGCATATCTGATGTACCTCTCCATAAAATCTCGGTGTCTTCGGTAGTTCATGGTCAGGACAAAGTAGTGGACGGCTCCACCGCCTATCAAAAACAGTCCCACCAACACAGTTCCCAGCCCAGGGCGATATCTTTGATAGTAGTATCCTGTCCCACGCCATGACGGCCAGCCGTGCCCTTCGAAGAAATCATATCTCTCCCTCAAGGGTCCTCTCAGAATTGTGCCAATCAAAGTGAGCCGACTGTAGCGTTCCTGCGCATCTTTCACGACGCGTGTGATTTCCCGCTGGGACGGCCCTTTCGACACGTGTACCCCCGGCTTTTTCTTGCTGCCCGACTTTTTCTGGGTTGTCGACCGTGAGGCTATGAAGGAGTGCTTGACTTTGTCAGGATGGAGAGTGCGGGATTTCTTCTTGAGGGCAGCGCTGATCTGGTCGACCGTAGCATGAGGTGAGACGCCGAGGACATCGTAGAAAGTGACTCCAGGTCCTTCAGTTGTCTCCAACTCGTCATGCAATTTGAACAGCTCGTAATCTTCAGCCGACCACGCGACACACACGACAACCAAGAGCAGAAGGAGAAAGATTCGTCGCATCATCTTCACCCACACTTCTCCCCCACGACAACAGTCACTGGCGGCACGCGCAGTCCGGAGGAAATCTTATAAGCCGATGATGAAGTGAGGCAAGGAATTCGATTGTTGACGGGAGTGGTGCCCAAATACGTGGGCCCAATTGACGAAGGTTCCGAAGAGGATGCCGCAGCGAACTTGCAGTAGCTTGACTTCCAGCCAAGGTAGAGTTTTGCAAAGTGTATATATCGGAACGCGCCCTCCTCTTTTCCTTTTCCTTCTCGTTCACTACCGCCTCGCCTACCAGAGTGAGAGCGATGGCAGTGACGAGACCTTGAGCCTGCAGGAGGCAGGTCGAGGAATTCCACGAGGAAGACGGCGGTGGTGGAAGCAGTTGGTAGCTGATCTGCTAGGTACGCAGGCCCTGAGTGTTGCCCCTGTCGAGTCACCAAAATTGGGTGTGGCTTATGGATGCTTTGTGCTGACTACGCCTCAAGGGAGCCTGCCTGCACCCCCCCTCCCCCCTTTGAGCCTGCCCATTTTGCCCCCTCTTTCCCCCTTGCCCTTCTCCCGCCCTCCCCCCTTCGAAAATCTCTAGTTACGAACATCGCCCACCACTCATCCACCCGTCGAATTCCATCCCAAATCTCCGCAAAGGGGCCACAGGCAACAAAGAAAAAGTCTCTTGCCTGGACACTGTATCCCTTTCTTCTTACTCAATTCTTCACCCGACTCTCCTTCATCACGCTCATTTGCACTTCGGCACCCAAAACACGTTCCCGCGTCCACGCTTCGGATATTCTTGTAAGTGCTACAACAGCCGGACGTCAGCAATGCTGGATGCGGTGTGACCAGCAATTCGCGTTTCCTCACTGACACAGCTCTGCCAGGTAATTTTCAAACCTCAGTCGACCCGCCCACTCTCGCAGCTCAAGATGGCCAGAATCAGCATCCCCCTCGATGCCCTGACATCCCGCCTCAACCTCAGTGATCGCTTTAACAGCGTCCGGTCGCAGTCGATTGCGTCGCGCTTTGCAAACATCCGACCGATTTCCGAGTTTCTGGACTTGAAGAGACTGTCAAAACCAAACAACTTTGGAGAGGTGCAAGCCAGAGTCAACTACAACCTGAGCTACTTCTCCAGCAACTATGCCGTGGTCTTTGTCATGCTCAGCATTTACAGCCTGCTTACCAACCTATGGCTCCTTTTCGACATCATCCTGGTCGTCGGCGGCATGTGGGCCATTGGCAAGTTAGGCGGATCTGATCTCGAGATTGGCACCTTCAAAGCGACAACTTCCCAGCTCTACACCGGCCTGGCTTGCATTGCTGTCCCCGTTGCGTTCATTTCTTCTCCTATTGCGACTTTCTTATGGCTGATTGGAGCTACCGGTGTGACCATCCTGGGTCATGCCTCACTCATGGATAGACCAATCGAGAATGCTTTTTCCGAGGAGGCGGTCTAGGTGGTCGGCCGCGAACTCCATACGATATGCCCCCTGGGGGAAGACCACCAAGGGGACGAGCGGGGCGGAACAACGACAGATTATGGGAATTTCAGCAGCAGCAACAACGCTCGTGGGACTACGATGTTCGTGTGGAGGAGCTCGACACCGACGACGACAACTCGCCGCACGGTGTCGAGCTCAATCAGGGTTATGGTCCATCAAGATTTCGTTCGGATGAGCTTCACTTTACTGGCATAGATTTAGGCGGGGGAGTGGTCCGCCGACGGCGTTCGGGTGATTCATTCGGCAATGATTTGACTCCTTCGGATGACGAGGACGATTATGATCCTTATACGGGGCTCGTTCGCAGACCAGACATGCAGATGGCTTACAGGGAGAAGGAAGATATGCTCGTACAAAGAGCTCTGGAGAGGATCGCGCGCGCCCGGGCTTTGGGTAAGCCCAACGTCAAGTTGAGTCGAGCTGAGATTGATGCTTTAAACCGCTTAGAGCTCGACCGGAGCCAGACTCCTCCACAGACCCCTGCGGCGGCGCCACAGATCGCCCCCAAAAGCAAGAAGGAGGCCCCGGTTGTCAAGCGCAAGCCGGTCGAGGTCCGCAAAGCCTCGGGCAGGAGCAACGGCAAGTCTTCCGGCGGTTCCCCCTCCAAAGGGAAGGCAGCAGACACCCGCAATCGTGGGAGAAGTTCTGCCTCGAACGCTTCTCCACGTGAGACCGCCGACAACTCCGTGGCCGCCTACGCTTTGCCCCCGGCAGATCTCGACTACGATCGAAGGTTGCCGTATGCGCAGGGTTACTATGTGGCAGGTCCTCGTCAGCCCGAACCACTCCGCCAAGGCTCTCGCACCAACTCCAATCAGTCTCTGCGGCAACAACAACTGCAGCCGATGCCCCCTTATCAGCAACATCCTTATTATTCGCATCGCTATTCATCCAATCCAGACGTTCTCTACAACAGACACGGCTCGAACTCCCCTCGCTCGTCACGGCCAGACCCGTCCGAGCCCGACTGGGAACCTCGCGCCCGCTCAACCTCCGGCTTGGTGAATGTACCTCTGGATCAGTTGCCCTACCAGACGAGTGTGGGAAGGGCGCCGCGGTTCGACCCTGCCGATCCCCGCTTCGCCTCCCCACAGCGCCGAGTCGTGTCTGGCCCGCCTGGTGTTCCGCATAACCAAGTAGGGCAGTATCGCCGTCTACAAGACGAACTGTTCCTTCCGGACGAGCGACCAGAGGTCTACAACTATCTGGCCCCGTCTGACACTGACAACCAAGACGACGACGACGACGACGACAGCGACTATGTCGCCGAAGATGAAGTGGTTGACGTCAGAGAAAGGCCAGGTGGTGAATATGCTATTCAAACAAGAAGTGCTGTCGTGGCGACATCATCGCAAAGGGTTCGGAGTAATGGGAAAAACACGGCTGGGAAAAGTAAAAAGGGAAGATAGGACAACGGGCATAGGCATGGAGACCCAGGTATTCGCAGAGTTTGCATGTGTTAATAGGTTTTTGCTACTATCGAGCACGAGTCGGATGACCCCAGCTACGAGGAAGAATCGTCGACCAAGGTTCATGTCATGGCTTGCTTTTAATTTGACAATATCGTCCTTCTGTGCATTGTTCGTATCCGTTCCAGACATTAACGTGACTGGCCCTGTGAAGGCTCTCCAGCCATGTATCGTTGCAACCAACATTGCTCGCTCAATCAAAGCAGATGGAAGAGAACAGTCGCCCCAATTATGCCGCAGCAATCAGATGAACATCTTTGCTATTCCTGGTTTCCGTGAGTATCATTCCTCGTGGAGTGTCAAGGAGCATTCTTACCTGCCAAAGCGCCAATACTGTTGCCAATCCCACCCCCCATACCGGGCAAGGCGCTGCCGCCACCAAAGTCTCTCGCGCCGCCCCGGGCATAGAATCGTTCGGTTGTCTGGCTCATCTCTCTTCCGCCCATCATCCTCTGCAGCCCGGCCGGGAGTCGAATGCCCACGGTCCCGAGCAGCTTGCTGAGCGCGCCGCCCGTGATCAACGGCAGGATGACCAGCACGAACGTTCGGATTGGGTTGCGGCGCATCCAGTGGTAGATCTCCCTCAGGAAGCGCCGTATCCGGTTGATGAAGCCGGACCGCGGTCTCGCCCGGGAGGAGTGGCCGCGCCGCGACGACGAGCCGCCGCCGCCGCCAAAGCCGGAGAAGAAGGAGGACGCGCTGCGCGAGTAGGACGGGCGCGAGGCGTAGTATGAGCGGCGCGAGGGCGACGGGGAGTTGCTCCGCTGCGAGCGGATTCCCTGATTCCAAAACCCCATCTCGGGTGATTCTGGGAGGATCAGGGTGATATAATTAATATCAGAGCCAATCGACGTGAGCTGGTGAGCGAGCCCTATTCGAAGAGGGTTGCGCGCTTGGTTGTCGTTCGTCTCCTGCGGAGGCCCTTGGGGGAGAGTCTGGTTCCGTGGTTTTCAGCTGGCACGTCGCTGCGGCTGCAAAATCTGTCTTTCTCGTTCTTCGTCGTTGCTTAGGTAGGGGGAGAGCAGCGACGAGAAACAATGGAAGGTGTGCGATCGGGAGGTTCTTTTGAGGACTGTACTCGGTAAAACGCAGCGCATTGGAGAGCTGCGTGCTCGGTGGTCTGGTATGTCCAGTAGACCGCCCAGCGGACAATTCGAGTGGCTGGAGGCATTGGGGGCGTGGTGGGGCCACCAGGCTGGTGAGGCTGCGCAAAGGGGAAGGCTGACACGCTGACTACCGCGCGTGCCCCGAGCTTGGTTGGTCAGAGCTGGACGGGCGCTAGTCGTCGGCAGGCGTCTGGCTCCGCCAGAACGGCAGCACAGAAATTTGGCACTTGGACACCGTATTGTCACAACACCTTCAAAGAGACGTTGTCTTATTGGAAAGACCTGTGCATGTCTACGGGTATTCTCCGAACCAGCGGATCAAAGGCAAATAGCAGATCAGAGGTTGCAGATAGAAGAGAGCGGGTTGGCATTCGCGAAGTGTCTAGAACGAGCTGTCCATTCTGGCCTGATCTCTTTCAGCCCTCCAGGCTCTCTTTGCATCCTGTTCGGCCCTCCTCTTGGCCCTCTTCTTCTCCTCCTTCTTCTGCTCCTTCTGCTTGTCCCTTCTCTCCTAGTTTCTGCACCCCGGGAACGGCGTCATTCTGGGCCTGTCGGTCCTCTGGGTGTTGGGCCGCGGATTCAACCCGACGAGCATTGAGGGCCCGGATAGTAGGCGTCATTGCAGGCGAGGAACATCATGCACAGAGAAATTTGTGACAAAGTGGATTGGGCGGGTGCCGGACGAACAAGGTAGGGCCTCGAATAATAAGAACAGGAGGGACACGGATCTACAAAGACACTTACTGTAGGTTGCCCCCAAGGCCCTCCTTGATCAGGGCCTGGGCATGTCTTTTCTCTGAAGCCGTCAGCCTTCGGTCCTTCGCGGTCGTGACACCCGCGATGACGCTGTTCGCCGCCAAACCTCTCTCCCGGTCAATGTCGGCAAGGTGCCTTTCGATGAAAGACTTCCATTGCCTGGAGCCGACACCAGCCTATTGAAGCTTCGGTCAGATCATGGTAGGCGCCACATATGCACAACCGACCGAGCCAAACTTCAACACCGAGTACGTCTCGATTCCAGAGGGATCACAGTCTACAATTCACACAAAAACTGCAGCCTTGCGGTTGTGGAGTGGATGGAGAGGAGGTGCAGGAATTCGCGTCAGGCGACATCGGGGTAGCTTCTGGTCTGGATGCAACGTTTGTGCCAGAGCGCGATCAGGTGGCTTGTATGGGATCCGGGAGGCCTTTCCATTACAAGCAACGCGCCGGAAAAGCGAGGGCCAGAGCACCCGTTGGGAGAACCCACGATCTGCGCGAGCCTTCGGTGCTCACAATCAACAACGGCCCTCGGCAAGGCGTCTTCCTCCTGTCGAATCTTGATCTTGAAGGCGAGTCTTGGGATCTGACACTCGCCCTCTTTAAGCTTGTTGGGGAAGATGGGACCCTTGGGCGCATATACCAAGGCACTGTGGGTCGAGACGACTTCGATCACAGTCCGTCCGGGACGTAAAGTAAGTCCTCAGACTTTGCCTCAATGCCGAGGAGATATGGGTGTACGCCGATTGTCAGGGCGAGGTCTTTCAAAATCACTGTGGCTCTGTCTTTGGAGATGGCGTCGCCGATGACCTGATACATGAAACCCCTTGATAGCTCAGGGGACTGGAGGGCGACCTTGGGCATCAAAAGCATACAGACAACATCTGGACAATGTATGCTGTGTTGGGATCTGTGGCTTCGGCAAGCTCAGGCATCGTACCATCCTGAGGCTCAATCCATTGTCCTCCTTCGCTGTAGATTGGCGTCAACAACACCCCGAATGTCTTCCCCCACAATCCTTCTAGCGCGCCACTGTGAGGCCACTGTTTCAAGGGTCTGATGTTACCGTCTACTGCCTTCTGGAGTCCCATACAATAATGTCGTGGTTTGTCGACGCAGGTGGGTTTGTTCAACGAGGCTGGCTTGGCAGGGGGTAGCGAACAGCCCGCGAATTAGACCGCAAAACATGAAAAGACGGGTGGAGGCAAACCATGACTTTGGTGTTGATGTCCCCCAACGTACTGGCTTTGAAAGGGTGTGGAAACTGACAACACTCCAGCTAACCTCGCGGCTGTCTCTGGCTTTGCATTGAGAGCAACGTGAAGATTCGATTGCGGACACACGTCTTATGCCAGTTGTTCTGGCTGTGTGACTGTTTGTTCTCCTTTTGACTCAAACAGCTTCCTTTCGTCCGCCAAGAACTCCAGTCTCTTGTTGATGAATGCGTTTGGCCACTCTCGTTCTGCGAACTCGTCATTCCGTGAATCCAGGAGGTCTTTGTATCGCCGGATCATCCTGTACTCTTCCTCGACCTCGTGGAGACATTTCAAGTACTTCTCGGGCCTGTACACTCGGTCCCCGTCTCGCAACTTGCGCCATTTGGTCGAGGAATAGGCCGCGCGCAGCTCCGTATCCTTGGACGGTGACTTGTGCAGCGCTGGTGCATCGGATGAGGAACAGGAGAACTTCTCTCTTTTCCCTCCCCCTTCTCTCGGTCATCCAGCAACAGAGTTTACACGAGAAAGAAACGTGTCCGTAGTATTAAATTATATAATTGAGAAGTCGAGACCTCCGTTCCCATAGGTGCGCATGCGAATAATGCCGGGCTTTCAGCTTCTCACAAGATACCTTCGGATTTAAGAAGGCTTGTCCTGGCGAAATTCTCCTTGGTGCGCAATCCTCCCAAGCTTTGTTCAATTTACATATGAGATATCTATACTGGCATAAATAGTTTAGAGGCTGTGCTTATCAAAGGGTGCATCCTCCCCAACCACAGTTGACGATTAGCCACTGGTTGGCAAAGTAGACTCGTCAAGCTTGAAAGCCCACAAACGGCCAACAGTGCCATCACCGTAGAATGAATCCTCCTGTGCCGGGACGTCGTTGACGCCAAAGCAGTACCATGTAGGATCCTCGTCGGCGTTCTCATAGAATTCGACCAATGTTGCACCAGCAGCTGCCGAGTCCGTAATACATTGCTGTAGAGAAGTCTCAAGAGTCCATCCTCCATGATTTCCATCATCACCAGGCGGATTGTTAAAGCCAAAAACATTTGTCATGGAGCCGGGTCCGCCAGCCGTGTTGCCTTCCAGCGACACATGGCACGCATCATAGAACTCATCAAACGTAGTCCCGTTCGCCAACTGGATTGACCCTGCGAGTTGTGAAGGTTCGCAGACTTCTGTTGACTCTGCAATGGCAAAACCCCAAACCTTGCCAATTGTCGCATCAGGATAGAAGCTGTCGGCCTTGACAGGCAAGTCGTTCACTGCAATGCAGTACCACGAATCATCTGAGCCAATGTAGAACTCGAACATGGTACCGCCTTGTGAAACGGTCTGGTCAGCACATGATTTGACGGCGTCATCAAACGTCCAGCCGGAATAGTCTGGCGCTGGCCAATCTACCGACACGACTCGGTTAAGGTATTGTAATCCACCAGGTGTATTACCCTGGAAAGACGTGCTGCAGCCGGTGTAAAACTCAGAGAACACGGTTCCATCAGTTGCGATAATATCGTCAAGCGGAGTGTTCTGGCATGAATTTTCCCAGACAAAGCCCCAGACATTGATCACATTCGAGTCAGGATAGAAGGAAGAATCGTCGAAAGTCACATTGTTGACACCAACGCAGAGCCAATTCTGGTCCACGTCGATATAGAACTCAACTGCTGTGGCAGCATTGTCGACGGCAAACTGAGCACATCGGCTTAAGGCGTCGTCGAATGTCCAGCCCTCGTAGTTGTCTGACGCTTGCCAATTGACTGCGAACTGCTTGGGAAGATATTGCAGGCCGCCTGTGGTTGCTCCTTCTAAGGACTCGCCGCACCCTGTGTAAATGTTGCGGAAAGTCTGGGTTGTATTATAGAGGGCGGTGACATCTCCGATCGTAGATGGCGTGCAGGCAGGCGTCGTAGTCGTTGAAGTGGCTGAGGTTGTGGTTGTGCTTGAAGTAATACCAAATGTCGTCGTCGTCACTCCCGAAGTTGTGATGACTGGCGATGCCGATGAAGAAGAGGTCGATGTGTCTGTAATTGTGCTTGAAGTACTGCCGGATGTCGTCGTCGTTGTCACTCCTGAAGTTGTGATGACTGGCGATGCTGATGAAGTCGATATGCCCGTAGTTGTGCTTGAAATACTGCCGGATGTCGTCGTAGTCACCCCCGAGGTTGTGGGGACTGGCGACGCTGATGAAGAAGAGGTCGACGTGCTTGTAGTTGTGCTCGAGCCGATCGGAACGACAATGGTCGCAGAAACCACTTGCAACGTGACCTGGATGCATCCGTCAGGAATTGAGCCATCGGTGGAAATAACCAGACCGCCGTCCAGAATGCACTCAGTGACCACGGATGAAATTGTCAAGACGCCGTTGTTGTCAATAGCTGCAGTAACGGGAGGGCTTGGTGGCTCAGTCTCCATCACGAGTTGGGTGGGCGTACTGAATGAAAGACCCACCCAGACGGGTGTGCCGCTCACCACTACCATTAATGAGTCGTCATCAGCAATAGTGAAGATGCTTGCTTCGGCTTCGGAGTCGACAAGGCTGCTCAAGCCAGTCTGTGGGCTCAGCACAAGATATTCTGTACCTCGCTTGACCTTACGACTTGCCACCCCTGTCTCAGCGGCGATATAGAACGTCTCGGCTGACGTCGGACTGTCAGTTGTGGTGCTCGTCGTGGTAATTACTGACGTAGAAGTCGTGATGCTGTCACCATTTGTAGTGCTCGTCGTGGTGACTTGTGCTGATGTTGAAACTGAAGTGCTGTCACTTGTTGTTATGCTCGTCGTGGCGACTTCTGCTGATGTCGAAGCTGAAGTGCTATCGATTGTTGCTGTGCTCGTCGTGGTGATTGATACTGGCGGAGAAGTGGTGGTGCTATCAATTGTTATTGAGCTAGTAGTGGTGACAGATGCTGAAGTGGGAGTTGAGGTGCTCTCAGTTGCAATTGAGCTCGTTGTGATGATTGATGCTGGCGCAGATGTTGTGGTGCTGTCAATCGTGTTACCGCTAACAGGGTCACGAGCAAAGTCGCCGGATACTTTGAGCGCAGTGTCCCACCCGTCATATGCGGTTGGAACCCAGGACACAACGGATGTAAAACCCCAACAGTAGACCGTGCCACTGTCATCGGGTCCAATCTCCACCATGTTACATGCATCAACTTCATCGCAGAGCTCAATACACTGAGGCATAGTAGTACCTGTGCCCAGGTTGAAAAGTGTCCCGGTACCTTCGCCACCTCCAAGCCGAACCACGTCACAAAGGACTTGCCATGTGTCACCATTCGAGTCAACGACACTCGTGGGTGAACATGTCGCTGCAGCCGTGGTTGTAGTAGTAGATGTGGACAGTGTACTCAAAGTAGACGATATAGTTGCGGTAGTGGAGGCCGATGTTGTTGTTAGAGTTGATGATGTGCTTGGAGGGGCGAGAGCGAATGTCGTAGTTGTAGCAGCAGAGGTGGGCGTCGTAGCCAAAATCGATGGTGTCGTTGGAGGAGCGAAGGTGGATTCCGTGGTTGAAGCAGCCGAGACTGAAGTTGTAGTCAGAGTTGATAGTGTGCTTGTAAGAGCAGAGGTCGCAGTTGACGTTGACGTTATTGTTATGACCGAGACTATCCTGCTAGGCAAATACCAACCGTATGCATCGGCAATGCCAGGATATGGCTGGAATTGTGCTGGGTCATTGGTGATGTCGTTTAGAGTCCAGCACACCCACCGATCGTTGTTACGGGTGTCAGTCTCGAATTCGAAGACAGGTGAGCCATCACTGTCAGCGACGGAAGCGCAATCAAGCAATGCCTCGTCAAATGTATAGTCAGTGCGTTGGTAAACATACAGATTGTTAAAGTTCAAGGTTTGCCAGTCCAAGGACAATCCGCATCCAGAGGAGAAGAAGTTGATCCAGGAATCTCCATTCGCGGTGTTCAAAACATCACCAACTGAAGCAGAAGTTGCTACACAATTTGCAGATGATGTTGTGCTTGTCACACTGGACGTGGTTGATGTTGCAAATGAGGTGGGCGTTACGGACAAGCTCGAGGACGTGGACAAGCTCGAGGACGTGGACAAGCTCGAGGACGTGGACAAGCTCGAGGACGTGGACAAGCTCGAGGACGTGGACA